CCAATAATATCATCTGCAAACAAATTGATTTTCATCTTCTCTTTCCCAAGCTTATAGACCTCTATCCTTCCACATTTTCTTATCCTTTTCGCTAGTTGTTCTATAGCCATTATAAATAGGAACGGCGAAAGAGGACACCCCTGCCAAACGCCTCTGCGTATTGGGAAAGGTTGGGAGTATTACCCATTAACTCTCACCACTGTTGTTCTTTCCTTATATAGTTCTTGTATCGCGAACCGATAAACCTCTCCTATTTCATATTTTGTCATTATTTCCCATTAAAATTCCTCTGAGAGTGTATCAAATGCTTTAAAGACGTCTAATTTCAGTAGCCCAAACTTTTTTACTTGTCCGTGATATTGGTCTTCTTTTATTATTTGGGGGATGCCATAATATTGGCGAAGATTTTATAATCTTCGTTTAATAGACTTATAGGTCTATATGAACCTACTTCTTTAGGGTCTTTGTTTGGTTTTAAGATTACCATTATTTCTGTCTTTTTCCATGTTTCTGGGGCCTTTTGCCCTTCTAGTAAACTGTTAAAAAGTTGTTGTAGTTCCGGGGCCAAAATTTCTACCATTTCCTTATAAAATTCGGCTGTAAATCCTTATGTCGTTATTATGCAGTTTTTGTGCATAGGTTTCATTGGGCTTTCTTGCCTTAAAGTAGCCAGGCATACATCTCGACTCACCCACACTCTTTTCTCTTGGAAACTCAACTCTTTAATTATCTTCAAAGTCTGGTATACCCTCTGTTGCAGCTTCTCTCTAGAAAATGTAACTATTACATTCCTGGGGGATTTTCTCCCCTTAGGCCCTCGGCAGCAATGGGCTCGTTCCACATCTTCTGCCTTCAAACTAACTCCTTGAGTAGTAGTAGTAGTAGTAATAATAATAATAATAATAATAATAATAATAATAATTTATTATTTATACCCCGCCCATCTGGCTGAGTTTCCCCAGCCACTCTGGGCGGCTTCCAACAAAACAGTAAAATACAATAACCTATTAAACATTAAAAGATTCCCTAAACAGGACTGCCTTCAGATGTCTTCTAAAAGTTTGGTAGTTATTTATCTCTTTGACATCTGATGGGAGGGCGTTCTACAGGGCGGGTGCCACTACCGAGAAGGCCCTCTGCCTGGTTCACTGTTACTTGGTTTCTCATACTGAGGGAACCACCAGAAGGCCCTCGGCGCTGGACCTCAGTGTCCGGGCAGAACAATGGAGGTGGAGCATAGACAGGTTCTCAAAGTTTCTTCCAACTCTTTAGCCTGTATTTCTTCCGGAATTCCTCCCAAAATCGTATTAGCTCTTCTCTGGCGGTCTGACAATTCTTCCCCCTGTTTAGATAGTGTAGTTATTTTTTATTTTTTTTTTCATTTTCCTGGGCTAGCTGTTTAGCTTGAATTGCTAATTGCTTCACCCCCTTAATTTTGACTCCTTCAAGCATTACAATATATAAATCCTAGTTAAAATATTTTAAAAGACTTCCACCGCATTCACCGCACGTCTCTGTTATCTTGCTCACCTTTACATCTGTTCTTCAATCATTTCCCTTCCTTACGTTCTTTCATAATCCGTCAAATCTTTATGTTCTCTATATTCTTAACAAGGTTAGTCTAAGCACAACCAAACTTTCCTATTTGAGCCCTGCTTGTATATTCTTTTAAGCATTCCCATTGTTTCTCTATTATAGTTTTGGATTTATGCCTTATTAAATCCGTCAATTTTGCTAACTCCAGGTACTCACACAGTTTACTTAACCAGTCCCCTTTTGTTGGGATATAATTTCCTTTCCAATGACTGGCTGCCCACATTTTCGCTGCTGTTGTTGCATACAGAAAGATGTTAATTTTGTATTTGGGGATATGCTAACTCAAGATTCCTAGTAAATATGCTTCTGCCCTTCTGATATATGATACTTTTATCAATTTTTTAATCTCTTCATGGATCACCTCCCCAAAATTTTTGACCTCTGGACATGTCCACCACATATGGTATAGAGTGCCTTTCATTCTATTACATCTCCAGCATTTATTACTATTTGATCTATTCGTTTTTGCCAGTCTGTCTGGTGCCATATACCATCTGTGGTGCATCTTCATATAATTCTCTCTAAAAGAATAGTAAGCCGTAAAATTTATATTTTCCCCCAAAAACTTTTTCCAATCTTCAGAATCAATCGTATATCCTAAATCCCATTCCCACTTTATCATATTCTCTCCTTTGACTTCTTGATCTGGGAGGACTTTATCTAATAATCTATATGTTTTAGAGAGTATTTTTTGATTATTTTGTAAAACCTCTCTTTCTAATTTTGATATTTTATTCCCAAATCCCCTAGTTTTTATATCTTTCTCATATGTAGCCTTAAGTTGGAAATATTCTAACCAATTTATTCCAAGTATTTTGAGTTCTTCGTATTCTTTTAATTTGATATTTTCATTCATTCCTTCTGCTAAATCTCTATAAGTTGGCCAGGCAATTTTAATATTATTTTTTTAATATCGAAGTTGCCTCTATTGGAGAGGTCCACCATGCAGTTCTTTCTATAATTCTCTCTTTTGTTCTCTCCCATACCTCAAATAGGGCCTTTCTCACTAGGCGGTTCGTAAATCCTTTATGCTTTATACCCTTTATAGAATAAATATCCATGCCAACCATATATTTTGTCCCAGCCTTCTAGTTCCAAAACTTCAATATCTTTTAGTAACATCCACTCTTTCATCCAACTCCAGCACACTGCTTCAGAATATCTTCTTAAATCTGGTACTGCAAATCCCCCCGTTTCTTTTGGCCCCATCATTAGTTCTGATTTTCTTCTGGCTTTCTTCCCTTGCCATATAAAATTGGCAAGGTCTCTTTGCCAGCTTTTAAAATATTTTGTCCCAATTATTATTGGGATAGTTTGAAATAAAAGTAGGATTTTTGTTAATATCACCATTTTAATCACCGAAGCTGGTGGAAGGCACTCCGGGCCACCGAGGCCACCTCAGCCTCGAGCGACAGCAAAGGCTCCAGGAGTACCCCCAAGCTGTGAACCTGCTCCTTCGGAGGAAACGTGACCCCGTGAAGAGCAGGTGGCCTAGGGAACCACCCACTAACAGTGCCTTGGTCTTATCTGGATTGAGCTTAAGTTTGTTAGCTCTCCAGTCCATTACAGAGGCAAGACACTGGTCCAGCACTTCCACTGCCTCACCTGCAGATGTAAAGGAGAAACAGAGCTGAGTGTCATCAGCGTACTGCTGACAACGTACTCCAAACCTCCAGATAACCCCACCCAGAAGTTTCGTGTAGATGTTTAACAACCTGGGGGATAAGCTTGAGCCCTGAGGAACCCCACATTGAAGGTTCCATGGGGCTGAAAATCACTCCCCATGTACCACCCTCTGGGAACGACCATCCAACTAGGCCTGAAACCATCAAAAAGTCATGCCAAACTCTCCTAGTTCGGAGTGTCACTCCAGAAGGATACCATGGTCGATGGTATCAAAAGCCGCTGACAGGTCGAGAAGAATGAACAGGGACATGTTTCCCTTAACTCTCGACAGAGGTCATCATCATACAGGGCGACCAAAGCAGTTTCTGAGCCCAAACTGGGCCTAAAACCCAATTGAAATGGATCCAGAAAACTAGTTTTTTCCAAAAGCACCTTGATCTGAGTTGGCTTACTTCTCAGCAGATGTGCCGACTTGAATAAAATAATAGGAGGGCCCAGGCAATCACTGTCCAGCAGAATTGATCATATGATGCCGTGCACACACACTATTTGAATGGCAGGGCCCATTAAATTTGGGGGTGCCAGGACCCTACAAATATTTTATTGGCAAAGCCAATCAGCCCCTAGGAGTTGGCTCTTGTGCTTCAGAACCACAAAGGGCTGGGCTGCAGATTCTTCCACCTGGATCTCTGCAACTACTGAGAAGAGTTGAGTGTTGACTATTCCTGGCTCCCTGGAGCAGTCCTTGTTTCTGCTAATAAAGAGTTAGCTTCACATGCTCTCTGTGATTTTTGCTGGCTGGCTCTAGGATTCCATGAATCCAACCTCCCTGGAGGAAGGGGGTACAGTGGGAATAGGACACCCCCCGCTTTACTTCAAGTAGATTCCTGTGCAGGAGGAAGATGCCAAGGCAGCTCTGGAGCCCCTCCAGGAAATTCTCTGCCAGCGCCCCCAACCGTCCCCTGGCAATGCTTGGCTGGGCTTCCCTCCCACACCCTCTTCCTCCCAGTCTAATGGATGAGATGATGCCACACATCACACACCATTTTAATGTCAATCAACTTTTTGGGAGGTGGGGGACAACGGGACCACTTCTTCCCTGCCTCGGGTTTACAGAAAGCTGCAAAATCTGCGCATGCCCAGAGTATGGAGGATTTTCAAAACTGTGGTTATGTTTGGTGTGGGGAAGAAAGGGGGGGAGCTGTCTGCGGTCAAAGGTCCAGGGGTCCTTCACCTTCGCCTTCCCTTTGGTGGGCATCGCATTGCAGTTTCCCCAAAGGGGCCCCTGGGGGTGCAGGGCAGGGCAGCATCTCTTGGCCCCCCAGGAAAAGAGAAACGCGGGTGGGTGGAGGGGGAGAGACTTCCAAGGAGACCCTGCAGGTCCCCAACTTCGCAGCCGGATCCCACGTACCCTGCCGGTGGGTCCCAGGGAAGGCGCTTCCAGGAGAGGCCCTTTAACATTCAGTTTTTTAGTCATTTCAAAGTAGGGATCAAGATGCACACTGCAGAACGCAGAAACCCCCACCTCCCTTGTCGTCAGTCAGCCTAAGATGGGGGGGGGGGCCCTTGATGCAGAGTCCTTGGCCCAGATGGAGAAGGGAGGGCAGCCCTAGAGCGCAGAAGCAGGCAGGGAGAGGGAGGGGCGGTCTCGGTGCCCTCGGCTTGCCAAGGGTTAAAAGGAGCAGAGCGGGATTCCTAGAGAGGACAGGAAGGGGAGGGCGGGGGAGGGCAGGGTCCTCCCGAGCAGAAGCCCCTCCCTGCCCAGTCCCTTCCTGCAAGCAAAGAGGAGGCTGCTTTGTTCTCTCTGCTTTGCAAAAACTTCCTCGGTGCGCCTCCTGGAATCTGGTGAGTCTCTTCTCTCTTCCCCCTTGGGGTGCAGCGGGGAGAAGGGGGTCCCAGGGCTGCAAGGGAGGAGGCACGCCCCCCCCGTTCAGCTCATGCGTGGAGGGGGAGACCCCCAAGTCAGGGAGCAGAGGGTCCTGCCCCCAGTTCCTCTCTGCCAAGCCAGGGAGGGGCTGAGTGTCCAGCAGGTCTGCAACTCTGTTCTTCCTTTGGGGCAACAAAAAGAGGGCATGCAAATAAGCCCCCTTCAGATTGAGGGGAAAGTCGCATTTCATAACACAGAGAAGCATCCAAGGACTCCGAGGAAGGAGAAGCCCTGTGGAGTGGGGAGATACAGCCCCCCCCAAGTGTGGAGACTGGAGGGGAGACCCACGATCTACTCAAATACAATTCCCAGAGTTCCCTGGCAAGAAGGGTGGATTGGTGACCACTCTGGGAATTGCAGTCTTTGGGCAGCAGGGCTGAAGCTGTCTCCTTGCAACTCTCAGGGTCCTGAACCAATTCTGGCTCCCAGGATTCTTGGGAGGAGTCACTAGGGCCGGGTGAGATCTGGTTTCCAACCTTGTGATGGATCAGCAGCTAAACATCTGCCCCCTCCCAGCACAGAGTGGCATGTGCCACTCTTGGGAGCAGGAGCTGCATCCAGCCTTGCTCAGCTCAACATTTTTAGGAAGACCAAGCCCCTCCTGCCCTGGCAAGGCACTGGGGTGAAGCTGCCACGTCATCAGCATCCTGTGTGAATAATAATAATAATAATAATAATATTTACCTGCCAACCATCTGACTGGGTTTCCACAGACGCTCAGGGCGGCTTCCAGCACATATAATATACAGGGCTGCCTTCAGGTGTTTTCTTAAGGTTACATAGTTACTCATCTCCTTGACATCTGATGGGAGCGTGTTCCACAGGAAGGGCGCCACTACCAAGAAGGCCCTCAGCCTGCTTCCCTGTAACTTATCTTCTTGCACGGAGGGAACCGCCAGAAGGCCCTTGGTGCTGGACCTCAGGGTCCAGGCTGAATGATGGGGGTGAAGATGCTCCTTCGGGTATCCTGGGCCGAGGCCGTTTAGGGCTTTAAATGTCAGCACCAACACTTTGAAAGTAGATCCTTTAGGAGCGGTCTTACATGGTTCCAGCAGCCACTCCCAGTCACCAGTATAGCCTCCGCATTCTGCAGAACACTAAGTGAATGACACAGAAGCTGCTGCAGACTAAAGTTAGAAAAGCATTAATTGCTACAAATGGTATAAGGAAACATGATACGGAATTGAGGGAAAAGATGATGGTGACCTGTTGTGGTTACAAAATTTCTGGTCTCTCCCCGAGTGCCATGGGCCCTGCTCCAAAGAGAGCTTCTCTAAAGAAAGCACAACCAAAAATCACTCCATTTTGCGTGAATAAGGAAAATGAGGAGGTGGCTAAGAAACAGCAGGAGCCAGATCCTATTCCCAACCTTCTAGGGTCTCTCAGCAGCTCTAATGATGAGCAGAAAAAGTTTGGGGCCCAACCAGCTCAACTGCTAAGTCATCTCTTGCATTGAGATGTGGGGGCACCTACATGTAATAGCTACTCGGCTATTTTCTGCCGATGCTCTGGGGCTGCAGTTTTCAGGCTTGGGGACAGGATGGTGCCTGGTTTTTGCACCAAGTTCTATTCATAAGCCCCACTGAGTTCAATGGGGTCACTAGTGTGCATACCATGCCAGCCTTACAAAGTGGGGTGAGGTGCAAACAGATTTAATTGGAATCACTGGAGATGTTTCAAATGGGGTTTCTGTTGGAAAGGGGCTGCCCCATTTGTGCTTCTTCAGGAGCAGGAGAATATCTAGGGCAGAAGAATCCCTGCAGGGCCTCTGAGGCTCCCTTTGTTTCTTCCTCTCTCCCAGGACCCTGTAGCTTGTGGTGGCTTCTCGACTCCTCAGGAAGGATGAAAGAGACTGAATCTGTAAACCTAGTGAGGATGGAAGGGGGAAGATGGACGGTTGACCTGGTCAGGTTGTCTCCTGCATCCCTCCTCACAGCCTCTGAGCGTTCCGTCCCAGGGACCTCCGAGAGATCTGGTGAGTCCCAGGGGAGGGGAGATGGGGACATGGCTGGATGGGGGTGTAGATGTATCGGGGCTTGCTTAGCTTGGGGGTGGGATGAGGCAGGCAGGCGGATGGAGATTGAGAAGGTGAGCACCTTTTTGTGCTCCTCCACCAGCCTGCCTGCCTGCCTGCGCCTTTGACATCTGCAAGAAATTTGAGCTAGGAATACATCACAGCTCCCCGGCCACCGCGATGTATTGGCAGCTCAAGATGTCTAGAACCTGTACTGTGATTGAATGCCTTACCAGTGTCAGAGAACTCACTGATCCATCAGGCAGCACTAGAAGCAACGGCTCTTTAAAGTAACCTGCTTTACAGATTGAACACAGATGGGGCCCCTGTGTTTTGTCTTTTTCTTTTCTTTTAGGAATAACTTTTCTTTTAAAAACAAGGATCATATAGGACTCATAAATGATACAAATATGTAGATTTGATTATCAAATCAAATTCTCATATGATTTCTCAAATGAATTCTCATGTGATTCTCAAAAATAATCTTCTCATATGATTCTCAAAAATAGCAGAATAAATTTACAGGAATATCTATAACATATGGTTTATCATTAGTGGTCAGTGTATGAGTTCTGAGTTCATGAATTGGTTTAAATTGGGGGGGAAAGGAGAGATAGGAGACAACAGAGTACATTCAACATCTCCTAGCCGAATGCCTCGTCAGGAGCTCTTGTGACTGTTGTGCTTAGATTAAGTGTGAGTCATAGTCATTTTTCCTCTACTGTTCCCAATGAAACAATACAGAGTTGGTCTCCTTATGAACATGGGAGGGTGGTTCCAAGTGAAGAAAGTGATTTATAAATTTAAATTGAGACCAACCAGATTGAGATAAATGCTGATGGGGAGCGTGCAAATGAAGATGTTCCTGTTTGTTGAGGCATGGAGATTGCTGGATCCTGACCAGAGAGCTCTGCATAAGGAAGTCAAGGAGGGAATCGGGAATCATGCACCCTCTCGGTAAAGCTCCCGTTGGATCATAAGATGAGTTTTGACATTCCATACATACCTCTATGTGATGAACCTCCACTGTTTGGATGGAGACCAACAGCATCTGGGATTCTAACATCCTCACCGTGATCCCTGTATGGAGGGATATCAACTGGTTTCTTTGTGAATATTCTTCATCTAGTCATGCCTTTTTAAACAATGACCAGGCTTGCCTGAACTGCCCAGGCCTTCTTAAATGTCAGCTTGAAAGTTTTTAGGGAAGTTGAAGTAACTTCTGTCAGGTTTGATGTTTTTGCTTTTGCTTCGGTCTGCATTTTGTTGACCAAAGAGATGACTGACCTTTGAGATGGAGTGGACTCCATGACTGAGCTAAACAAATCTATCCCGGATAAAAGCCAAGCAGTTCCAGCCAACAAAGGCAGTGTAAACTGTAGTAAGGCCTCACATCTAACTCCCTTCAGTTCTTCCTCTATCACAAGCATTCATTAACATTGTTCAATAATGTGGAGCTCTATTTCTTCCTGAGGTTCTAATTAGCTTCTCTCTTCATTGCAGATGGTGATGAATTGGAAGGGAAGAACAAGGGGAACCACAACAGAATCCACATAGCGGAGAGGTCCGATAAATATTCAAAGTGTGGAGAGAACACCCATCAGAGCTCCCAGTCCTCCTCCCATCAAACAAAGAGCTTAATTCGAAGGAAAAGCCTCACTTCCCATCAAAGAATTCATACTGGGGAGAAAACATATCAGTGCTTGGAATGTGGGAAGAGCTTCAGTCAGAGAAAACATCTCACTTGTCATCAAAGAATTCATACTGTGGAAAAACCCTATCAGTGCTTGGAATGTGGAAAGAGCTTCAGTCGAAAGGACATTCTCACTTCCCATCAAAGAATTCATACAGGGGAGAAACCATATCAGTGCTTGGAATGTGGAAAGAGCTTCAGTCGAAAGGGCATTCTCACTTCCCATCAGAGAATTCATACCGGGAGGAAACCCTATCAGTGCTTGGAATGTGGGAAGAGCTTCAGTCGAAAGGACATTCTCACTTCCCATCAAAGAATTCATACAGGGGAGAAACCATATCAGTGCTTGGAATGTGGAAAGAGCTTCAGTCGAAAGGGCATTCTCACTTCCCATCAGAGAATTCATACCGGGAGGAAACCCTATCAGTGCTTGGAATGTGGGAAGAGCTTCAGTCAAAAGGACATTCTCACTTCCCATCAGAGAATTCATACCGGGAGGAAACCCTATCAGTGCTTGGAATGTGGGAAGAGCTTCAGTCGAAAGGACATTCTCACTTCCCATCAAAGAATTCATACAGGGGAGAAACCATATCAGTGCTTGGAATGTGGGAAGAGGTTCAGTCAGATGCAGGGTCTCACTATTCATCAAAGAATTCATAGCGGGGATAAAAGATATCAGTGTTTTGAATGTGGGAAGAGCTTCCTGCATGGGACCCATCTCACTTCCCATCAAAGAATTCATACAGGGGAGAAACCCTATCAGTGCTTGGAATGTGGGAAGAGCTTCAGACACAGCAAAAATCTCACTACCCATCAAAGAATTCATACAGGGGAGAAACCCTATCAGTGCTTGGAATGTGGGAAGAGCTTCAGTCGAAAGGACAAGCTCACTTTGCATCAAAGTATTCATACAGGGGAGAAGCCCTATCAATGCTTGGAATGTGGCAAGAGCTTCAGTCGGAAGGGAAGACTCACTTCCCATCAAACAATCCATACAGGGGAGAAACCATATCATTGCTTGGAATGTGGGAAGAGCTTCAGTCGAAAGGACATTCTCACTTCCCATCAAAGAATTCATACAGGGGAGAAACCATATCAGTGCTTGGAATGTGGGAAGAGGTTCAGTCAGAGTGCCACTCTCATGGCCCACCAAATAATTCATACAGGGTTGAAAGCATATCAGCGCATGGAATGTGTTTAAAATTTCACTCGTAAAAAAGTCAATTCAAGAACTCACAGCAGGGTGAATAATAGAATGGTAGATTCGGAATCTAGTCCAACCCCTGCCAATGCAGAAAAAAACTCATTTCAAGCATCCATGACAGATGGCCATCCAACTTCTTCTTAAATACCTCCAATGAAGGAGAGTCCACCCCCTTCTGAGGGAGTTCCTTTTCACTGCTGGCTCTTACTATCAGAAAGTTCTTCCTGATCTTTAGGAGGAAGCTCCTTTTGTGTTGCTTGAATCACCTCTTCAGATTCCTTCATGACCTTGAGAAGGACTTCTGTATGTCTGAGAATGTCCAGGGATTGGACCATGCTCTGTATTCGGGGGGAAACCCATGGAGAGGAGTCCGATATACGGCTTAAGTCATCTGGGCATTGGTCAGATTGTCATAATTACAGACATACTTACTGGTTTGGACGGAAGTGATTCTTATTCCGGGGAAGTGGTGACTGTGAGATTACAGGCGCTCTCACCAATATTATCCAACTGTTCAGTAAAACTTTGACACAGCGGACCAATAGTTTACCCGCTGAGGTCGAAGTATTGGGAGGATAGGTTTAGGGCCGTGTGGTATTGCTTAATTGTATGTGGGGTCCCTATAAAGGGAACTTCTTCCACTAGGTGGGAGGGAGACTGGTCAAGTTACCATCAGTTGAATGCAACATTCAAGTTAGATTTTTAAAAATGGATTTGCAGAACAAAACTCACAGTTTGAAAGGGAGTTATTAGGCTCCAGGGTTACAATAGTACAGTGGTACCTCTGGTTACGTACTTAATTCATTCTGGAGGTCCATTCTTAACCTGAAACTGTTCTTAACCTGAAGCACCACTTTAGCTAATGGGACCTCCCGCTGCCGCTGCGCGATTTCTGTTCTCATCCTGAAGCAAAGTTCTTAACCCGAGGTACTATTTCTGGGTTAGCGGAGTCTGTAACCTGAGGTGTATGTAACCTAAAGCGTATGTAACCCGAGGTACCACTGTATTTAAAATGTATAACATTACTTGAGTGGGATACAAAGAATGGAATGATGAAATCATCAATGAGAAGGTGGGCCAGAGATGTAGGACACAATATTGACTTTGCTTTATGGTAACAACTGTGGAAAGTAAATTTAAGGTTTACAGCTTGCTACACACTAAGGGAAAACTTCATGAAGATGATGCAGAGGACTCAATCAAGATCATCAAGGGTCTGAAACCAAGCCTTATGAGGAGGGCTTGAAGGAACTGGGGGGGGCGGGGGCGGCGTATCTATTTTAAGTGAAGTTTGCCGAAATCTACACTTGCGACATGGGCTGCCATACATCCAGATTTTCCCGGACATTTCAGCAATTTCCGCTCATACGCTGCTTACAGTTCTGGATGTATGGCAACCATGTCTATATACAGTGGTACCTCGGTTTTCAAACAGCTTAGTTCCTGAATAACTTTGAACTCAAATGCTGCAAACCTGGAAGTCAGTGTTCCAGTTTGTGAACTTCGCTTCGGAAGCCGAACATGCTCCTGAGCTTCTGTTTTCACTGTTGCGCTGCTAATTTGTTTCTCCCCATTGTAATAAAAGCCTTCCATTTCCAATTGCAGTGTTCTGAGGTGATATTTGGAGCTTTTATTTGGTGCTTTTGTTTTTGCTAAAAGAAATTGGCTTTTTTATTTGGCTTTTTCGTATTTGTTACTGTGGCTTGTTCTTTGTTTTTGATTGATTGTGTGACTGTGGCTATGTAATAATAATAATAATAATAATAATAATAATAATAATAATTTATTTGTACCCCGCCCATCTGGCCGGGTTTCCCCAGCCACTCTGGGCGGCTTCCAACAAAGATGAAAGATACACTAAAATGTCACATATTAAAAACTTCCCTGAACAGGGCTGCCTTCAGATGTCTTCTGAATGTCAGGTAGATGTTTATCGCTTTGACATCTGATGGGAGGGCGTTCCACAGGGCGGGCGCCACTACCGAGAAGGCCCTCTGCCTTGTTCCCTGTAACTTGGCCTCTTGCAGTGAGGGAACCGTCAGAAGGCCCTCGGAGCTGGACCTCAGTGTCCGGGCAGAACGATGGGGGAGGAGACGCTCCTTCAGATATACTGGACTGAGGCCGTTTAGGGCTTTAAAGGTCAGCACCAACACTTTGAATTGTGCTCGGAAACATACTGGGAGCCAATGTAGGTCTTTCAAGACCGGTGTTATATGGTCTCGGCGGCCGCTCCCAGTCACCAGTCTAGCTGCCGCATTCTGGATTAGTTGTAGTTTCCGGGTCACCTTCAAAGGTAGCCCCACGTAGAGCGCATTTCAGTAGTCCAAGCGGGAGATAACCAGAGCATGTACCACTCTGGCGAGACAGTCTGCAGGCAGATAGGGTCTCAGCCTACGTACCAGATGGAGCTGGTAAACAGCTGCCCTGGATACAGATTTGACCTGTGCCTCCATGGACAGCTGTGAGTCCAAAATGACTCCCAGACTGCGCACCTGATCCTTCAGGGGCACAGTTACCCCATTCAGGACCAGGGAATCCTCCACACCTGCCCGCCTCCTGTCCCCCAAAAACAGTACTTCTGTCTTGTCAGGATTCAACCTCAATCTGTTAGCCGCCATCCATCCTCCAATTGCTTCCAGACTCTCACACAGGACGTTCACCGCCTTCACTGGTTCTGATTTAAAAGAGAGGTAGAGCTGGGTATCATCCGCATACTGAACACCCAGCCCAAACCTCCTGATGATCTCTCCCAGTGGCTGCATGTTGAAAAGCATGGGGGAGAGGACAGAACCCTGAGGCACCCCACAAGTGAGAGCCCAGGGGTCTGAACACTCATCCCCCCCCCCACTTTCTGAACACGGCCCAGGAGGAAGGAGCGGAACCACTGTATGACAGTGCCCCCAGCTCCCAGCCCCTCAAGATGGTCCAGAAGGATATTATGGTCGATGGTATCAAACGCCGCTGAGAGATCCAGCAGAACTAGGAAACAGCTCTCACCTTTGTCCCTAGCCCGCCGGAGATCATCAACCAGTGCGACCAAGGCAGTTTCAGTCCCATGATGAGGCCTGAATCCCGACTGGAAGGGATCCAAATGGTCCGCTTCTTCCAGGCGTGCCTGGAGTTGTTCAGCAACCACTCGCTCAATTACCTTGCCCAAGTATGGAAGATTTGAGACTGGGCGATAATTGGCCATTGTGGATGCATCTAAAGATGGTTTTTTAAGAAGCAGTTTAATAACTGCCTCTTTCAGCGGGTCTGGGAAGGCTCCCTCACGGAGGGAAGCATTCACCACCCCACGAAGCTCATCGCCCAGTCCTTCCCGGCTAGCTTTTATAAGCCAGGATGGGCAAGGATCCAGGAGACAGGTGGTTGGCTTCACTCGCCCAAGCAGCCTGTCCACATCCTCGGAGGTAACAGATTGGAATTGCTCCAACACAACTTGACTAGACAGGACTCTAGCACTCTCCCGCCCTGGCCCTGCTCCCACGGTGGAGTCTACTTCTTCCCGAATCTGAGCGATTTTATCTGCAAAAAACTTTGCAAAAAACTGGGCCCCGATGTCGCAGGTGGTTCCGCTAAATTGTGAACCACCTGAAAAAGTCTCCTGCTGCTGTTTTCTGCAGATGCAATACAGGCAGCGAAGAAAGTCTTCGCCGTCACTATCGCCACTTGGTAGGCTCGACGTTGAGCTCTAACCTGTGTCCGGTCAGATTCGAATGAGTTATCCGCCACCAGCGCTCTAGCCGTCTCAACGATTGTTTCATTGCCCTCAGATCCGTGGAAAACCACGGGGCTCTCCGGGCTCCATGCAATCGGAGAGGGCACTCGGAGCCAAACAGTCAATAGCCCTGGTTAACTCCACATTCCAGCGGGCCACCAGGGAATCGGCTGAAAGGCCATCAACATGGGATAAAGCATCCCCTACCACTCTCTGGAAACCATTTGGATCCATTAAGTGGCGGGGGCGGACCATCCGAATCGGTCCCACCTCCCTGCAGAGGGGATGGGTCGCAGAGAAGTCCAGTTGCACCAGGAAGTGATCTGACCATGGCACTTCTTTCGTTTTGCTTTTACTTAGTGTCAGATCACCAACATCCATAGAGGTAAACACCAGGTCCAAGGCATGTCCGCGGCTATGGGTTGGGCCAGACTTATTCAGGGACAGCCCCATGGAGGCCATGCTTTCCACGAAGTCCCGAGCAGCCCCTTGTAAGGTCGTGTCGGCATGGATGTTAAAATCCCTAGGACAACCAAGCTAGGTGTCTCCAGGAGAACATCCGCCACAACCTGAAGCAGCTCGGGCAGCGAATCCTTGGTGCAGCGGGGAGGTCGGTACACCAAAGGAATCCTGTACTGCCCCTATTGCCCAACTTCCAGAACATGCACTCGGAAAACTGGGTCTTCCCAATAGGACGCCTGGTGCAAACTAATGACTTCCTAAAAATCACTGCAACCCCCCCTCCCCACCCACATGACCTGGGTTGCTGTGCGTAAGAGAAACCTGGTGGATAAGCAGCGGCAAGGACAGGTCCATCTGCTTCATCCAACCAAGTCTCTGTTACACATGCCAGGTCAAGTCCTCCATCCATGATCAAGTCATGGATGGCAGTGGTCTTATGAATCACTGACCTGGCATTGCACAGCAACACTTTCAGGTCATGTAGGTATCCCTTGCTGATTCTAGTATCCATCCGGTCAGGACCAGACCCGGAGGCAGGGATAGTCCTCAGACAACGACTAAACCTGCCTCCTCTGTAATGACATGGTCTGGTCTTAGCGTAACTCCCCTTCCTACCCGTGATCACTGAGATCGGTTGTCCCAGTGCATCCCCCCCTGTGGAACATGCCCCAGCCATTTTGTTGGCTGGGACCTACTCCCCAGCAGCCCTGACCCCTCCCCTTAAGAACAAAATAAAACCTTAAAAAAAACACAAATAAAGCAATACAAACAAAAAACAAGAAAAATTACAAAAACATAAAATCAAACAAATTCCCAGGCCCAATAAACATCCATCCCACCCCCACCCCCCCACATACAACAAATTCAAAAGAAAAATTTTAAAACATTTTAAAAGCACTCTGCACCCCTCCAGCAGTAACAGCAACTGTCCTAGTGAGGCCCGTCAGGCCCTGCCCTGGGCCAGGTGGTAAGTGGCAGGAAGGAGCAGGGCCCCCAGACACTCACACAGGAGAGTCCTCCTGGGCAGCAGAGCACAGCAGTCCTTGTGAGGCTTCAGGCCCCGCCCCGGGCCAGATGGTAAGTGGCAAGAGCAGGGCCCCCAGACACTCACACAGGAGAGTCCTCCTCAATGTATAAAACCCCCCATCCAAACAATGTCTATCATCAGTGCAGGTAAGAATTTTTTTTTAAAATTTTAATGTACAGTACTGTCTTCTTTCTTTTATAGTACAGTACATTGATTATTGCTTTCATTTTATGGATCAATGGTCTTGTTAGATAGTAAAATTCATGTTAAATTGCTGTTTTAGGAGTTGTTTTTAAAAGTCTGGAACGGATTAATCTGTTATACATTACTTTCTATGGGAAAGCGCACCTTGGTTTTGGAACGCTTTGGTTTTCGAACAGACTTCCAGAACGGATTAAGTTTGAGAACCAAGATACCACTGTAGTCAGTTGCTTCAGTCAGTCCTGACTGACTATATAATCACAATGGGTTATCTTACAGTTTTTGTGTGAACGTAAACAAAGATCCTTGGCGACTCAGGCAGAAGTTGAACAAACAAGAAAGATTTATTTTACAGAACAAAGTTGAAAAAAGCGAAGGATGTGTCAGGAGATAGATAATGTTCTTTCAGGAAGCAGTGAACTCAATAATAAATTGTACTAAATTTAGTGTATGTTACAGGCTTCTAAACAAAGTAGTAAATGCACAGCTTCTTTTAAACTTCTGTTGCTTCTTTTAAGTTATTCCTCTTCGATGTTACAGGTGTCTAGAGAGGGTGGCCAATGCTGAGCTTATTTCCAGTTATTTCACTTCAGCTCTTTAACTTAGCTGTTGCAGCTTAATATTTTGATTCTTAAACAAGGTGGTACTTTCTGTCAGTTTCCACGCTCCTGAGGTACTTTTGACAGTATAGCCGACCCAGGGGGTCACCACACCCTTCATAACTGGTTTGGGATTCTTCTCTTTCTAGATCTTTCCCTTCCTGACTGAAATGAGACCCAAGTAGACAGTATCCTCACAGCTTCTACTTCTCCTTGCTTCCAGCCTTCCAGTTAACTCCTGTCTGAATACTCTCTCAAAACTAGTCTTTCTAAGCTCAGAGACCCCTTTCTCTAGCTTGGGATAATTTCCTCAGAGTGCACTTCATACACAGACCAGAAACAACCCTCCTCTCCCACAAAACTATCCCTCCACTTTCTCAGAAACGGCTCATTTTATTTTCCCTCCAAAAGTGCTGGCTCCACCCCCCTGTCTTGGTAGCCAATCAGAGAGAGGCTCCAGCTCTCTCATGGAATTCTGAGGCCCTGCACCCCCGATTCTGGCCAAGCTCAGCTGCCCATCACAGATAACTTCCTACAATTACTAATTACACACAATCAACACACCTTGGCTGGTTTGACAGTTGATTCAAAGCAGCTAAGAAAGCTCCAGCTAACACAGTTAAGACATCAGAATCCATCAGAGGAATCCATGGAAAATTTGATCAAACGTAGGTTGGAATACAAGAGTCTGCTCCACGACAAGAAAGCTGAAAATACGAAAGCCCTTGGGACTAGCTAATGGAACAGAGGGAAGACAAATGCTGGGAGCTGGTGGCCCAGGGTTTAATTGAAGACAGGTCATCAGAGGAAGCCTGAATGGCAACCAGTCTCCTGTAACGAGATGAAAACCCTCATTTCTTGCCTGAAATCAAACATAGCATCCCCACGAGCTCCTGGAATGGTGGATAGAATAAAAGGTGGGGAAGGGAGGAAGAAAAGGGATTTCAAAAGCAAAACACTGTAGGTCTTAAGATGGACTAATCATAGCCTAGCCACTAACAATATAGTATTTCAAGCACATTAATGAACAGCACAGGGAACGGTCAGTTTCCCAGTGGTATGGAAGGTGCAGTTATGGACCCCGTGGCGAGGGTCAGTGGGGACAAAGCTGCTGTGCGTTCCACACACACTTTTGTGGAAGCAGCCTGTGTCTCCTCCTGGACATTGAGAGACACAGCCATTTAAAGCACGTTTCTCAAGTAGGCATCCTAAACTGCTCAGAGACCTGAGATACAGGGGCTGCTTCGCTTAAAGGAAAGTCCGATGGAAGGAGACCAAGGCCTTTATTTCAATTTTAAAAAAATATTAAAGATTTTCTTGGGTTACAAAAGTACGTGCACCGTCTCCATTTTCAGGTTGTAGAGTCTTTTCTACAGAGCGGTTACATTTGGTGTGAGAGAAACCAAGGCCTTCATCCACATCCCTCAGCAAATGACTCAGAGACTTCTCTCCGTCTTCGTCTCCCTTTCACACCCCTCAACCCTGTCCACAATTGTCCCTCAGCCCTAATTTTTCCACACAGTCCTTTAGAACATTTTTATGACCTAAGAGACGCGGAAAACCACCTTCATTAGTCACCTTCCATATATGTCACAAGCCAATGCATAATAAAAACACCTTTGGATTGACTGCTTCTGTCGACAGGTGTCTATTGTACAGGTACTGTAACGAGCTGGGATAACAGGTAAGACCTCTCCCTTACAGCAGGTGCTTCTAATCTCAGCTCGTTACGTAACAGTTAAGATACCAGGTAGCCTGACATCTGGCTGGTGGATAAGGGATCAAATACTTATTTCACTCATTGTAATGCACATCAATCTCTGATTTGACTTCTAGGTTTCTGGGGTTTTTCCTGTTGTTATTCTGTTTCTCTCACAGCTATAATAGACATACCATTAAAATTATGGACTGGTCATTTCTTCCTCCACCCCCCCCCCAGTTATTATTAATACCCTGCCCTCCCCAGCCAAGCCGGGCTCAGGGTGGCTAACACCAGTAAAATTACAGTAAAAACATAATAGGGGAAAAAACAACAATTTAAAATACGCGTTAAAATACAATTTAAAATGCAGCCTCATTTTAAAATAGCTGATAAATCAAGACCATAAGGGAAGGGAAACATAAGGGTCAGACCGAGTCCAAACCAAAGGCCAGGTGGAACAGCTCTGTCTTGCAGGCCCTACGGAAAGATGTCAAGTCCCGCAGGGCCCTAGTCTCTTGTGACAGAGCATTCCACCAAGTTGGGGCCAGTACTGAAAAGGCCCTGGCCCTAGTTGAGACCAATCTAACCACCCTGTGACTTGGGACCTCCAAAATGTTGTCATTTGTGGACCTTAAGGTCCTCCACCAAGTGTACCGGGAGAGGCGGTCCCGTAGGTACGTGGGTCCTGGGCCGCAATTAAAACAATGCATGTCATGCTGCCATTCCTATAATTCTAGTTTAACCAACTCATTTCCGGGTTTGAAATGGTCATAATCCAAAATGTTCATCAACGAGGCTGTTCGTAACCTGAGGTACACTGTACAAAGCAACTTATCCTTTACTAACTATTGTGATACATTACCTTGATTACTTTACTATATGAAAGTACAACTTTACATTGAAACACCAGATCATCACATACATGGGATGCATTTAAATTTGATTTCCACCTATAGGAGCCTGTTCATTTGAAGGAAGAAATGAACCCTTGAGAGAGCCAGTGTGGTGTAGTGGTTAAGAGCGGTGTTTCGTAATCTGGTGAACCGGGTTCGCGTCTCCGCTCCTCCACATGCAGCTGCTGGGTGACTATGGGCTAGTCACGCTTCTCTGAAGTCTCTCAGCCTCACTCACCTCACACAGTGTTTGTTGTGGGGGAGGAAGGGAAGGGAGAATGTTAGCCGCTTTGAGACTCCTTAGGGTAGTGATAAAGCGGGATATCAAATCCAAACTCCTCCTCCTCCTCTTCTTGTTGAGGAAAAATCTTTCTACACTCCATACCTCTTTCCACACTTCATACATTTGTTGTATAAGGTTTCTCCCCTGTGTGAGTCCTTTGATGGTTTCTTAGTATTCCGCTATGACAGAAGCTCTTTCCACACTGCATACATTTAAATGGTTTTTCTCCCGTGCGAGTCTGTTGATGTACTCTTAGAGTTTGACTCTGACTGAAGCTATTTCCACACTCCATACATTTAGATCATTTTTCTCCTGTGTGTCTGTTGATGTAGTCTTAGAGTTCCCTTTTGACTGAAGCTCTTTCCACACTCCATACATTTAAATGGTTTCTCCCCTGTGTGCGTTCGATGATGTAAAGTAAGATGTTCACCTGAACGAAAGCTTTTTCCACATTCCAAACATTTACAAGGTCTCTCACCCGTGTGAGTTTGATGATGTCTATTAAGTGATGAACTCTGAGTGAAGCTTTTTCCACACTCCATACATTGAAATGGTTTCTCCCCTGTGTGAGTACGTAGATGTTTTCTGAAGTTTCCATTATGTGTGAAGCTCTTTCCACAGTCCATACATTTAAATGGTTTCTCCCCTGTGTGAGTTCGATGATGTAAAGTCAGATGATCACATGAACGAAAGCTCTTTCCACATTCCATACATTTATATGGTTTCTCCCTGTGTGAGTCCGTTGATGGTTGCTTAGGTTTCTATTATGTGTGAAGCTCTTTCCACAGTCCATACATTTAAATGGTTTCTCCTCTGTGTGAGTCCGTAAATGCTTGCTTAGCGTTATGCTATGACAGAAGCTCTTTCCACACTCTATACATTTAAATGGTTTCTCCCTGTGTGAGTCCGTTGATGGTTGCTTAGGTTTCTATTATGTGTGAAGCTCTTTCCACAGTCCATACATTTAAATGGTTTCTTCTCTGTGTGAGTCCGTAAATGCTTGCTTAGCGTTATGCTATGATAGAAGCTCTTCCCACACAGTATACATTTAAATGGTTTTTCTGTTTCGTGAATCCTTTGATGTACAATAAGTTGTCTACTCATACTGAATCTCCATCCACACTGCATACATTTGTAGGGTTTTTCACTCATGTGAGTTAGATGATGTAAAGTAAGAGATGAAGTTTGTCTGACGCTCTTTCCACACTCCATACCTTTAAACGGTTTCCCCACTCTGTGAGTTTATTGATGTGAGTTTATTAACTGTGCACATGGACTGAAGCACATTCCACATTCACCACATTTAAATGGTCTCTTCGTATTTCCAAATGAAATTACAGATGACACACTGTATTCTCCATAACCTGCTTGGAAATGAGAGGAGAGGAAAACCCCTGTTAGTATTTCAAGGAAGAGAACAAAGACTGTAACACACATCAAATGCAATTAGCACCTTCTCTTATTTCAACCTATTGTACATTCCTCCCTGTCTTCTTTATGTCCCAAATTTTAAACAAATGAGGTGAAACAATGCCAAATAATAGGAATGCATCATCAACCTTCCATAATACTAAATTATCATTAATAAAGTAGTTTGATCTAAGAATACAGTTGTGGGATTGCCTTTTTAAATAAGGACCTGCCTGACAGGAAAGGGAGCTGTTTTCCTTCCACAAACTGTTGAATGGTTTTTTTAAATGTAAAGGTTCATCATTGTTCCACCAGTTGTGTATGTCTTTAAGGGGCCAGAGCAAGGGCCAGAGCAAAATAACGAGACCCAGGTTTACAGCTGTGAAACATAGCAGGTGCTGCTGAGTTGTATTGATTCAGCTGTGTCAGTATTTGGGTGTAGTATATAAGGAGCAGCACCTAGCTCTCCCATTACCCTGGGGGATGGGTTGGTGGTTGGGTCATGGTTGTTTGTTGTTGTCTTTAGTGTAAATGGAGTTTTTGTTTTTGTTACTAAAACCTTGTTTAAGTTATTTTTGAGTCCTTTTTAATGCATGGTCTTCCCAGCAAACTCTCTGCAGCGCTACCATACTGCAAATAGCCACCATCTTTGGTTATGGGCCCAGCTGCTGAGTGGATGACTGCATATTTTTGGACTCTGAGAAAGGTTTGAAAACTCCTTCTCCTGTTAGCGTAGTTCTGTGGGTCTGGAAGAGTTCCAGAATGGTTGACCGGGTTCCAGAAGCTGAGGAGGCTCTGGTCTTCCCACAGCTGACAGATGAGAACTATAGTTTATGGTCTTTTCAGGTGGAGGCGCTTTTGACCTCTAGAGAAATATGGACCTATATAACTGATGACCCTCCTGACCCTGTAACTAATGCTTGGTCAAAAGGAGATGCAAAAGCCAGGGCGATAATTAATTTGGCAGTCAGCGACCAGCAAGTTATCTATATAAGGAATAAGAAAACTGCCAAAGAAATGTGGGACAGTCTTGCAGCAGTGCATATTAGAAAAGAGTCAGCGTCTGCATTGACGTTTTTCAAGCAGTTGTACCAGATGAAGTTGCAGCCTGGTGGTGATTTGGCAGCACACTTGAGACGTCTGGAGGCAATACGCTGCGAATTAATTCGAAGGAACATGGAGATACCTGATATTCAGTATGTTTTTATCATTCTATGTTCCCTTAATGAGGACTTTGATGGTATAGCTAGCCAGATATCTGCCGTTCCACCAGCACAATTAACTGTGGAAGGGGTAATGGCAAGATTATTGGGCGAGTTGGATAGAAGGGAGGCTTGTGCCATAAGCACTCCTATTTCCAGAAAGAATGAGGAACACCACATGCAAACCTGTGGTGATACAACTGCATTTAAAGCTGCCAAGCGTTGTTGGTTCTGCAATAAGCAGGGACATTTTGCAAAGGACTGCAGACCCAAAAGAAAGCAAAGCACTCCAAAGTCTGTTTCTGTTCGTCAGTCACGGTCGTCAGCCCAGCAGCCGACATCGTATCGTAAAGACAGAAACGAGCCGCGAGCTTTTCATGCTCTGACAACAGATCGTAAAAGAATTAAAGGTGCCAAGTGGAAATCTTTTATTGTGGACTCAGGAGCATCCCAGCACATTTGCAACGATCGAAGCTTGTTTATTTCTTTCAAAGAGGAAATTGGTAATGTACATTTAGCCAATTCACAAGTCTTGCAGTCGCTTGGCAGGGGTACTGTTAAACTTGACTCTTTAAACATTACAATAGTGAACTGCATTTACTGCCCGTCAGTGGACAATTTATTGTCAGTAAGGTGCTTTGCTCGTCAAGGCATAACTGTGCGTTTCTCAAAGTCAATGTGTGAGTTTTTCGATGGGAACAGACGTCTATTGTATGCCCGGGACGCTGATGGTTTATATAGACTGTAATTTCGCACCTACTCCCAATCGCCTATAAATTGTAGAACAGCACAGTCAAGCCAGGGGTTGAGGAATGTAAGGCCACATTCTGGGTGTGTCCACGAGGCGCACAGAGTTCTAGGACATCTGAATTTTGCTGATGTAATTAAGACAAAGAATATTGTTAATGGCCTCAACTTAAAACCATGTAAATTCTTTATGCAATGTCTATCCTATTGCAAAAATAAGATTAAGGTTGCACGCAAGGGTAGGTGCTCAGATAGGAAAGTACCTGAGCCATTTGAGCGTGTACATTGTGATTTAGTTGGGCCACTTCCACCATCATTAGGAGGTTCTAAGTACTGGCTTACTCTCATAGACCAGTGTAGTAGATATTGTTAGACTTATGCAATAGCTGAGAAGTCCCAAGCATTTGAGAAGTACAAAGTTTTTTGCAGTTGGGTAAAAACGCATTTTAACAAACCTATTAAGAACCTGTTTTCTGACCGGGGTGGAGAATTTGTTTCTGAGGTTTTTGAGAAGTTCCTGGAAGCGCAGGGGACTGCACATGAGTTATCTTGCCCCTGAAGTCCCTGGCAAAATGGGCTTGTTGAAGTTGTGCAACATGACCTGCAGGCAGGGATTAAAACTTATCTGCACGATGCTAATCTGCCCAAAGATTTTTGGGCTGAAGCGCTCCATGCCTTTTGTTATGTGAGAAATCGCAGTTATCATTCTGGTTTAGATGTCACCCCCTATGAGAAGCTGTTTAAAAAACGCCCTAATCTGAAATACCTACGCATTTGGGGTTCAGATGTAATTATGCATTATCCCGCTAAGCAGAAATTGGGTGAACGTAGTGTCCAGGGAAAATTAATGGGCTACCAGCAGGGGGCGTACAGAATTTACGTCCCAGCAACTGGCAAATTTCATGTTACCAGAAGCATGATACAAACTGTAAATTGGAATGGAGTTGCTGTTTTCCAAGATACTGATGGCATAGATAATACTGAGGAAGAAGAGGAAGAAGCAGTAGCAGCAGCAGGGAATAATAATGATTCTGAATTAATGGGAGAAGATGAAAAGCCTGTTGAATCTGATAATTTGCTTGATGATTTAAAGTCACAGGCACCCAAGGGGAGGTTAGATTCTTTTGAGTTTTCTGACTGTGAGCTTAGCCTACAGGCATCTCTTCAGTCTGACAATGGTGGTTTACAACCTGAAACTAGTAGTTCACTTAGTCCCGTTAAGTCTGAGGAGTCTGACTCTCCTTCTGGACTGAGACGTTCAGATAGAAAGAGGCAGAAGCCACAACGTTTTGCAGATGAACATTTTAATACTGTGTATGCCAATAAGGCAGTTTTTGAGCCAAAAAGCTACAATGATGTTCATAATTTACCTAAACACCAAGCTGTAAATTGGTATAAAGCTATGAACTCTGAGATAGCTTCTTTAAAAGAGCATAACACTTGGTCTCTTGTACCACAAACCCCAGATATGAGACTTATTGATTCAAAATGGGTTTATAGAGTTAAAATGAATGACAAAAATGAAGTTGTAAGGTACAAGACTAGATTAGTTGCTAGGGGTTTTCAACAAATTCCAGGTGAAGATTATGATTTGTGTTATTCACCAAGTGTAAAATATGAGACAGTTCAGCTTTTGTTAAAAGATGCATCACAACGTGGACATTCTGTTTATCATTTAGATATAAAAGCTGCATATTTGTTTGCAGATTTAAAAGAACAAATTTCTATGTGTGTTCCTGAAGGCATAGATGCCGCTGAAGGTTTGATACGCAAATTAAATAAATCCCTTTATGGTCTGCACCAAAGTGGAAGGAATTGGCACCAAACTTTAGCAAAAGAATTGCTGGATATTGGTTTTTCACAAGGAAAGGCAGACAATTGTGTGTTTATAAAGGAAAGGGCAAACTCTGTAACAAAAATATGTGTGTATGTAGATGACGTGTTAATTTCTACAAAAACTAAACAGGAATATGAACAGGTAGTATCACAGTTACAGAATAAATTTGATGTGGTGGAATTAGGCATAGCTAAAAATTACTTATCCATGCAAATTGAGAAAGGTAAAAATGGATCTTTTTTGGTTCATCAAACTGCAAAAATTGATGATCTTGTTGAAATGCTACGTTTAGAAAATGCAAATGGGAAGGAAACACCCATGGTGTGTGGTTTCACCTTTACTGGTGAAGATAAGCCATTTCCTAACAAAACTTTGTATCGTTCTGCTATAGGCAAGCTAAATTTCATTCAAAGAATCTCAAGACCAGATATAACTTATGCTTTTCACTTTCTGGCAAAATTTGTGGAAAAGCCCACTATGCAATGTTTCTCTGCTCTTAAGAGAGTGGTAATGTACCTTAAACATACCAAACATTATAGGTTGCAGTTTACATCCAGTATTGACAAAGGTTTTGAAATTTTCTGCGATGCATCTCATGCAGTGGAACAAAATAGTTGCAGGGGTGTGTCTGGTATGGTGTTTTGTTATAACGGTTGTCCATTTGAATGGAAGTCCCAAACACAAACCATTATTTGTCTCTCCACAGCAGAGAGTGAATTATGTGCATGCGTTCAGGCTACTTGTGATGTAGAATGGTATCTGCAAGTATTTGCAGACCTACAGATGCAAGTAACACTACCAGTAAAAGTTTACCTTGATTCCCAGAGCGGACTCGCTATCCTGTGTTCAGAGACCAATACGCAGCGCACTAGAGTCTTAAGATTACGTTTACAGTTTGTAAAGAAACTAATTGCTGACGAAATAGTTGTATTTCAATATGTTCCAGGTGACAATCAAATTATGGACATTTTTACAAAAGCACTTCCAAAGGTTACACATGAAAGACATGTACAAAATATGCTTTATGTTTTTGTTCCACAATGATGAACCGCAGGGGAAATGTTGAATGGTTCCTTTAAATGTAAAGGTTCATCGTTGTTCCACCAGTTGTGTATGTCTTTAAGGGGCCAGAGCAAAATAACGAGACCCAGGTTTACAGCTGTGAAACATGGCAGGTGCTGCTGAGTTGTATTGATTAAGCTGTGCCAGCATTTGGGTGTAGTATATAAGGAGCAGCACCTAGCTCTCCCATTACCCTGGGGGATGGGTTGGTGGTTGGGTCATGGTTGTTTGTTGTTGTCTTTAGTGTAAATGGAGTTTTTGTTTTTGTTATTAAAACCTTGTTTAAGTTATTTTTGAGTCCTTTTTAATGCATGGTCTCCCCAGCAAGCTCTCTGCAGCGCTACCATACTGCAAATAGCCAACACAAACGTGCGCTCCATTTCTCAGAATCAGAGTTGCTAACGCCATTTTTCATTCTCTGTCTAATATTATTCCACCTCTGGGGCACATTTCAGCCCTTTGGACCTCTGGATATTTATTAATCACCCACACAGTCCCTTGGGCCCCAGGAGGTGCATAGCAGCCATATTGGGAGACCCAGGGTTCAGGTTTTTCTAGGGACTGTAGCCTGGAACTAGTGAGAAGGCTTGGCGCTTGGAAGAAACTGAAGGTGTGCTCAGGTAGGCTAATGTCCTTGGAGCTGGACCTCCATCTGTCAGCCTTGCAGTGCAGAGGGAGAGCTGGAGATGCAGGAAAAGGCTGTTGGAGCCTGGCTGCTGGAATCCCAGATTGAAACACTCACCCCAATTTTTATTTATTAGATTTAGAAACCACCCTTCTAAGTCTGAGTGTGAGGGGGAGGCCAGGAGTCCTGTCTCATGCTGTGTGTAGGAGCAAGAGACATGGATGGCGAGGGAGCTGCTGCAGTGACCTGCCACACCTGTGCCATGTTTGTCCTCCTGCCTGAGAATGCGCAGAATTACATCTGCAGCAGATGCAGGAAGAGAAGGAACCAGCAAGCTGAGGTCCGCCTATCTGCCCTACGAGCTCCTGAGCAAGATGAGGGATTTCTTGAAAGAGAGCAGAGTGGATGGTCCTGGGACAGCAACACAGGTGGGGTTGGCCACAGCCAGGAGGAAGATCACTGGTTGCAGGAAACGAAAACCTGGAGGAATGCAGTACAGAGAAACGGGGCTGTTAGGAACCCTGATGTGTCACTCGAGCTGCAAAATCAATTCTGGGACAGAGGAGCAAGATGCAGACCTCAGAACACGCCAAGGTGGCTGTGGAAGGGGCAGGGTATGGAGCAATTCCTACCACTCCCCAGAGGAGGAAGAGGGATGTGATGGTGGTACGTGACTTCCTACTAAGGGGGACAGAGGCAGCAGTGTGTGGAGGTAACAGGATCAGTGTTAGAAACTCATATATATAATCTAGGTGCCAAATGTCTTGTTAAATCAAGGTTACAGCCGCCCAAAATTGAATGTCTAGGAGTCATGAGAAGAGAAGACTCCCTGGAAAAGACCCTGATGTTGGGAAAGATGGAGGGCACAAGGAGAAGGGGACAACAGAGGACGAGATGGTTGGACAGTGTTCTCGAAGCTACCAGCATGAATTTGACCAAACTGCAGGAGGCAGTGGAAGACAGGAGTGCCTGGCGTGCTCTGGTCCAGGGGGTCACGAAGAGGCAGACACAGCTAAACGACTAAACAACAACAGTTGCCATTTGGGGTAGGATGTCTCTAAAGTCTTATTTTTCAAATGATGGACAGATTGTGATTGATTCTCAGTTAAACATCTGGCTAGTTCAAAGGACAACCTTGTGCTAGGTTTAAGAACTTCTGAGAACTTAAAGAAGAAATGTCCTTTGATCCAGGGACAGTACACATAGATATTGGCCTATTCTGACTTCTTTTTCTTAATGGTGACACAGACCATTCATAATGAAAGATGATTCTTCACAACAAGTGTGAGAGGGCAGTGGAGACAAGCGACGACAATTCACTATCACATTGTTCACTGCTGCTGCTCATTGGATCAGTGATTTTGTTTAAATGAGCTACACATACTGTAGGGTCTCATTGCATACTGAAAAGACATACTCCTCAATTTCTCCTGCTCAGTGTTTTTCTATTTTTATTTTTTTGGTTTCAGGCAAGGAGATGAGCTCAAACTCATCGTACCAGAGTCTCTCGTTTGTCAAATAAGTAAAGCATAAGTGTTATTGATGCTATACGTGACTGTAAAAACCTTCAAAAAAGTTCATCTTGTGAAGAAGCAAAGACAACACAAACCTGGGAGTCTCTGTAGATTTTGCGTAGTTATTTTAAGGTAGGGGCCTCTGAATTCTGCACCAGCTGAAGTTACTGAACCCTCTTCAGAGGCAGCCCTACATATAACACATTGCAGCAATCTAATCTTGAGGTTACCAGAGCAATTATTACTTATTAAATTTATTAATCACACTTCATCTAAAGACCACGAAGCAATTATAATGGCGTATAATTCCCCATCAGTCCCCTGGGCAATAATGGGTAGGGAATGTGCCTCCTCATCCCATAGTCAGGACACAGCACTATCCTTGTAGGAATTCTCTGCCCAAGCCTCTCTCACTGTCCTCCTTTGGGGTGGGGGGCCATGGACTCTTCGCCCCCCACCCCAAGGGAGAGCCCCACCTGTGCTCCAACAGGGAAGATCTGCAACACGGGAAAAGGTGGATATTAAAGGTCCAGAGGCCTGATTGTGGGGAAGAAAGGAAAGAGAGAGGAGGTGGAAGCACGGATGTTTCCACGGAAAGAGATTAAAAAGGTGAGTATAAAGAAGAAGCCAGCCTTCAAATCGGGGTCATTGTACCTGGCTCCCTTTCCGACTCAGAACCTGAGAGACACTCCCTTCTGGAACACCCCCAGGCCATCTTCTGGAATATAAGCCAGGCACCTTTGGGGACATCATCCAGACCTTCTTTTACTGTGGGAACCTTGGATTCATATGGTTGCTGGAGTACAGATGTCAATCATAATCCCTGAAAAATCGTCTAAAGACCCCTTGGTATCCACGCCCACCTTGAACTCCCAAGTCACACTGAGCCCCAAAAAACCTTCTCTTCTGAGGTTTCTCTGAAAATACTAATTATCTGCATTTTGCTTTCTCCTTCCTCTATGATCTGGAACATCTTCCTGATGCATTTGTCTGTCTCTGCTCTGTCGTCTTTTGTTTCACTAGTCATTTATCAATCCCCCCTTTTCCTCCAAGGAGGCAGGTGAGGCCAAGAGGCAAGATCCCCCAGGGGAATTTAACCCCCTGCCTCCCAGGTCCTTGTCGGACACTTTCTTCTCAGGCTGGTCTCATTCAGGGGCTTCACACGAGGCTCCAATTGCTTTGACTAGAAGCCTCCTAAAGCAATTTTAGAATGATTGCTATTCTTCTATTTATCTATACCCCACCTTTTTATCCTGACACGGGCTTCAACTGCCCCTCTCCTCTCCTCTCCCAGTGGACCGGCTTGGAAGAATGCAGATCAAGGGGCCTGGAGCTCCCAGCATCCGATGCAGCAGCTTCCCTGGGACAAAATGGGGGGGGGGGAGGGGGTTCAGCTTGCAGGAATCCTTCTCTAGGTCACTGGAGAAGCCAAGGCAGCCCCTGCAGAAATCCCCCTGCCAGCACCCCAGGTGGAGGCACCCCAGAAAAAGGCCCCATGCCTCTTTCTTTCTCCACCCCCCTGCCATTTATCAACATGGTGTCTCACCCCCAGGGACGCTTCCATTCAACCCTCAGCCCCCCAACATCCTCTGCTCCCCCCCTCTTCGCCAGAGTCCCCCCTACACCCTCTGGCCCTCCTTGGCACGGCTCGCCCTGCTTGGGGGTGGGGGCTTTTGGGGGCACCCCCTTGGTGGGAAAACGTGTCTGGTGGGGGGGGCTTCAAAGGAGACGGCGCAAGGGAAACACTGCAGATGGGGGCTCCACGCTTTGCAGCTGCATTGCATGGATCCGAGCCTCTCCATATGGGTCCCAGGACAAGAGATTAAGGGGGGGGGCTCTGTGCCCCTTTCTCTCCGACCCCATCGCCCCTCCCCGCCCTCGTCCCAAGGCAGGAGCTTTTGGGGGAGCAAGAAAGGGTCTCTCTATCCTTTCCTCCCCCCCCTTCCCTCCACCGGCATCTTTACCTCTTTCTCCTCTGACCATCCGCCTCCCTTCGTAGCTATTCCGATTTCCTTTCTTGCAATATAAAGCGGAGAAGGGGGGGTCCGTGGTCGACTGGCGCCCCTCTTTACCTTTCTGAAACCTCTCGCTTCTCCAGGGGCTCCTTCTGCCCCCACTTCTTGCTAACTTCCGACCCACAGAGAGACCCCTTCCTGGGAGAAGTCCCTTCCTCTTTTCGCATGGGAGCCGGACGTGACGGCGCTGCCTTCGGCTTCCTCCCCTTTGGGCTCCCTTGCGAAGTTGCCCAACTCCACGCCCACCCCATTGACGGGGGAGGGGGTTCTGGAGGAGGAGGAGGAGGAGCACGGCCGGATCAAGACCCTTTGGTCCCTGAGAGAAACCCAAACAGACTCCAAACTCTGCAGACAGCATTTTCCAGCTGCTGCCTGGACCACCGAGCAGGGAGGGAGAGATGCTCTTGGGCTGAAATTCTCCTTGCAGGATTCCCAAAACGGGCATCTGGTTTCCCACTGGGACTCCGGGAGAGCAGGATTCGGGGCGAGATGGGACCCTTGGTCTGCTCCAACTATAGGGCCTTCTTATGTTCTGTGTGTGCGCGTTCACACGTGTGCGTGTGTTTGTGTGTATGCACCTTCAGGGAGATTCACTGGCTCTTCTCTGCAACGAAGATGAACCAGGTGTGCACCCACGTCCCTTGGGGGGGGGGGGGGAGAAAATCTCTTCTTTCCTCACCTGTCCAGCATTTTCCCTGTCTGCTCTCTCTTGCTCCGCCCCCACATCCTACCGACATTGTAAAGGTAAAGGGACTCCTGACCATTAGGTCCAGTCGTTGCCGACTCTGGGGTTGCGGTGCTCATCTCGCTTTACTGGCCGAGGGAGCCGGCGTACAGCTTCCGGGTCATGTGGCCAGCATGACTAAGCCGCTTCAGGTGAACCGGAGCAGCGCACGGAAACGCCGCTTACCTTCCCGCCGGAGCGGTACCTATTTATCTACTTGCACTTTGACGTGCTTTCGAACTGCTAGGTTGGCAGGAGCAGGGACCGAGCAACTGGAGCTCACCCCCCCCCCCCGTCAAGGGGATTCGAACTGCCGACCTTCTGATCGGCAAGTCCTAGGCTCTGTGGTTTAACCCACAGCGCCACCCGCATCCCTTCGCCACCGACGTTGTACCCCCCCCACCAAAAACAAAAGTTTGCTGTGCCTCAAGGCGCTTTGCACTCAGCCCGATTCCTGGGAGGTCAAGGGCGGCAGGAGGTCAAGGGGGAGGGGCAGTCTGTCTTGTTAAGCCACACCCCTTTCTAGGGGAAGGTGCTGGGCGATCGGGAGGGCGAGCACCCAGCCTCCCTTTCTCTCTTTCCCTCTGGGAAATTGCATTAACTGGCTTTAATCCTGAAGGGAACAAGACGTATAACAAGATCGCGCCCCCCACCCAGCCAGAAGGAAACAGACCTCTCTTTTTGCAAGGGTTGCATGTTGGCAATGCTTCTACCTCTAAAAAAAATAAAGGAAAATGAAACTCTAGCCTGTGCTACTTTTTTAAAAAAATGCCTACGGATGCACCGTACATGCAAAAGCAACCAAGTTGGATAGGAGGAAGCACATCATTTGGACCCCTTCCAGTCGAGTTTCAGGCCCCATCCTGAGACTGAAACTGCCTTGCTCTAGCTGGTCCAAGATCTCCTGTGGTTTCTGGCGGATGTGTGTTCAGACCCCTGGGCTCTCACTTGTGGGGTGCCTCAGGGCTCTGTCCTCTCCCCCATGCTTTTTAACATGCATATAAAACTGCTGAGAGAGACCATCAGGGGTTTGGGCTGGGTGTTCAGCAGTATGTGGAGGATACCCAGCTCTACCTCTCTTTCAAATCAGAAGCAGTGAGGGTCCTGTGTGAGTGTCTGGAGGAGGTTGGAGGATGGATGGCAGCTAATGGATGGAGGTTGAATCCTGACAAGAAGGAAGTACTGTTTTTGAGGGACAGGGGGCAGGCGGGTGTGGAGGGCTCACTGGTCCTGAATGGGGTAATTGTACCCCTGAAGGACCAGGTGCGCAGCCTGGGAGCCATTTTGGACTCGCAGGTGTCCATGGAGGCGCAGGTCAATTCTGTGTCCAGGGCAGCTGTTTACCAGCTCAATTTGGTACGCAGGCTGAGACCCTGCCCGCCCACAGAGTGTCTTGCCAGAGTGCTGCATACTCCGTTTATCTCCCGCTTGGATAACTGCAATGCGCTCTATGTGGGGCGGCCTTAGAAGGTGGCTTGGAAACTACAACTAATTCAGAATGTGGCAGCTGGACTGGTAACTGGGAGCGGCCGCCAGGACCATATAACACTGGTCCTGAAAGACCTGCATTGGCTCCCAGTACGTTTCTGAGCGCAATTCAGAGTGTTGGTGCATACCCTAATTGGCCTTGGCCCTGTATACCGGATGGAGCAAATCCACCCCCATTGTTCAGCCCAGACACTGAGATCCAGCTCCGAGGGTCTTCTGCTGGTTCTCTCACTCCAAGAAGAAAGTTACAGGGAAGCAGGCAGAGGGCCTTCTTGGTGGTGGCGCCCGCCCTGTGAAATGCTCTCCATGAGATGTATTGAGATGCCATGCAGATAAAGAACCACAGTACATAACTTTTAGAAGACTCCAGAGTGTCTGGGGCAAGCCAATCAATGATGATGATGATGATGATGATTGCTTGTCATAAAAGCAGTAGCCCTGGGGTAGCCACATGATGCTTATAAGTGAAAATGGACCAACCAGGGGATTCACTGGTACCTGCAGCATCTTTTCTTTCCAAATGTGTACCATTCTTCCAGTGGAGTTGTGTTTGGGCCACAGATGGAGAGGTAAGGGTTAACTTTCCCTTCACACTTCGACCCCTCTCTGTGCCCTATTGGTTGGAAGGAAGTTTCTTGTTTCCTGTAATAGTAGGTATGTCTTGGTTCATGGATTTGTAGGAAGTTCTCCTATGGTTTCTCCCCTCTGGGTGCTAAGTTGGGGAGAATTAGGCATGAGCTTCCACTGATGTATTTTACACCCTCTCGTGTCACCTGCCACTTGCCCACACTGCCCTGTTCCAACCGTCCCACCTCATGCAAGATGCACACCTAAGAGCTGAGACTTTCTTCCTTATTCCACTAAAAAGTAAAGGTAAAGGGACCCCTGAACATTAGGTCCAGTCGCGGACGACTCTGGGGTTGTGACGTTCATCTCGCTTTATTGGCCGAGGGAGCCGGCGTACAGCTTCCGGGTCGTGGCCAGCATGGCTAAGCCGCTTCTGGCAAACCACAGCAGCGCACAGAAACGCCGTTTACCTTCCCGCCGGAGTGGTACCTATTTATCTACTTACAATTCGTTCTTTCGAAATGCTAGGTTGGCTGGAGCTGGGACCGAGCAACGGGAACTCACCCTATCGGGGGGACTGGAACCGCCAACCTTCTGATCTAAACATCCCCTTTATTCCTGCTGCCACCAGGTATGTTTTACCTGAACAATTTGCCCTTCAAAGAATCATGAGTCATTGCAGCACAATTAATGTATAAACTATTTGTTGCTTTATTATTATTATTACTACTGTATTTTTCGCCCCATAGGGCGCACCGGACCATACGGCGCGCCTAGTTTTTAGGGGGGGGGTGGGAATAAAGAAAAAAAATTATTTCCCCCCCGACAGCCCCCAAAAGCAAAGAAGCCAAGACAGCTGTCTTGGCTTCCTCTTTAGCCATGTGCAACTGTCCAGCCGGGAGAAGCTGCGCACGGCTTTGTTTTTAGCCGCGGGGCTGGGACGGGGAAAGCCCGAGCTTCCCCCGACCCCAGCCCCCAGAACAGGCAGCTATCCGCAAGCCTTCGGAGCGCTCAGAAGGCTTGCGTATAGCTGCCTGAAGCCTGCATTCGCTCCATAGGACGCACACACATTTCCCCTTCATTTTTGGAGGGAGAAAAATGCGTCCTATAGAGTGAAAAATACGGTAATAGGTTTTATTTATACCCCGCCCTCCCCGGGCAGAGCCAGGTTCAGAGCGGCTAACACCAGTAAAATTGCAGTAAAAACATAATAGGGGAAAAAACCATACCAATTTAAAATACAGGTTAAAATGCAATTTAAAATACAGCCTCATTTTTAAAGTAGCCCACAGATCAAAACCATAAGAGGAGGCAAACACAATGGTCAGACTGAGTCCAAACCAAAGGCCAGGTGGAACAGCTCTGTCTTGCAGGCCCTGCGGAAAGATGTCAAATCCCGCAGGGCCCTAGTCTCTTGTGACAGAGTGTTGCACCACGTCGGGGCCAGTACTGAAAAGGCCCTGGCCCTACTTGAGACCAATCTAACCATCTTGCGACTTGGGACCTCCAAAATGTTGTTATTTGTGGACCTTAAGGTCCTCCACGGGGCATACCAGGAGAGGCGGTCCTGTAGGTACGTGGGTCCTGGGCCGCAATTAAAACAATGCATGTCATGCTGCCATTCCTATAATACTAGTTTAACCAACTCATTTCCGGGTTTGAAATGGTCATAATCCAAAATGTTCATCAACCAGGCTGTTCGTAACCTGAGGTACACTGTACAAAGCCATTTATACATTACTAACTATTGTGATACGCTACCTTGATTACTTTACTACATGAAAGTACAACTTTACATTAAAACACCAGATCATCACATACATGGGATGCATTTAAATTTGATTTCCACCTATAGGAGCCTGTTCATTAGAAGGAAGAAATGAACCCTTGAGAGAGCCAGTGTGGTGTAGTGGTTAAGAGCGGTGGTTCGTAATCTGGTGAACCGGGTTCGCGTCTCCGCTCCTCCACACGCAGCTGCTGGGTGACCTTGGGCCAGTCATGCTTCTCTGAAGTCTCTCAGCCTCACTCACCTCACACAGTGTTTGTTGTGGGGGAGGAAGGGAAAGGAGAATGTTAGCCGCTTTGAGACTCCTTAGGGTAGTGATAAAGCGGGATATCAAATCCAAACTCCTCCTCCTCCTCCTCTTGTTGAGGATAAATCTTTCTACACTCCATACATCTAAATGGTTCCTTCCATATAAGTCCGTAAACATTTTGTAAGTACTCCATTAAACAGAAGCAGTTTCTGCACTCCTGGAATTTAAATGTTTCTTCCTTTGTGAGTCCATTGATGTTTTGTAAGGTGTCCACTCTGACTGAAGTTCTTTCCACTCTCCATACATTTAAATGGTTTCTCACCTGTGAGTCTGTTAATGTACTCTTAGTTTCCTTTAGACTGAAGCTCTTTCCACACTTCATACATTTGCTGTATAAGGTTTCTCCCCTGTGTGAGTCCTTTGATGTTTTCTTAGCATTCCGCTGTGACAGAAGCTCCTTCCACACTCCATACATTTAAATGATTTTTCTCCCGTGCAAGTCTGTAGATGTACTCTTAGAGTTTGACTCTGACTGAAGCTCTTTCCACACTCCATACATTTAAATGGTTTCTCCCCTGTGTGCGTTCGATGATGTAAAGTCAGACGATAACCTGAACAAAAGCTTTTTCCACATTCCAAACATTTACAAGGTCTCTCACCCGTGTGAGTTTGATGATGTCTATTAAGTGATGAACTCTGACTGAAACTTTTTCCACACTCCATACATTTAAATGGTTTCTCCCCTGTGTGACTCCGTAGATGTTTTCTAAGGTTTCCATTATGTGTGAAGCTCTTTCCGCAGTCCATACATTTAAATGGTTTCTCCCCTGTGTGAGTTCTATGATGTAAAGTCAGATGATCACTTGAACGAAAGCTCTTTCCACATTCCATACATTCATATGGTTTCTTCCCTGTGTGAGTCTGTAGATGTTGTCTAAGGCTTCCATTATGTGTGAAGCTCTTTCCGCAGTCCATACATTGAAATGGTTTCTTCTTTGTATGAGCCTGTAGATGTTGTCTAAGGTTTCCATTATTTGTGAAGCTCTTTCCACATTCAATACATTTAAATGGTTTCTTCTTTGTATGAGCCTGTAGATGCAGGGTAAGGTTTCCATTATGTGTGAAGCTCTTTCCACATTCGATACATTTAAATGGTTTCTCCCCTGTATGAGCCTGTAGATGTTGTCTAAAGTTTCCATTATGTGTGAAGCTCTTTCCGCAGTCCATACATTTAAATGGTTTATCCCCAGCGTGAGTCCGTAAATGATTTCTAAGGTTTCCAATATGTCTGAAGCTCTTTCCGCAGTCCATACATTTAAATGGTTTCTCCCCTGTGTGGGTCCGCTGATGGTTGCTAAGGATTCCATTATGTGTGAAGCTCTTTCCGCAGTCCATACATTTAAATGGTTTCTCCCCTGTGTGGGTCCGTTGATGGTTGCTAAGGTTACCATTATGTGTGAAGCTCTTTCCACACTGCATACAATTGTAGCGTTTTTCACCCATGTGAGTTTGATGATGTCTATTAAGTGATAAACTCTTACGGAAGCTTTTTCCACACTCCATACATTTAAATGGTTTCTCCCCTGTGTGAATCTGTAGATGTTTTCTAAGGGTTCCATTACGTGTGAAGCTCTTTCCGCAGTCCATACATTTAAATGGTTTCTCCCCTGTGTGAGTTTGATGATGTAAATTCAGATGACCACCTGAACGAAAGCTCTTTCCACATTCCATACATTTAAATGGTTTCTCCCCTGTGTGAGTCCGTAGATGGCTATTTAGGTTTCTATTATGTGTGAAGCTCTTTCCGCAGTCCATACATTTAAATGGTTTCTCCCCTGTGTGAGTCCGTAGATGCTTGCTTAGCATTATGCTATGACAGAAGCTCTTTCCACACTCTACACATTTAAATGGTTTCTCCCCTGTGTGAGTCCGTTGATGGTTGCTTAGCGTTATGCTATGACAGAAGCTCTTTCCACACTCTATACATTTAAATGGTTTTTCTGTTGCGTGAATCCTTTGATGTACAGTAAGTTGTCTACTCATACTGCATCTCCATCCACACTGCATACATTTGTAGGGTTTCTCACTCATGTGAGTTAGACGATGTAAAGTAAGAGATGAAGTTTGTCTGAAGCTCTTTCCACACTCCATACCTTTAAACGGTTTCCCCACTCTGTGAGTTTATTGATGTGAGTTTATTAACTGTACACATGGACTGAAGCACATTCCACATTCACCACATTTAAATGGTCTCTTCGTATTTCCAAATGAAATTACAGATGACACACTGTCTTCTCCATAACCTGCTTGGAAATGAGAGGAGAGGAAAACCCCTGTTAGTATTTCAAGGAAGAGAACAAAGACTGTAACACACATCAAATGCAATTAGCACCTTCTCTTATTTCAACCTATTGTACATTCCTCCCTGTCTTCTTTATGTTCCAAATTTTAAGCAAATGAGGGGAAACAATGCCAAATAATAGGAATGCATCATCAACCTTCCATAATACTAAATCATCATTAATAAAGTAGTTTCATCTAAGAATACAGTTGTGGGATTGCCTTTTTAAATAAGGACCTGCCTCACAGGAAAGGGAGTTGTTCTTCCACGAACGTGCCCTCCATTTCTCAGAATCAGAGTTGCTAATGACATTTTTCATTCTCCGTGTAATATTATTCCACCTCTGGGGCACATTTTAGCCCTTTGGACCTCTGGATATTTATTAATCACCCCCACAGTCCATTGGGCCCCAGGAGGTGCATAGCAACTGTCAGTGTTTGTAAAAAGCAAAAAAGGAGGTAAGGGTTCTGACCTCCCTTTGTCTCTTCAGCCTGGTCCTCGGACCCTTGTCGGCACAAAAGAGTCCATGAGAATATCCTTGCAGAGTTTTATTCTTAAAAGTCTTTGTTCAAAAGCAACCGAACAACTATACACACTAGCATTAACCAACCCAAACACCAGCAACCAAACTAACATTTCTCACTCTATATATACAACTTGGTGCAAGCCGCTGAGTCATGCTGACCCAGCTTTATTCGCATTAAAGAAACAGCGGCCATTTTAGCCGTGACACCCCTTCTGTTTCTTAAATGCGAAAAACCCCAACAGAAACAATACATACATACAATACATACATACACTATATACATAAACCCAGTTTTGTCATCAATTCATTATGACATGTTGCTGGCAAAGGCTTGGTAAACAAATCAGCAATATTATCTTGTGACTGACAATACTCCAGTTTGATTACCCCATTCTGTACACAACCTCTCACATTCGCATGACGGATAGCAATATGTTTTGATGCGGATTTCATTATTTCCGAGCCCGCTAATGCAATGCACGATTGGCTATCTTCATACTCTTGGATAGGCAAATCTACTTTACAATCTAGATCTTTTAGTATCTGTATAAACCATATGATTTCATTGCATGCTAGCGACAGGCTCCCATATTCTGCCTCACAGGATGAGGTTGCAACAAATCCTTGTTTCTTTGACCTCCATTCAATTATGGAATTGGCAAACATCATAACCATTCCACTTGTAGATTTTCTAGTAGCTACACAGCTTCCCCAGTTCACATCAAAAAATACTTCTAGTTTTTCATCTTGTGTACTAGATATCTTTAAACATACATTTAATGTCCCCTTTAGGTATCTGATAAGCCTTTTCAAAGCACACCAATCGGCAGTACTGGGTTTAGATACACGTTGGCTCAGAACATTTGTAGCACATGCAATGTCTGACCTTGACCACTGGCTTAAATACAACAGTGATCCTATTTTTGAGTGATACAACTCAAGCTGATCAAATTCATCATCACACACTGTCTTTGGGAAATCTGGTGTCATGGGAGTCTGAACTGGCTTGCAGTTTTCCATGCCAAACTGCTCTATCAAATGAAGAATTTTCTCTTTCTGGGTTAATAGAAAGCTTCCATCAGCTTCCTGCCTTACTTCTACTTCCAAGTAATTGCTTACAGGCCCCAAGGCTTTAAGCTTAAACCTCTTTTCCAGTTGACTTGTGAGCTTCTGGATCTCATCTGTGGAACTCCCTGCTACAAGCAAATCATCAACAAAGACTAAGAGCATTAGATATTTGTTGCCTGTCCCCTTGGTGTACAGGCATGGATCAGCCACATTCCTTTTAAAACCAAGTTTTACAAGGGCTTCATTTAAACACTGGTTCCAACACCTTCCATTTTGTTTGAGACCATAAACAGCCTTTCTCAAACGCCAGACTGCACCATTCTCCTCTTCAAAACCAGGGGGTTGTCTCATTAACACTTCATGGTCTAAATTTGCATGCAGATATGCAGCATCAACATCAAAATGGTGCACTGCTAGTTGTCTTACAGCAGCAATAGAGAGCATTAAATGAAAAGTTTCACTCTTTGCAGTGGGAGAAAACACTTCATCATAACTCTCCACTTTTATCTGAGTGAACCCTCTGGCTACTAATCTGGCTCGAAAACGTGGTTCCCCAGATGCAAGGGTTTTCCTTTTGTAAACCCACTTGCATGACACCACTCTGCCACTTGGAGGCGGCATTATGACCTCAAACACTTTGTTACGTTTAAGAGTCCATTTCTTCTTTCATAGCTTGTTCCCACAAAGCACGTTCTTCAGGGGGTAAGTCTAAGACTTCATTATAACTTTGTGGTTCCACACAACTCACATTGCATACTCTCACTCCTCCTAGGGTCAAATGCTGAGAAGGTACACCCTTGTTTGAACGCTGGGAGCGCCTAGGCACAACTACTTCTCCCCCCCCCCTTATCTCTGGCTCTTCTTCCTCTTCCTCTAGAGAAGATTATCTATTGCCACATCCTTTGGGGAAATCTGTGCCTCCTCCTCCTCATCCTGCTCCTGCGTTTCCAATGGCTGAGAAGAAGCCTCTTCTCTTACTTGCAGGGGCAGTAGGCAATCTGGGTTGGCATGGATCGCAGTCCATCTGTCCTGGTCAGCAAAGTCTGCACTTCGTGACAGAACCACGCGTCCTGGGCATAAATTGAAGCACCACCCTTTGCCATAGGACTGATATCCCACAAACCGCAGTTTCTGTGCTCTAGCGCCCCCCTTTCTGGTGCTGAGCTTTGGGAATATTTACATGTGCCCAAGAACCCCAGTTATGGAGCATTGTCCACTCTGGTTCTTTCCCAAACAACAGACGATAAGGAATATATTTTATAGAGCTAGACCAGGTTCTATTAATCAAAAAGTTCGCTGTAAGGAGAGCCTCGCCCCACAGCCTATGGTTGTGGCCCAGTCCTGCATCCACTAGCAGGCAGTCCTTTACTGACTGTATTACAGCCCCACGTCTTTCACACAGACCATTTTCAGCAGGGCTATAAGGGTTAGTCAAACGATGAGTGATCCCCTTACGCCGCAACCATGCCCCAAATTGTTTGTTCAGAAATTCTCCACCCCTATCTGTTTGCAACTGCACAACAGGGCGAGCAAAGAGCTTTTCAGCTTGGGCAACCCATTCTCTGAATGTGGGGAAACACTCAGATTTCTGCTTTAACAAAAACAACCAACTAAAACGTGATTTATCATCTATTGCCAGAAAAGCATATCTGGCGACCCCTTCAGTCTTCTGTGGAAAAGTGCCTATCACATCACAATGGACAAGTTCTAAAACTTCTAGATACTCTGTCACTTTTAGAAGCCACAGGCTTCCTCTTAGATTTGGCCATTTTACATACATTGCAATCTAGGAAACAGTTACAGCTATTTACTTTTAGGTTCTTGCACACCTTTTGCATTTCTGAAAGCAAACGGAAATTGGCGTGACCCAGTTTTCTGTGCAGTTCATGTACACACCCCTTATGAACTGGCAAATTATCCTGAACCACCTGGGCTGCTTTAACAGGCTTGTCCTGCATTACATATAACCCATTTTCCAACTTTGTATGGCCACATACCTGAGTTCCATTCTTTATCAGACAACCATCCCGTGTGAAGTTAACACTATATCCTGCATTAATCAAACAGCTTACAGACAGTAAACAATAGTCCAAACTACTGACAAACAGAGTCTCTGGTAGAGTAGTGTTCAAGCACTGCAGGAAACATGTTCCCTGGCCATCAATCTTGCTTCTACGACCATCAGCAAGATAGTCTTTCCCATCAGCTGGCTTCCCCAGGGTCTTAAAGTCCTCCTGACTGTTGCAGATAATCCTGCTGCTCCCGGAGTCCAGCAACCATGTTCCTCGATGTATCTTCCTCTCCTCCTGAGAAAATGCAGACACAAACTGAGCAGAACGCGTGTTCTTCATTGAAGAGAACCCCTTCTGCTTACGTTTCTGCGTCGATTGCTGTCTCTGTTCCACGTTGTCTCCTGGAAGTCTAGCCCTGCATTGACGTTGGAGATGCCCGGGTTGGTTGCATCTATAGCACCTCCTCACCGCCATGGCCAAGTCCAAACCTTGGTGTTGCTCCATGGACAGATTCTGCTGCTGGCCCCCTTGGCTATAACTACTCCGCTCTTGGAGTTCAGCTTGTTTATCTGACCTTCTTTCTGCTTCTTCAGTCAATCTGCCAACCACATATACTCAAGGGTCAGATCTCAGGGACGCATACTCTCCATGCTGTTAATCACGGGCAACCAGCTTTCAGGCAAACTTGAAAGGATAATGTAGGTTTGGTCAGTCTCATCATAACGCTTACCTCTCTGTTGTAGTTGAAGAAACAGAGATTTCAGCGTTTGAAGATGAGTTGCCAAACTCTCACCTTCCCTCATAACAGTCCTGAACAGCCTTCTGGTCAGAGAAATTATAGTTCCAGCAGTTTCTCTGACTTGCCCTTAATAAATTACAGCACTCAAATGTTGGAATGAATCCACGACAGACGAGTGGCAGGTGTCATATGAGAGGCGTCTGCCGGGGCAAGCCCCGGGAACTCTCTTTTATTGAATATTACAAACATTGCCACAGGTGTGCTTGTGGCTGATTGGTTGATACAAACACAAAGCAACTTGTTGCTGATTGGTTAACATAGGTACAAGGCGGGAATTACATATAACCATTTATCACTGATAGATTAAAGGCTGGGAAACGGAGCTGGAACTAGACAGGCATAAAACCTCCTAATTAAATTATAACTAAAGATTAATATAACATGACTAAAACAATTACTAATGATTGATTATAACATGAAAGAGTATAATAATCGAGTTCCGTAGATGTGGTCAGCTATGCATTAAGAACAGATCATATTGTTTGTTCATGAACTTGAAATGAACTGAAGAATGAGAGAATGTCTTGGTGTGTTTGGAACAGGTTTGTACAGTGTGTGCAGAAGCAGAAGCGAGACTTCCCAGAATGCAAGATAAAAGAAGCAATAGTTCCCATAGTAAGACTTCCCACAATGCCACAGTTATGTGCAGTAAGAGAACTGCAGAAAGAGAACTTCCCTTTACTCAAATGCTGTGCTGGCATTTGCTACATGCAATAACTGAGAGTTGCTCAAACATAGCACGAGCCCTTTCATCCAGCCATTTTTTCTCAGCAGAGTCAGTTCTCAAAACCTCAGTTTCAACACAGTCCCATAGTCCATCTCTCCTTAACAACTGCTGCATTTTAATTGACCAACTCAGCCAGTTGTTTTCTGAAAGAAGTTCAAAAGGGATGCCTCCCCCAATATTTACAACTTGGGAAGACTGGAAATCTGCCATCTCTGCTGGTGCTTGCTGAGCCCCTTCTGTGGGGCCTCCAGCAATCTCTCCTGACTCTCTCTTTAGAGTCCAACTGGACAGTCCTGGCTGGCACTCACCGGCTTCTAGCTGCTGCCTCTGTTGACCTTCAGGTCCCGCCTGGCTCTGCAACTGGTGTAGCCGCTACTGTGGTCCTCTAGCAGTTCAAACTTCCAGTAGCCGAAGTAGAGTGCTTTCCTTAGCCTCAGATCCTAGCCGCTCCAGCGTCACTGCAGACAGTTACAGCTTGCCACCAACTGCTCCAATGCACAGCCACTGGCTCCATACACCACCAGGACTCGCCAGCTCCCTGCTGAGATGCTGTCAGTCATTTTTGCACTCTGCACATGCTCAGAAACACTGGGCCCATAACCTATCAGTGTTTGTAAAAAGCAAAAAAGGAGGAAAGGGTTCTGACCTCCCTTTGTCTCCTCAGCCTGGTCCTTGGACCCTTGTCGACACAAAAGAGTCCCTTGCAGAGTTTTATTCTTAAAAGTCTTTGTTAAAAAGCGACTGAACAACTATACACACCAGCACTAACCAACCAACCCAAACACCAGCAACCAAACTAACATTTCTCACTCTATATATACAACTTGGTGCAGGCCGCTGAGTCATGCTGACCCAGCTTTATTCGCATTAAAGAAACAGCAGCCATTTTAGCCGTGGCAGCAACCATATTGGGAGACCCAGGGTTCAGGTTTTTCTAGGGACTGTAGCCTGGAACTAGTGAGAAGGCTTGGCGCTTGGAAGAAACTGAAGGTGTGCTCAGGTAGGCTAATGTCCTTGGAGCTGGACCTCCATCTGTCAGCCTTGCAGTGCAGAGGGAGAGCTGGAGATGCAGGAAAAGGCTGTTGGAGCCTGGCTGCTGGAATCCCAGATTGAAACACTCACCCCAATTTTTATTTATTAGATTTAGAAACCACCCTTCTAAGTTTGAGTGTGAGGGGGAGGCCAGGAGTCCTGTCTCATGCTGTGTGTAGGAGCAAGAGACATGGATGGCGAGGGAGCTGCTGCAGTGACCTGCCACACCTGTGCCATGTTTGTCCTCCTGCCTGAGAATGCGCAGAATTACACCTGCAGCAGATGCAGGAAGAGAAGGAACAGCAAGCTGAGGTCCGCCTATCTGCCCTACGAGCTCCTGAGCAAGATGAGGGATTTCTTGAAAGAGAGCAGAGTGGATGGTCCTGGGACAGCAACACAGGTGGGGTTGGCCACAGCCAGGAGGAAGATCGCTGGTTGCAGGAAACGAAAACCTGGAGGAATGCGGTACAGAGAAACGGGGCTGTTAGGAACCCTGATGTGTCACTCGAGCTGCAAAATCAATTCTGGGACAGAGGAGCAAGATGCAGACCTCAGAACACACCAAGGTGGCTGTGGAAGGGGCAGGGTATGGAGCAATTCCTACCACTCCCCAGAAGAGGAAGAGGGATGTGATGGTGGTACGTGACTTCCTACTAAGGGGGACAGAGGCAGCAGTGTGTGGAGGTAACAGGATCAGTGTTAGAAACTCATATATATAAGCTAGGTGCCAAATGTCTTGTTAAATCAAGGTTACAGCCGCCCAAAATTGAATGTCTAGGAGTCATGAGAAGAGAAGACTCCCTGGAAAAGACCCTGATGTTGGGAAAGATGGAGGGCACAAGGAGAAGGGGACGACAGAGGACGAGATGGTTGGACAGTGTTCTCGAAGCTACCAGCATGAGTTTGACCAAACTGCGGGAGGCAGTGGAAGACAGGAGTGCCTGGCGTGCTCTGGTAGAATCATAGAATCATAGAGTTGGAAGAGACCACAAGGGCCATCAAGTCCAACCCCCTGCCAAGCAGGAAACACCATCAGAGCACTCCTGACATATGGTTGTCAAGCCTCTGCTTAAAGACCTCCAAAGAAGGAGACTCCACCACACTCCTTGGCAGCAAATTCCACTGTCAAACAGCTCTTACTGTCAGGAAGTTCTTCCTAATGTTTAGGTGGAATCTTCTTTCTTGTAGTATGGATCCATTGCTCCGTGTCCGCTTCTCTGGAGCAGCAGAAAACAACCTTTCTCCCTCCTCTATGTGACATCCTTTTATATATATGTGAACATGGCTATCATGTCACCCCTTAACCTCCTCTTCTCCAGGCTAAACATGCCCAGCTCTCTTAGCCGTTCCTCATAAGGCATCGTTTCCAGGCCTTTGACCATTTTGGTTGCCCTCCTCTGGACACGTTCCAGTTTGTCAGTGTCCTTCTTGAACTGTGGTGCCCAGAACTGGACACAGTACTCCAGGTGAGGTCTGACCAGAGCAGAATACAGTGACACTATTACTTCCCTTGATCTAGATGCTATACTCCTATTGATGCAGCCCAGAATTGCATTGGCTTTTTAGCTGCCGCGTCACACTGTTGGCTCATGTCAAGTTTGTGGTCAACCAAGACTCCTAGATCCTTTGCACATGTACTGCTCTCAAGCCAGGTGTCACCCATCTTGTATTTGTGCCTCTCATTTTTTTGCCCAAGTGCAATACTTTACATTTCTCCCTGTTAAAATTCATCTTGTTTCTTTTGGCCCAGTTCTCTAATCTGTCAAGGTCGTTTTGAAGTGTGATCCTGTCCTCTGGGGTGTTAGCCACCCCTCCCAGTTTGGTGTCATCTGCAAATTTGATCAGGATGCCCTTGAGTCCATCATCCAAGTCGTTGATAAAGATGTTGAATAAGACCGGGCCCAAGACAGAACCCTGTGGCACCCCACTAGTCACTCTTCTGCAGGATGAAGAGGAACCATTGATGAGCACCCTTTGGGTTCGGTCAGTCAGCCAGTTACAAATCCACTGAGTGGTAGCATAGTCAAGACCGCATTTTACCAGCTTCTTTACAAGAATATCATGGGGCACCTTGTCAAATGCCTTGCTGAAATCAAGGTAGGCTACATCCACTGCATTCCCTTCATCTACCAGGCTTGTAATTCTGTCAAAAACGAGATCAGGTTAGTTTGACATGACTTATTTTTCAGAAATCCATGCTGACTATTGGTGATCACAGCATTCCTTTCTAGGTGCTCACAGACTGTTTGCTTAATGATCTGCTCCAGAATCTTCCCTGGTATTGATGTCAGACTGACTGGGCGGTAATTATTTGGGTCCTCTCTTTTCCCCTTTTTGAAAATAGGGACAACATTTGCCCTCCTCCAGTCTGCCGGGACTTCGCCTGTTCTCCAGGAATTCTCAAAGATGACTGCCAGTGGTTCTGAGATCACATCTGCCAGTTCTTTTAATACTCTTGGATGCAGTTCATCTGGCCCTGGAGACTTGAATACATCTAAACTAGCCAAGTATTCTTGTACTATCTCCTTAGTTATTCTGGGCTGTGTTTCCTATGCTGAATCATTTCCTCCAAATTCTTCAGGTCGGGCATTGTTTTCTTTATCGGAGAAGACTGAGGCAAAGAAGGCATTGAGGAGTTCAGCCCTTTCTGTGTCCTCTGTTTGCATTTCACCATCTTCTCCTCTGAGTGACCCCACTGTTTCTTTGTTCTTCCTTTTGTTACAAACATACCCATAAAGGCCTTTTTTGTTGCTTTTAACCTCTCTAGCAAGCCTGAGTTCATTCTGTGCTTTAGCTTTTCTGACTTTGTGTCTACACGTGCTGGCTATTTGTTTGAATTCCTCTTTGGTTGTTCCCCCCTTTTCCATCTTTTGTACACATTCTTTTTTAATCTTAACTCAGTTAAAAGTTCTTTAGATAGCCACCCTGGCTTCTTTAGGCACCTTCCATGTTTCCGTCTCATTGGTATTGCCTGAAGTTGTGCTTTTACTATCTCCCTCTTAACAAACTCCCAGCCATCATGAACTCCCTTTCCTTTTAGTATTACTGTCCATGGGATCTCACCCAGCACTTCCCTAAGTTTTATGAAGTCGGCTTTCTTAAAATCAAGAAATTGAGTCCTAGTATGCTTGGCTGCTCCTTTCCGCTGTATAGTAAACTTCAGAAGAGCATGATCACTCACGCCTAATGATCCTTCCACTTCTACCCCACTAACCAGGTCATCAACATTGGTTAGGACCAGATCTAAAATGGCTGTTCCTCTTGTTTCTTCTCCCACTTTCTGGACAATAAAGTTGTCTGCAAGGCCAGTGAGGAATCTGTTTGACCTTATGCTCTTGGCTGAGTTTGACAACCAACAAATATCCGGGTAATTGAAGTCCCCCATTACTACTATCTCCCTTCCTTTTGCATGCTTGGCCATCTGTTCCAGGAAGGCATCATCTATGTCCTCCGTTTGGCTTGGGGATCTATAGTAAACTCCCACAATGAGGTCACTGTTATTCTTCTCTCCCTTAATTTTGACCCAAATGCTCTCACTTTGGCTTTGAGGTTCTAAATCTTGGATCTCTTCACAGGTATACACATCCCTGACATATAACGCCACTCCTCCTCCTTTCTTGTCTGGTCTGTTTCTCTGAAATAGACTGTATCCCTCCATTATTACATTCCAATCGTGGGACTTATCCCACCAGGTTTCAGTGATGCCTATTATGTCATATTTAGTTTGCTGTACCAAGAGCTCAAGCTCATCTTGTTTATTTCCCATGCTTTGCGCATTAGTGTACAGACATTGAAGTCCATTAATCATTTCCCCGTGACTCTTATTTAAGGATTTTTTCCTCCCACCACTAGGTCTGTGTGCTGTTTGCTCCATTTGGTCTATGACATTTGGATGATCATCTTCATCAATTGATAGACTCCTACCTTCAGGAGCACTGTCTCCCTCCCCCACATTAGTCAGTTTAAAGCCCTCCTGATGAGGTTTCTGGGATTTTTGGCAAAAACATTTCTCCCAACCGTTGTGAGGTGCAGCCCATCGCTTGCCAGAAGTCCATCTTCAAGGAACTGCAGTCCGTGATCTAAGAATCCAAACCGTTCCTGTTTACACCATTTGCGAAGCCAGCTGTTCACGTCCACTATTTTTCCCTCTCTCCCTGGGCCACGTCGTTCAACTGGGAGGACAGATGAGATGACAATTTGTGCATTTAATTGCTTCAATTTCCTGCCCAGAGCCTCGTAGTCTCTTTTGATCTTCTGGAGGCTATTGCTTGCAGTGTCATTGGTTCCCACATGAACCAAGAGTAGGGGGTATTTGTCAGTGGGTTTTATGATTCCTTGCAGTCATTCAGTTACATCTTGGATCTTAGCCCCGGGGAGACAGCACACTTCCCGAGACATCTTGTCAGGCCCACAGATCACTGCTTCTGTTCCCCTCAGTAGGGAATCCCCTATCACCACTACACGCCTCTTCTTAGGTTTGGTCGGGGTTCTTCCATGAGCTGTCCCTTCCAAGGTCGCCTGCACATTCCCTGAGGACTTTGCTGCTCGTCTTCATATACCTGATCGACTGTAATGAGGGAGAGATCCTCAAATGGAGTCTGCTCTTCATCTTCCATGCTAGGGGAGAGGACCTCAAAGCGATTGTGTATTTCTAAACAATCAGAGCGAACCCTGGGCCTCCTACTTCTTTGAGTCACATTTCTCCATATATCTGGCTCCTGTGTTGGTGAACTAGCCTCCTTCTCAGGGGAGTCCCCTGTCTTCTCCTTGGTGGAGACGGTGTGCTCTGTTGCTTCCAAGAAGAGCTCCAGCTCTCTAATTCTTTGGAGCGTAGCTACACGTTCCTCCAGTTGCTGGACTTTGTCTTCTAAGAGGGCAATCAACATTCAATTGCTGCAGGTAAATCTGCCTGCAACCTTTGGCAAGATGGCAAACATTGCGCAGGAACCGCAGGCGACTGCAGCTGTTCCCTCCCCCTCCATCTTGAGAACGTGTCGTTGGGGGTGGCTACAGCGGTCCTCCATCATAAAAAGCGTGAAGACAGGACAAATAACTCCCCCCCCAAAAAAACCTAGGTCTCCCCCAACAAACGTTTGAGACTAGCTCCCCTAAATCTAAAAGATGGATCAAACTGCGCGCGCCATTAGGCGTGCGTCGCTGCCCTGCAAGCTCTGATAAGCTCCTCCCACAGCTAATCACCTGCCTCAACAGAAACCCTGCCCCCTCTGACCTTTGCACAGGGAGAGCAGCTAATCAGCCACAAAGAAACACACACACAATAAAACCCTTTTTGCACCTTCTTCAGCTGCTGCCCTGCAAGGGGGTCATGAAGAGTCGGACACAACTAAACGACTAAACAACAACAACAGTTGCCATTTGGGGTAGGATGGCTCTAAAGTCTTATTTTTCAAATGATGGACAGATTGTGATTGATTCTCAGTTAAACATCTGGCTAGTTCAAAGGACAACCTTGTGCTAGGTTTAAGAACTTCTGAGAACTTAAAGAAGAAATGTCCTTTGATCCAGGGACAGTACACATAGATATTGGCCTATTCTGACTTCTTTTTCTTAATGGTGACACAGACCATTCATAATGAAAGATGATTCTTCACAACAAGTGTGAGAGGGCAGTGAAGACAAGAGACGTCAGTTCACTATCACATTGTTCACTGCTGCTGTTCATTGGATCAGTGATTTTGTTTAAATGAGCTACACATACTGTAGGGTCTCATTGCATACTGAAAGGACATCCCCCTCAATTTTTCCTGCTCAGTGTTTTTCTTTTTTTGCTTTTGGGCAAGGAGATGAGCTCAGACTCATCATACCAGAGTCTCTCGTTTGTCAAATAAGTAAAGCATAAGTGTTATTGATGCTATTATGTTACTGTAAAAATCTTCAAAAAAGTTCATCTTGTGAAGAAGCAAAGACAACACAAACCTGGGAGTCTCTGTAGATTTTGCGTAGTTATTTTAAGGTGGGGGCAGAGAGAATTTAGCGTGCTGCAAGGGAAGTGGGGGGACCGGAATCCTCTCCTGAAGACCCCCCCTCGCTCGACTTGAAGGAGACCCTACTCCTCTCTCCTGCGCTTTTGCCCCCTTTCACCCCTAGCCCTGCGCGCCGAATCTTTTCCTAGCGCCCCAATCTCCCCATCCAGAGGGGCCTCGCAAGACCAGCAGGGAGGCGGGGAAAGAGGTGGGACAGGACGGGTCTCCATCCAGAATTCTTTCGGTTCCCTCAACCCTTCCGCGGACTCCCTCACTCCGTCTCTACCACCAAAAGGGACCCACCCGGGGCACCCCGGACAGGCCGCAAGTCCCGAGGGATTTCTGCAAGGGCGAAACCCGAATGAAGCCCTGTATATCAGCCAGCCCTGCTTGGGGGTGGGGGCGCTGCGGTCACCCGCCTCCTCCCCTCTTGATAGGCATTGCATTTCAATTCCCGCAAGGGCGCCCAAACGGGTGGGGAGCAGTTGAGCGTCTCTTGGCCGTCCCGGACCAGTAACACGGTGCAATGCAAACCCTGCAGCTGTTGAGTCCCCACTTTGCAGCCGGATTGCATGGATCCGGGCCCCCTCGATGGGTTCTAGGAAAGGAGCGTTTTTGGAGAGAGCGTCTCTCATCATCCCCCCCCCCCCGCAACCGCCAATTACCTCTTCCCTAACACGCCGCATCTTTACCTCTTTGTTCTCTCCTGGCCATCCGCCTCCCCTGCTCCCTGCTCCGATTTCGTTTCCTGCAATATAATGGGGAGGTGGGAGTTGTCTACCGACGCCCCTCTTCCCCTTTCCAAAATCTTCCGCTTCTCCAGCGGCTGCTTTTGCCCCCTTGCCTGGGAACATCCGACACGTTTTCGAAGGGGGGGGGGGAGGCCTCGCAATTTCAGTCGCAGAGCAGCCCCCGCTTGTGTAAGGAGGGGAACCGGAGGTGACGTCACGAGAAGTGTGACAATTTTGCCATTTCCTTAGCTGAACACACGCACGCGCACACGCGCGCGCGCGCCAAGGGCGCAGATGCACTCTGCAGGCGGATCCACAAGAAGGCGGTTTTCTCCTTACTGGGACCAGAGGCGAGACACGCACCCCGATCCCGTACATGCCCCAAGTCAGGCTTTTACCTTATGCACCTTCACCTGGAAACAAATTTCATGGCTTCCGTCTGAGAAAATGCACATCAAACTACAAAGCTAGGACACACGACCAATGCAAGCTTGCTGGGATTAGTTCTGCGTAAATACAGTTTTTTGTTTTGTTTTGTTAAAGCATCAAACTACCTGCCCCCCCCCAAGCTGCGGCAGCGGCTATGACGAAATGAATAGAGGCCCGGGAAAAGAGAACCAATCAGAAGAGCCGGAACGAAGAGGCGAACCAATCAGGTGAGCCGGAAGCTGGGAAACCCATTGAAGAAGTTGCGGCTTGGTCATTCAGCTTTTTCTGTTGATCTGCCGCTTCCGTATTCCGCAGCCTGAGGCTCCCACTTCAGTCAGCCTGATGGTTCCGGATTAAAAGTTCGCTGGGGAAGTTGGGAGAAATTACCTGGAGAGGAGGAGAAAGAGGTGCAAGATATTTATGGGTGGTTTGCTTTTACTCTCCCGGAATCTACAAACGGGGCAGCTAGGAGGGGAAGGGAGGAGGGAGGGAAATGAGATTTCTTGGGGGAGGGGGATGAGGGAAGAGCAAGGAAGAGCCCCCCCCTTTCTCTCTGGGAAGCAGTATTGGGGGTTGGGATCAAGGCAATCCAGTTTAAAAGTGGTGGTGGTGGGTCTCCTGCCCAGCAAATCTTGCATTCCAAGATTCTCTTTGAAGTGCGGAGATCTGGGCAGCCCAGCTTTTCATGCACTGCCTTGCTGCACATGGGGGAGCGGGGCCAAAATTTAATGCCCCCCTCCCCCGCCGTGGGTGGGTGCCATAGCAGTTTATGGTTTTTTGAAAGGGTACCTTGTCACAGTACTTTTTCCAACTGCCTTTGCCAGTTTTTCTGACTTTCTGTTTCTATCTGCAAATGTTCCAGACTTTCTGTTTCTATCTGCAAGTGTTCCAGAGATTTCTAATTTTGATTAATGAGTTGTTGAGCAGCAAATAAAGAAAATGTGATTAGTTCTTCATATCTCAGATTAGCATTGTCGTCTTTAAAAATGGCTAACAATACCAAGGGGACGCGGGTGGCACTGTGGGTGAAACCACAGAGCCTAGGACTTGCCGATCAGAAGGTCGGCGGTTCGAATCTCCGCAATGGGGTGAGCTCCCGTTGCTCAGTCCCAGCTCCTGCCAACCTAGCAGTTCGAAAGCACGTCAAAGTGCAAGTAGATAAATAGGTACCGCTCCGGCAGGAAGGTAAACGGTGTTTCTGTGCACTGCTCTGGTTCGCCAGAAGCGGCTTAGTCATGCTGGCCACATGACCCGGAAGCTGTATGCCGGCTCCCTTGGCCAATAAAGCGAGATGAGCACCGCAACCCCAGAGTCAGCCACGACTGGACCTAATGGTCAGGGGTCCCTTTACCCTTACCTTTAACAATACCAAACTTCAGGTAGATAGGATGTTTAGTTTTCACTGTGTGTGTGTGTGTGTGTGTGTGTGTGTGTGTGTAAAGGGACCCCTGACAATTAAGTCCAGTTGTGAACAACTCTGGGGTTGCAGCGCTCATCTCGCTTTACTGGCCAAGGGAGCTGGCGTTTGTCCACTTCCGCAGACAGTTTTTCCTGGTCATGTGGCGAGCATGACTAAGCTGCTTCTGGCGAAACCAGAGCAGGAAACACTGTTTGCCTTCCCGCCGGAGCGGTACCTATTTATCTTCTTCCACTGTGTGCTTTCGAACTGCTAGGTTGGCAGGAGCAGGGACCGAACAATGGGAGCTCACCCCGTCGTGGGGATTCGAACCACTAACCTTTCGTTCGGAAAGCCCAAGCGGCACAGTGGTTTAACCCACAGCACCACCCGCATCCCTAGATAGATAGATAATCTGTGTTTGGATTCTGCATTAGTATTTGTGATTAGAATTTCAACTGGAGTTTATGGACCTAGAGGCATATGCAGTAACTTTTGGGTTCGTTAGAAAATGTGTAGATAATTCCAGATGTTGCCTAGCTTTACTTAATATTTGTTCCCTGGTCAAAGGTATACTATCTGTGTAAATGTCTCCCACCCTACATAAATCCGTTTTTCTCCATTGTTCTCATTAGAGAGCTGCTCCCTGCTTTGAAGTTCATTGTGGCAACAGCGGAGTCCTGGAAGTGGCCCAGTTTCCCCTCCTTGTCCTCTGTCTCTTCCAAAGGCAGCACAATGGCCTCAGAGGCACCATCGCTTGCACTGTCTCTTCTTAAAGATGGAGTGAAAAGAGGAGCCTGGCATCTTCCTCAGGTAGGGAAAGAGCAATGGGAGCAGGGAGGAGGGAAGAGGCACAGGTGGGACAACCCAGCCTCCCTCTGTGTTGAGTGGGATGATGGGGATCTAAGAGAAGCTCTGTCTTCTTCCTCTTCCTCTTCCAGGCCCTCTTGACCTTTGAGGAGGTGGCTGTGTTTTTCACGGAGGAGGAGTGGGCTCTGCTGGATCCTGGCCAAAGAGCTCTGCACAAGGAAGTCATGGAGGAGAATTATGAGATGGTGGCCTCTCTAGGTAAGGATGCATTTTTTATGCCTCTTGGCTGCTAGACGTTGGAGGTGTGAATCTCCTGTTTGAGCCATTTATTCATGCTGTGTAGGAACAACATACCTTGTACGGATAACCTGCTGGATCAGCCCAGTGGCCCATTTCATCCAGCATCCTGTTGCCTGTGGGAAGCCAGCAGGATTTGAGCATAGAAGCATCACTCCCCTCCTGTGGTTTCCAGAAACCACTGCCTCCGACTGTGGAAGCAGAGTAGAGCCATCTTGGCTAGTGGCCGTTGGTGGACCTCTCCTCCTCAATGAATTTAGAGCATTAGCAATTTCCCATCTGACTTCTTTGTAAACTCTCAGGCGGATGCCATGCGGACCTGGAATTTTATCTGTTTTAATTTTGTCTATTTGACTGAGAACTTCATATCTCACCACCACTATCCATCTCAGCTCGGCCTCAAGGGAGATTAATAATAATAATAATAATAATAATAATGATAATCCCTCTCTCCTGACTGGTTTCCCCAGCCACTCTGGGCAGCTTCCAACACATATAAAAACATAATACAGTGGTGCCTTGATTCTCAAACATAATCCGTTCCAGGAGTACCTTCGACTCCCAAAACCATTCGAAAACCAAGGTGCAGCTTCCGATTGGCTGCAGGAGCTTCCTGCACTCAAGCGGAAGCTCGTCAGAGTTTGTCTTCCGAAAAACGTTCGCAAACCAGAACATTTAACCATTTACCTGTGTAAAACATAAAACATGAAAAGGCTTCCCTATACAGGGCTGCCTTCAGGTTATAAGGGAAAATGCTTTTTAAATTGCATTTTAACCTGTCTTTTAAATTGGTTTTTTTCCCCAATTATGTTTTTACTGTAATTTTACTGGTGTTAGCTGCCCTGAGCCCGGCTCTTGCCGGGGAGGGCGGGGTATAAATATATATTTTTTTTAAAAAATATTATTATTAAATATTTTGTTTTTTGTTTGTTTGCAAGAGTGGGGTGCCCTGGCCTCCTTGCCCTCCTGCAGAGCTCACGTGTCTGTCTTACTCGGACCTAAGAAGTTCGTCTGCCCAGGCTCCCTCTGGCTGACGGAGTGCCCTTCTTGGCTGGCTAGTCCTAGCTACTTCCTTCTAGCTATTGCCTTCTAGCTTACTTTCCATAAGACTCCTGAAATAAGAGCTAACTAGTTACTTTTCTATTTACTGGCATCGGAACACTTTTCAAAGTACCACTTACCCTGTAGTTCCTTACTTTACTTTAGTGTGGGTCTGTGGCAAATTGTTGTCAGGAGCCTTGTGGTCACTCTTCCCAGTAGGTCTTGCCCCATTGAGGCAGGTGCGAGGGCTGATGTTCCCTGCCTTCCCACTGCTCTCTAAGGCCCTCCCCTGGTTCTTTCCCCAGCAACCTAAGGCTCCTTCGTCTTGTCTCTCTTTGCTTCACCCTCTTCATTCCTCTGTGTGTTCTGGGAGATCAGTGGGGAGATGAGCTGGTCAAAGCAGGAGGGGGAGCTTCCCTGGCTTCTTATCCAGGTTGCCTCTACTTTGCTTCTTGATATCGGCCTCTGCTTTCGCCTCCCAAGGCTGGACTGCTCTCTTCCACAGCCTCCTCCTGCTCACCAAACCCTCCTCAGCTTCCAACACCTCCTGCTCCCGGACTGCTCCCTCTTTTCCTTCTGAAAGCCCCTCGTCATCCCACCACCAATCCCCTGGCTCTGAGCCTTCTTCCCCAGGGGTTCCCCCCCCCCACCTCTTGCCTCTCACTATTCCTCTGCATCCAGCCAGTCCATGTTGATTGTCAAGGCTCTCTCTCTTTAGGTGGTTGATAGGGGTCCTTCTTTTACTCTTTAGATAAAGATTTTTGCAGATTTGCTGTCTGAAGCAACATTCACAAGGTGTGTATGTTCACATAAACACACCTTGTGACAGTGGGGACCATGCGGCCCCCTCCTACTCATTCCGTGCATCTTTATAGGATCTGAATACATACAGTGGAACCTCGAGTTACGTTGCCTTTGGACTACGTAAACTTGGTTTGTGCACTGCAGGAAACCCGGAACTACTGGAATGGGTTATTTCTGGGTTTCGTCGCTCACACATTCACAGAAGCACTAAACTGCACCGCGTGTGTGCGCAGACGCAGCACTTTGAGTTGTGAAAGTTTTATGTTATGGATGGGCCTCTGGAACGGATCCCGTCCGTAACACGAGGTACCACTGTAATCCGAATCTCAAAGGCGAGAGAATAGATTAATTTGAAATGGCCGGTTTTGCCCCAAAGTAGCTAATATTATCTCTTTCCTTGACAGAATCAGACCTCAATTCCTGTTGGGAAGAAAGACAAGGTCCATTTCTCCAGAATCCCAAAGAAGGGGAGATGTCAGCAGGTAGGTGCTTAGATGTGTCGTGGGGCCCTCCAGGAAGTGAGGGAGAAGCCGGATGCCAGCATGGTGTGGTGGTTAAGAGCGGTGGACTTGTGATCTAGTGAACCGGGTTTGCTTCCCCGCTCCTCCACATGCAGCTGCTGGGTGACCTTGGGCTAGTCACACGTCTCTGAAGTCTCTCAGCCTCACTCACCGCACAGTGTTTGTTGTGGGGGAAGAAGGGAAAGGAGATTGTTAGCCGCTTTGAGACTCCTTAGGGTAGTGATAAAGCAGGATATCAAATCCAAACTCTTCTTTTTTATGTCCTGCTTCTTATCAGCATTCCTTTGGCCCCTGTGGGGCTCTTGGAGTAAACAGGCCAGCGAGACAAATGTGGTTTTCAATGCCTTTCTATTGGGCCTTGGGACTCTCTCCTCCCCAGGCCCTGACCCTTGTTGACCAGTGCTGCTTCACATCCTCCTTGAGTCCTTTTTCCTGGCTGGGTTGTTTCCTTGAAATGGGGCTTCTTCCTTGCCTGGATGGGAGGAGAGAGAAGGGTGTGTAGAAAACGTGCTCCTGTCCAGAGCTGACATTTGCATCTATTGATACACCCACGTCTGCCTCTGGCCCCACAAAGTGTGAATATGCGGCTCTCAAGCTGTAAAAAGTTGCTCACGCCTGAGAGAGACCATTGGTCTGATCCAGCAGCCCTTTTCTAAAGAGTAGAGTCGGCCTCTAGGTTGAGGTTTCCTTTCCGCATTGCTAGTATATGCCCCAAATTAAAATAGCCTCCGCGGTGCCTCTGAACTGAGGTCAATGTACAGTGAGATCCTCTTCACAAGTGCCAGAGCGATTCTGCTGGGTTCACATGGCCCTCTGCTTTCCCTCAGCAGGACAATTAAGACTTTGCCTTTCCCTTATTTTGGCAAGAGAGCCATGGCAGCCGTAGTGCTAGGAGTGTTTGGGTATTTTGTATTCCAAATTAACTCTTTGAAACCATTTCCCAAACCAGACTTCATCACTTGGGAGAATGGAGAAGATCCAGTTGGATGGGGCTCTGGGAAAGTGGAGAGATCAGCAGACACAGCTCTGCTTAGTGACAGCATGTGGAACAGGAAGGGACTTGTTGTCTTGAAACTGTTGCATATTCAGAAGCTAACTTCAGATTCAGTTGGGTAGGAAGAAAAGGAGGGGGGGACATACTTGAAAACTGTAAAATCAGAGAAGCAGAGAACTGGGCTTGATCCATGATTCTGCCTTGCAATTTGAACAATATTTTCTTTTTCTCCTTCCCTCAAATCAGGTAATTGGCAGAAGAGTGAGAATTATGGTGAGCCATCCGTAGTGTCATTAGAAAATGTGGAGAGTGAAACAGCGGACGAGATATTTGTAAATCAACAATCACCCCCAAAGCATGTAGAAAACATGTTGAAAAATGGGGAAAGCACACCTTCCACTACTCAGGACATTAGTGTTCATGTACCCTTGAATTCACAGGAGGAATGCACAGGAAGCAGCAATGTGGAGTGTGAACAGAGGTTCAGTCATAGTGGAAGGCTTAGTTTACATCAGAGAACCCAAACAGGGGAGAAAGCGTTTCAATGCACGGAGTGTGGAAAGAGCCTCAGTAGTGCTGGTAACCTTGTCAAGCATAAAAAAATCCATGCGGGGGAGAGACCCTTTAAATGCATGGAGTGTGGAAAGAGCTTCAGCCAGAGCGGAAACCTTATGGCACATCAAAGAATCCACACTGGGGAGAAACCATATAAATGTATGTTGTGTGGTAGGAGTTTCAGTCTCAATCACCATCTTACTTTACATCTAAGAACCCACACTGGGGAGAGACCTTACAAATGTATGGAGTGTGGAAAGAGCTATTGCCAGAGTGGACACCTTGCTGCACATAAAATAATGCACACGTGGGCAAAACAGTTTAAATGCATGGAGTGCGACAAGAGTTTTCTCAGAAAATTTGACCTTACTGTGCATCACAGAACCCACACAGGAGTGAAACCTTACACATGTATGGATTGTGGAAAGAGCTTTTGCCAGAGTGGACACCTTGCTGCACATGAAAGAATGCACATGTGGGCAGAACAGTTTAAATGCATGGTGTGCAGCAAGGGTTTTCTCAGAAAATTTGACCTTACTGTGCATCAGAGAACCCACACAGGAGTGAAACCTTATAAATGTATGGAGTGTGGAAAGAGCTTTTCCCAGAGAGGACACCTTGCTTCACATCGAAGAATCCATACAGGGGAGAAACCCTTTAAATGTTTGGAGTGTGGAAAGAGCTTTCACAGGAACTGTGACCTTACTGCACATCGGAGAACCCACACAGGAGTGAAACCTTACAAATGTATGGAGTGTGGAAAGAGCTTTAGCCAGAGTGGAAACCTTAATGCACATCAAAGAACCCACACAGAAAAACCCACCCTTTAAATGTTTGGAGTGTGGAAACAGCTTTAGTCACAATTACCACCTTACTTTACATAAAAGAACCGACGCCAAGGAGAAACCGTATCAATGTATAGCGTGTGGAGAAAGCTTTGGAGGGAGTGATGGCCTGACTGTGCATCTGGGAACCCATGCCGTGGGTAAACCCTCTATAAGTGAATGTGAAAAAAGCTGCAGTAGGAGCAGGAAACATATTTCATGTAAGGGAATTATTTGCTGTTTTGTTTCCCCCTTAAACTGAGGGTTAATTGGATGCTGTTGGAGCTCCTTGGCCTGGGGTGGGAGCTCCAAGTTTGAATCCAAAGGAAGTCAAATTGGGTAGGAGAGGCAGACGGTTTGATGCTCACCACCCAGCCAAGGCACGTGGCCCCAATCCACAGGTCGTTCGCCTCCTTCATCAAATTCTTTCGGTCTAGTGACCTGACCTGATTGGAGTGATTTGCCTAAAATCTTTTGTGTGTTGATGCCCGAAAAATTTGGGGCTCATTTTAGAGCAAGTCCCTTAACCTGAGTTCCTTCACTGGGTCCACCGTCAGAGTGAAAAGTAAAATGGAAGGCAACCAAAATCCGAAGCAAATTGGACTATTAAGCCTTTGATTGTTTATTTGTCGTGACAAATATTCAGCCTCTATAAAAGCAAAGGAAGGAGAACCTCGTGACAAAGGGTGTCCTGCTTTTTAAAGGTTTACAGTTCCCGCGAAACAGCAAGGAATCCCACCGCACAAACGTCAGTGATAGGTAGGTAAACGTCAAAGAGGCATCACGGAATTAGGAGGGGTTGCAATATGTCAATCAGAACATTTGGGAATTGCGGGTCTTACACCTTTCCAGGCAAAATTTACACGAAGCATTGTTACTGCAAGCGGCATTGGGATGGCAACAAGAACAACCCGTGTTCTATTCATCGGACAGACGCATGCAGACATTTGCCATTATATCTCATCCATCGCCTCCATCCAGAGGGAGAAACTTTGTCCTGGGATTCTTCCCCCTGCATGACTCTGTGCTTCGGAGATTATGATGAGAGAGAGACTTCCCACAACGCAGGAGTGTCCGTGTGATTCTAGAAGTCTGTTAACAAAGAATAAATCATTTACGAACCCTTTTACACCGTGTTTCTTTCATCTATATACAATTTCCCTAGTAAAGCGAGCGTAATCATTTGTTTCCGCTTTATATTGTAAGTATTATCTCTAACAAAATGCATTTCAATAGGGACAAATGTAAGGTTTTGCACAAAAATAGGATGGGGGGCATCTGGCTTTCTGGCAGTACATGCGAAAAGGGTTTGGGCGTCTTGGTGGACCACAGTCTTAACATGAATCAACACTGTGATGCAGCAGCAGAAAAAGAGAATGATATTCTAGGCTGCATCAACAGAAGTCTAGTGTCCAGATCAGGGGAGCTGACTTGGTTCCAGTGCACACAACATGACGTCATGATGTCTCACACACACACACACACACACACACACACACACACACGGCCTTGGAACTGGACTTCCAGTAGCACCAGGTTCCAAGGGCTCGCAAGGCCTCAGACAGCATCTCCGAGGTTTCACGAGACCAAGGCAGTCCAAGGGTGTTTTGACCTTGAAGCACAATGAGCTCATTCCAGCTGCATCTCTGTCCCCAGGGAAACCTTGGAACCTTTCCAGGCACACTAGAAAAAAACTAGAATATTTATGTTAGCTTCTATGGCTTCTGCACCTCAGAAACGGCATTATACCTTACAGATATATCATCCAGACCATCATTTAGTGTGGGAACCTTGGATTTATACAGTGGTACCTCGGGTTATATACGCTTCAGGTTACAGACTCTGCTAACCCAGAAATAGTACCTCGGGTTAAGAACTTTGCTTCAGGATGAGAACAGAAATTGTGCAGCAGCGGCGTGGCGGCAGCCGAAGGCCCCATTAAAGTGGTGCTTCAGGTTAAGAACAGTTTCAGGTTAAGAATGGACCTCCAGAACAGTGGCGTAGCATGGGGGGTGCAGGGGGGGCCGGCCGCACCGGGCGCAACATCTGGGGGGGGCGCGCTCGCACTCGCAGCTCTCTGCCCCCTGCTAAAATCCACGGGTTAGGGGGCGCAAATTACTTGCCTTGCCCCGGGTGCTGACAACCCACGCTACGCCACTGCTCCAGAACGAATTAAGTACTTAACCCGAGGTACCACTGTATAGTGAATATATGAGAATGAAACTGCCCTGCTCCAGCTGATCTCTCCATGATCTCCCGTGGGCTAGAGACAGAGGGGACTCGTCTCTATCCAGGACTCTTTCACTTCCCTTAACCCTTCCGTGGACTCCCTCACTCTGTCTCTACCGTTTATCAGCCAGCCCTACTTGGGGGCAGGGGCGCTGTGGTCACACCCCCCCTGACAGGCATTGCATTTCAATTCCCGCAAAGGTGCCCAGAGGGGTGCGGAGCAGTTAAGCGTCTCTTTGCCCGTCCCGGACCAGTAACAATTTGTGTGTGAGAGCGCGCACTTCAAATGAGACGGCGCAATGCAAACCCTGAAGGTGTTGGGTCCCCACTTTGCAGCCGGATTGCATGGATCCAGGCCCCCTCGATGGGTCCTAGGAAAGGAGCGTTTTTGGGGAGAGCGTCTCTAATCATCCCCCCCCCCCGCCAATTACCTCTTCCCTAACACGCCGCATCTTTACCTTGGTTCTCTCCTGGCCATCCGCCTCCCCTGCTCCCTGCTCTGATTTCATTTCATGTAATAAACATCTGACACGTTTTCGAAAGGGGGTGGGGGTGGGACTCTCGCAATTTCAGTCGCAGAGCAGCCCCTGCCTGTGTAAGGAGGTGAACTGGAAGTGACATCACTAGAAAAGTGACAATTTTGCCATTTCCTTAGCTGAGCACACACAAACACGTGCCAAGGGTCGGATCCACAAGAAGGCGGTTTTCTCCTTACTGGGACCAGAGGCGAGACACGCACCCCGATCCTGTACATGCCCCAAGTCAGGCTTTCACCTTATGCACTTTCACCTGGAAACAAATTTCATGGCTTCTGTCTGAGAAAATGCACATCAAACTACAAAGCTAGGACACACAACCAATGCAAGCTGCTGCGATTAAAAAGGTAAAGGGACCCCTGACCATTAGGTTCAGTCGTGGACGACTCTGGGGTTGCGGCACTCATCTCGCTTTATTGGCCGAGGGAGCTGGCGTACAGCTTCTGGGTCATGGGGCCAGCATGACTAAGCCGCTTCTGGCGAACCAGAGCAGCGCACAGAAACGCCGTTTACCTTCCCACTGGAGCGGTACCTATTTATCTACTTGCACTTTGACGTGCTTTCAAACTGCTAGGTTGTCAGGAGCAGGGACCTAGCAACGGGAGCTCACCCCGTCGCGGGGATTCGAACCGCTGACCTTCTGATCGGCAGGTCCTAGGCTCTGTGGTTTAACCCACAGCGCCTCCCGCGTCCCACATTACTTGTGAATAGGCTATGCTTAATCCAGGTATAGAGCTACAAGCACTCTGCTTTATTTTGAAATCTGTTCAACCTGGAGTGGTGGTGTTTTTTGGGGGAGGGGCTTTTTTTGGCCTCCTACCTTTTATTCTAAATAAAGCTTCACAATCCTGAACAGCTCTTCAGTTTGTCCTGTCAATGAAACTCTTTTGAGTACCGACATTTAGTCTGCTCACAAGCACATCAAATATCAACGTATAGGTTGTCTAGATCAAAACAGCTGGATGTATAGCCTTCATCTTAGAACTATTGCTCTTAGGGTGTTTGCATAATTTGTATTATTAAAACGGAAAGGGGTTAAACCATCACAAGAAGTGTTGAAACTTTGGGAGGTTGGATAGTTATAATGGAATGGTCTTGGTGGTGGGGTACACATTTTTATTCCTATTAACGTATGATCATTTGTTAATTTAAGAAAGAACTATTGCTTTTTGACCTATATTGCCTTTTCACCTATAGAGGTTTCCCTAGAAATCAGATTTCCTTTGATCTAAAAGAAATTTCCCTCTGGGAAATTGTAAAGATAAGCAATCGTTTTGGATGCATATTATAAAGGTCTCCTCTTCAGAGGAGAGATGGGCCACAGGTATTGCCAAACAGGGTCTTCTCTTGCTGAGAGATTCAGGTTTGCATTGAGCTTACAGATGAGCTGAGATTTAAGAAGGGCATGAATAAGAGACGGATTTGTAGCTGGTTGGCTCACTGAAGCCTAAGAGCGTCAGGGAAAATAACTTTCCTCTTTGGCAGTGGAATGGACTCTCTCAGGTGGTGGACTCTCCTTGAAGGGAGATTTTCAAGAAGAGATTGGGTGGTCACCTGTCTGGGATTCTTCGGCTGCCATCCAACAGAGGAAGGCGCTGCTTTGAAGACCCTAACAGGGGTCAGCAAACTTTTTCAGCAGGGGCCGGTCCACTGTCCCTCAGACCTTGTGGGGGGCCAGACTATATTTTGGGGGGAAAATATATGAATGAATTCCTATGCCCCACAAATAACCCAGAGATGCATTTTAAATAAAAGCACACATTCTACTAATGTAAAAACATGCTGATTCCTGGACCATCAGCGGGCCGGATTTAGAAGGTGATTGGGCTGGATCCGGCCCCCAGGCCCTAGTTGCCTACTAGGGCCTTTAGAGCAGTGCCTTCTTGTGTTCAGATGGGAACCGGAGGTGACGCCATAATAAAAAAGTATTTTGGGCCGTTTTAAAAAGCATCAAAAGACCAGCACCTCTCCAGGGAGGCAGCAGGGGACACGAAATGAGTGGGAACTCTGGAAAAGAACCAAGCAGAACAGCTGGAAGAAGGAGGCGTTGGCAAAACCAGCTTGAGGATTGGGATTGCAATTTATGTGGGGAGAACTTCCCCACTCTTCACCTAGTCAAGAATGAGGCAGGCGTTGTAACATCAGTGATTTCATAGAATCATGGTCCCTGCTACCCATGTGCATTTGCACAGTAATAACAGGAAATTCCATGCAAATCCTCAAGACTCCTCTGGAAAAATAGAACCATTTGCACAGCTCTACAATGGGGAATAAGGGACGCGAGTGGCGCTGTGGGTTAAACCACAGAGCCTAGGACTTGCCGATCAGAAGGTCGGCGGTTCAAATCCCCGCGATGGGGTGAGCTCCTGTTGCTCGGTCCCTGCTCCTGCCAACCCAGCGGTTCAAAAGCACATCAAAGTGCAAGTAGATAAATAGGTACCGCTCCGGCCGGAAGGTAAACGGCATTTCCGTTCGCTGATCTGGTTCGCCAGAAGCGGCTTAGTCCTGCTGGCCACATGACCCGGAAGCTGTACGCCGGCTCCCTCGGCTAATAAAGCGAGATGAGCGCCGCAACCCCAGAGTCGGCCCCTAATGGTCAGGGGTCCCTTTACCTTTACAATGGGGAATAGACTGTTTAGTTTAGATTAGGAATCCTTTCTGGGCACTATGCTGCCTCATCCCTTTTCACAAACGACTAGTCCAGACTTCCTGCAAGCATAGAAACGTTGCTTACTTGCAGGGATCCTGTGTCCTTCAGTGCAGCATCAAATGCAGGTACACCTCCATCTTAGAGGGAAAAGTTATCCTCAAGAGACTCTCTGTGTGTCTCCAACCTTGCAACCTGAGGAGGGGGAGAGAAGGGAGGAGAAAGGGGTCACAGCCAATCAGAGCCAACCTACAATTTCAGGAAGCCCCGTGGTTCTTGACCCCTTAATTACTGGTAATACAGGAACAGCTTCGTTTTCCAGCATCATTCCACAAACAATACGGAATACGTTAAAATAGCAATAATAAGTAGCAGTAGTAGCTGTTGTTGCTGCTGCTCTTGTTGTTGACAACTCTTTAATAGCAGAAACAAGGTCTGGTCCTGGGAACCAGGACTAAGGGGCACGGCAACTCTTCTGGGTGGGTCTTGCCCCTATGAGGCTGTTGCAGAGGCTGCACATCTGGTGGCCCTTTGCAGTTCTACTGAGAACTAAGCCCTGCAGAGTTTGTGGGGGACGCAGACTGATCAGGGTCCGCGGCAGAGACTCTTAGGAAGGAACAAAACGGGGGAGGTGAAGTAGGGAAGAGGAGACGCTTTTGCAGTAAATTGTGATAAATTCCTCACCACCAGCTCCAAACATAGGAAGCTGCCTTATTGTGAGCCAGACCCCCTGGATCACTACTGTTGACACCGACTGGCTGCAATGTCTCTCCGGGGATTCAGAGGGATGGAGTCTGTTTCAGGAGTCTGCAGATTGGACCTGGGACCTTCTGTGTGCAAGAAGGTGCTCTGCCCCTGAGCTGCAACCCCTTCCTTTATTTTAAATAATATTTTTATTGATTTTCACAGTAACCAACACCACAAAGAGTAAATATCAAAGCAGAAAATTTAACAACAACAAAAAAACCCTCTTTACATATTCAGTATCAAATCCAAGTGTGGGACTACTTGAACCCCCTGACTTGCCTCCACTCCTGGTTCCATTGTTACCCTTATTAATTTATGCATGTCCATATTACCTTGTTTCTCTATTTGCTTCCAATTTTATACGCCTTCGTAACATTACAAGTGTTTCTAAAACCGTGCTAATGTATTTAATTGATTTGGTTGGCATGCATATTTATTCATGAAATTGGTCTATAATTTTTTAACTCCTGCAAGTCTGTCCTTTGCTTTGGAATTCAAGTGTTGAGGGCCTTTTTCCAAGTATTTGGTAATCTGTCCTGCATTTAGTATTTCATTCATCACATTTTGTAATGGTTGAATTAAATAATTTTGCAATCTTTTATTATAGATAATATAGCCCATTTGGGCCAGGTGACTTTCCCACCAACTGCCAAACTATTTGGCCTTATCTACACTTATATACCTCAAGTAAATTATATAATAATAGAAAGAAATGGATATATGAGAAGACAGAATGACTCAAAAGGAGTCTGAATATCAGCCTTTTACCTAGACTGTTTGGTATAAATCAAAGTAAATCAGCCGAAGACTTTCAGTTCCAATTAATTCAGAAGAATATGAAGAATATGAATAGGAAAAAACCAAACACTTAGTCCCATTTGTTAATTTCCAGTGTCCAACAGAGATAAATTTTGATAGTTCAATGAACTTCCATATAAATCCAAAATGTTCTTGCCGGAATGAAGTTATAATCCACTTGTATAAATTGTTAATGACTTCCCATATTGTTAGTAAAGACAGTTGTTGTTGTTTAGTCATTTAGTCGTGTCCGACTCTTCGTGACCCCATGGACCAGAGCACGCCAGGCACTCCTGTCTTCCACTGCCTCCTGCAGTTTGGTCAAACTCATGCTGGTAGCTTCGAGAACACTGTCCAACCATCTCGTCCTCTGTCGTCCCCTTCTCCCTGTGCCCTCCATCTTTCCCAACATCAGGGTCTTTTCCAGGGAGTCTTCTCTTTTCATGAGATGACCAAAGTACTGGAGCCTCAGCTTCAGGATCTGTCCTTCCAGCGAGCACTCAGGGCTACCAATGTATCGTTGGTATTTAAAGTAAAGGTAAAAAAAAGCAGAGACATCACCTTGCCAACAAAGGTCCGTATAGTTAAAGCCATGGTTTTCCCAGTAGCGATGTATGGAAGTGAGAGCTGGACCATAAAGAAGGCTGATCGCCGAAGAATTGATGCTTTTGAATTATGGTGCTGGAGGAGACTCTTGAGAGTCCCATGGACTGCAAGAAGATCAAACCTCTCCATTCTTAAGGAAATCAGCCCTGAGTGCTCACTGGAAGGACAGATCGTGAAGCTGAGGCTCCAATACTTTGGCCACCTCATGAGAAGAGAAGACTCCCTGGAAAAGACCCTGATGTTGGGAAAGATGGAGGGCCCAAGGAGAAGGGGACGACAGAGGACGAGATGGTTGGACAGTGTTCTTGAAGCTACCAGCATGAGTCTGACCAAACTGTGGGAGGCAGTGGAAGACAGGAGTGCCTGGCGTGCTCTGGTCCATGGGGTCACGAAGTCGGACACGACTAAACGACTAAACAACAACAACAAAGGGACCCCTGACCATTAGGTCCAGTCATGACCGACTCTGGGGTTGCGGTGCTCATCTCGTTTTATTGGCTGAGGGAGCTGGCATACAGCTTCCGTGTCATGTGGCGAACCAGAGCAGTGCATGGAAACGCCATTTACGTTCCCGCCGCAGCGGTACCTATTTATCTACTTGCACTTTGACATGCTTTCGAACTGCTAGGTTGGCAGGAGCAGGGACCAAGCAATGGGAGCTCACCCCGTCACAGGGATTCAAACTGCCAACCCTCTGACCGACAGGTCCTAGGTTCAGTAAATCAGCAAAAATATATAAAACAGGGTCCAATATGTGTTGGAAATGTAAGGAAAAAGAAGGCACTTTTTATCATATGTGGTGGACATCTAAGGTAGTAAAAGAATTTTGGGAAATGATATATAATGAATCGAAAAAATATTTAAACAACTTTTTCTAAAACCCCTGAAGCCTTTCTTTTAGGAATTCTAGGTGCCAAAATTTCAAAGCAACAAAAAAGACTATGTATACGAACACAGCTGCACAAATGTTATTGGCCCAGAGATGGAAAGAAAATAAAGTCCCGACCAGAGAAGAATGGCAGATGAAGTTGATGGATTATGCTGAAATGGCAAAAATGACCAGAAGAATTTGAAATCAGGAACAGTAAACTTTAATAAGGAATGGGTAAAATTTACAAACTATACTAAAAACCATTGTAAAAAGCTAAAATTGTTTCTAGGATTGGAATAAACTTGTAGTTTCATGGTGCACTTTGGGCATAATAGAGATGTAAAAGATTTGGATTATTATAAAAGATGCAGGAGGAAATGATTTACAATAGGACCAACAAAGGGGAGGAGGGAAGATATCTGATATTAAATTTATCTTATGAAAAACCACACACACACACACACACACACACTTTCCACACCGTACAATATATTGGTTTTTCCATTGTGTGAGTTTGTTGATGTATTCTAAGGATATCATTGCAACTATAGGTCTTTTCACACTCAATACATTGGAATGGTCTTCACCTTGTATGAGTCTGTTGATGTGATGTAAGTTTATCTTTACGACTGAAGGTCTTTCCACACTCCATACATTTAAATGGTTTCTCCCCTGTGTGAGTTCGTTGGTGTAATCTAAGCTTATTGCTTCTTCTGAAGGTCTTTCCACATTCTATACATTTATATGGTTTTTCTCCTGTGTGGATTCGATGGTGAATATTAAGTGCTGAACCCGTACTGAAAGTCTTTCCACACTCCATACATTTATATGATTTTTCTCCTATATGAATTCGTTTATGTTTTCCAAGACCTCTCTTTTCATGGAAACACTTTCCACACTCCATGCATTTATATGGTCTTTCCCCCATGTGTGTTCGTTGATGTAACTTAAGGTATGCATTCTGGGTATAACTGTTTCCACACACCATACATTTAAACGGCTTTTCTCCTGTGTGAGTCTGTTTATGTCTTCTTAAATTTTGCCTATCAGTGAAGCTCTTTCCACACTGTATACATTCAAATGGTTTTTCTCCTGTGTGAATTCGTTGGTGTCTTCTAAGGTTATTACTCAGACCAAAGCTCTTTCCACACTCTATACATTTAAATGGCTTTTCCCCTGTGTGAGTTACTTGATGACTTTGAAGGGTACTGTTTTGAATGAAGCTCTTTCCACACTCCATACATTTATATGGCCTTTCCCCTCTGTGAGTTACCACATGTATTCTGAGGTATCCCCTATTAGTGAAGTTCTTTCCACACTCCATACATTTAAATGGCTTTTCTCCTGTGTGAGTTCGTTGATGACTTCGAAGGGTACCTATTTGCCTGAAGCTGTTTCCACACTCCAAACATTTATAGGGTTTCTCCCCTGTGTGAGTTCGTTGATGTACCTTTAGGTTTCTACTATCATTGAAGCTCTTTCCACACTCCATGCATTTAAATGGTTTTCCCCCTCTGTGAGTTCGTTTGTGAATTCTAAGCTTTTCTCTATGACTGAAGATCTTTCCACTCTCCATACATTCATATCGTTTCCCCCCTGTGTGAGTTTGTAGACGATTTCTAAGCTTTCCAGTATCCATAAAGCTCCTTGCACATTCCAACAGTTTCGTTGTTATTACCGGTGAAATTACAGGTGGTCCTGCAGAGTTCTGTCTGTCATCTCCACCTGCTTCAGAGCAAGGAGAAAGAAATTCCTATTAGGGTTTCAAGGATAAGGAGGAAGGAAGTTAACATACACAAAGCTCAGTCAGCACTTTCACTTACTGAAACATCTCCTAGATTCTCCCTTATCAGCTTTACCTTACAATCTAAACTGGTAAGTTACATGCCATTATTATCTCGTTACTAATTTGCTGCATCCCCTTCATGGATTGCCGTGATGAAGGGGCTTGAATAACTCAGAGTAGCTATGAGCTATGCCGTGCAGGGCCGCCCAAGATGGACAGGTCATAGTGGAGAGTTTTGACCAAACGTGATCCACCTGGAGCAGGAACTGGCAAGCCACTCCAGTATCCCTGCCAAGAAAACTCAATGGACAAAGACAACAGGCATATAAAAGTTATGACGCTGGAAGATGAGCCCCTCAGGTCGGAAGGCGTCCAACATGCTACTGAGGAAGAGCAGAGGACAAGTACAAGTAGATTCAGAGCTGATGAAGCGGCTGGGCCAAAGCCAAAAGGTCACTCAGTTGCGGATATGCCTGGAAGCGAAAGGAAAGTCCAATGCTGTAAAGAAAAATATTCCATAGGAACCTGGAATGTAAGAACCATGAACCTTGGTAAGTTGGATGTGGTCAAAAATGAGATGGCAAGAATAAATATTGACATCCTGGTCATCAGTGAACTAAAATGAACGGGAATGGCCGAATTCAGTTCGGATGACCATCATTATCTACTACTGTGGGCAAGAATCCCGTAAAAGAAATGGAGTGGCCCTCATAGTCAACAAAAGAGTGGCGAGAGCTGTACTGGGATGCAATCTCAAAAATGATAGAATGATCTCGATACAAATCCAAGGCAGACCTTTTAACATCACAGTAATCCAAGTTTATGCACCAACTACTGGTGCTGAAGAAACTGAAATTGACCAATTCTATAAAGACTTACAACACCTTCTAGAAATGACACCAAAGAAGGATGTTCTTCTCATTATAGGGGATTGGAATGCTAAAGTAGGGAATCAAGAGATAAAAGGAACAACTGGCAAGTTTGGCCTTGGAGTTCAAAACGAAGCAGGGCAAAGGTTAATAGAGTTCTGCCAAGAGAACAAGCTGGTCATCACAAACACGCTTTTCCAACAACACAAGAGACGACTCTACACATGGACATCACCAGATGGGTAGCATCAAAATCAGATTGATTATATTCTCTGCAGCCAAAGATGGAGAAGCTCTATACAGTCAGCAAAAACAAGACCTGGAGCTGCCTGTGGCTCAGATCATCAGTTTCTTATAGCAAAATTCAAGCTTAATCTGAAGAAAGTAGGAAAAACCACTGGGCCGGTAAGATACAATCTAAATCAAATCCCTTATGAATATACAGTGGAAGTGAGGAACAGGTTTAAGGATTTAGATTTGGTGGACAGAGTGCCTGAAGAACTATGGATGGAGGCTCGTAACATTATACAGGAGGCAGCAACTAAAACCATCCCAATGAAAAGGAAATGAAAGAAAGCAAAGTGGCTGTACAACGAGGCCTTACAAATAGCGGGGGAGAGGGAGAAGAAGAAGAAGAAGAAGAAGAGGAGGAGGAGGAGGAGTTTGGATTTGATATCCCGCTTTATCACTACCCAAAGGAGTCTCAAAGCAGCTAACATTCTCCTTTCCCTTCCTCCCCCACAACAAACACTCTGTGAGGTGAGTGGGGCTGAGAGACTTCAGAGAAGTGTGACTAGCCCAAGGTCACCCAGCAGCTGCATGTGGAGGAGCGGGGAAGTGAACCCGGTTCACCAGATTACGAGTCCACCGCAAGCAAAATGCGAGGGAGATAGTGAAAGATACAGGACATCAAGAAGAGGTGGCAAGAATACACAGAGGAATTATACCAGAAAGATATGGATGTCTCGTACACCCCAGGTAGTGTGGTTGCTGACCTTGAGCCAGACATCCTGGAGAGTGAAGTCAAATGGGCCTTAGAAAGCACTGCTAATAACAAGGCCAGTGGAAGTGGTGATATTCCAGCTGAACTATTTAAAATTTTAAAAGATGATGCTGTTAAGGTGCTACACAAAATATGCCAACAAATTTTGAAAACTCAGCAGTGGCCAGAGGATTGGAGAAGATCAGTGTACACCCCAATCCCAAGGAAGGGCAGTGCCAAAGAATGCTCCAACTACTGCACAATTGCACTCATTTCACATGCTAGCAAAGTTATGCTTAAAATTCTACAAGGCAGGCTTAAGCAGTATGTGGACCGGGAACTCCCAGAAGTGCAAGCTGGATTTAGAAGAGGCAGAGGAACCAGAGACCAAATTGCAAACATGCGCTGGATGAAAGCTAGAGAGTTCCAGAAAGACAGCTACTTCTGCGTCATTGACTATGCAAAAGCCTTTGACTGTGTCGACCACAGCAAACTATGGCAAGTTCTTAAAGAAATGGGAGTGCCTGATCACCTCATCTGTCTCCTGAGAAATCTCTATGTGGGACAAGAAGCTACAGTTAGAACTGGATATGGAACAACTGATTGGTTCAAAATTGGGAAAGGAGTACGACAAGGCTGTATATTGTCTCCCTGCTTATTTAACTTATATGCAGAATTCACCATGCGAAAGGCTGGGCTAGATGAATCGCAAGCCGGAATTAAGATTGCAGGAAGAAATCTCAGATATGCAGATGACACAACCTTGATGGCAGAAAGTGAGGAGGAATTAAAGAACCTTTTAATGAGGGTGAAAGAGGAGAGCGCAAAATATGGTCTGAAGCTCAACATCAAAAAAACGAAGATCATGGCCACTGGGCCCATCATCTCCTGGCAAATAGAAGGGGAAGAAATGGAGGCAGTGAGAGATTTTACTTTCTTGGGCTCTATGATCACTGCAGATGGTGACAGCAGCCACAAAATTAAAAGACACCTGCTTCTTCGGAGAAAAGCAATGACAAACCCAGACAACATCTTAAAAAGCAGAGACATCACCTTGCCAACAAAGGTCTGTATAGTTAAACCACTACTGGTTTTCCCAGTAGTGATGTATAGAAGTGAGAGCTGGACCATTAAGAAGGCTGATCGCTGAAGAATTGATGCTTTTGAATTCTGGTGCTGGAGGAGACTCTTGAGAGTCCCATGGACTGCAAAAGATCAAACCTATTAATTCTGAAGGAAATCAGCCCTGAGTGCTCACTGGAAGGACAGATCGTGAAGCTGAGGCTCCAATACTTTGGCCACCTCATGAGAAGAGAAGACTCCCTGGAAAAGACCCTGATGTTGGGAAAAATTGAGGGCACAAGAAGCAGGGGACGACAGAGGATGAGATGGTTGGAGAATGTTCTTGAAGCTACCAGCATGAGTCTGACCAAACTGTGGGAGGCAGTGGAAGACAGGAGTGCCTGGCGTGCTCTGGTCCATGGGGTCACGAAGAGTCGGACACGACTAAACGACTAAACAACAACAACAACAAATGCAACAAACCACTTTGCAGTTTTCTTTTTAAAAAAATATTAAATAAATAAAATAGAAATATAAATAAAACAACACAAGCCAAAACACAATCCATCCTGTAGATTTAAGTATCTGTCCACAGTCACCTACTTGTTATCGGAGGCCCCGAATCCACATTCCTTTGTAAGAAAATATGAAATAAAGTCAAACCATTTTTGCTGGCAACTCCCCCCAAAAACCACCAGTGTGTGTGTGGGGGGGGGTGTGACAAGAAATTTGCCACACTGGGTAGCACCCGGCATTCCTACATTTCTGTATATAAAGTAAATAACTGAATATAATAACTTTCTAGAAAAAAACAATAGTCGTAGAAATGCTTGAAATATACATTATAAATAGTTACTGGATTTGTCACCATCAATGAATCATGCTGTACAAAATACTTGCAAAACCTGAATTCCACTTTCTTCTTCCTGTTAGGAACCTCCTGCCTTTTCTCTCCTCTCCCACTTTTCCTATTGCCAGGGAAGTTCCCCACTTCCAACATCCATCCATCCATGTCCTCTTCTCCCCTCCCCTCGAACTCACCAGATCTCTCTGAGGGTCCTGGGAGAAAACACCCAGAGGTTGTGGGGAGGGATGCAGGAGACAGCCGGACCAGGTCAACCGTCCACCTTCCTCCTTCCATCCTTGATAGGATTGCAAGATCTGCCTCTTGAATCCTTAGAAGCCTAAAGAAGAAGCGGATTCCTGGGAGATAGAAGCAAATGGAGACTCAGAGCCCCTGCAGGGATTTTCCTTTCAGAGGGGAAGCCCCCTCCCCATCTGTGCTTCTCCCACCCGCAGCTTCCATGGTAGAAGAGCGGTACCTTCCTCCCGAACCCCACCTTGCAAGGAAAGTGGAGCCATGTCTGAAAGAGGATCTTCTTCACAACTGTATTAAAAACTTTCCTTTCCTGTCCACCTTTTCTCCCTGTCATCCTCTGGCGTTGCAGGCTCCTTCCATTTTTCCTTCTGCTTCCCCCCTCAATTCCCCCCGCCCCCAGGTTACAGGAAGGGCTTGCAGCTCAGGGCCAGAGCATCTTCTTGTAGGCAGAATGTCCCAGGTTCAGTCCTCAAAGGTAGGTCTGAAACAGACTCCATCCCTCTGAAACCCCAAAGAACCACTGCTACCAATCCGGGTCCTGACCCAGGGGGTGTTTCTCAGCATCAGACCAAAGCTTCTCCTCTTCCCAGTTTTAAAGCCTTCCCTCCTTCACTTCCCCACAGACTTTGCCCCCTCTGAACTCCACAGTGGTTACTTCTCAGTAGAACTGCAAAGAGCTGCGCTGCAGATTCCTCCGACCAGATTTGCAGCCTCTGCAACTGCCGCATAGGGGGAAAAGAAATACCCAGAAGAGTTGCTGCGCCCATTAGACCTGGCTCCCCGGACCAGGCCTTGTTTCTGCTACTAAAGAGTTAACAACAATTTTAACTTCACCTATTTCGTGTCATTTTTTTGCTGGCTGGCTCTCTGACAAATTCTATGATTCCATGAATCCAGCTTCTAGGGAGGGAAACGGGGGTGGGGGTGGGAATAGGGCTCCCCCCCTCCCGCTTTATGGATGCCTCTTAAAGGAGGCTGTTGAGCGGGAAGCAAATGTCATGGTAGCGCCGCAGCCTCTCCGGCGCTGAAGACGCACCCAGTTTCCCCCCCAAAACCGTGTCTCTGCCCCCTGCCAATGCTGTGCTTCCCTCCCCCAGGGATGCCTCCATTCCTCCCTCAGCCCCCCCCCAACTTCCTCTGCCCTCCTCCCTGAGTCTCCCCTGCGCCCAAAGCCCCCCCCCCCCTTGGCACGGCTCACCCCTCGCCCTGCGCTGCGCGCCCTGTCTCTCCAAAGCGCACCGTCCGGAGGGACTACCCAAGACGAGTAGGGGAGAGGAAAGTGATGGAAGGGGGTGGGTCTCTATCCACGGCTCTCGTTCTCTCGCTTCCTTTAACCCTTACATGGACTCCCAATGTCAGTCTCTCCGGGAAATGTGACTCACCGAAGGGGTGGGGGTGGGGACCGGGCTATGAGGCGGCGACACTTCGGGTTCTTTTTGGAAAGCGCTCGCCCCTAGAGCTACGATCGCAAAGCAGCCCCTACCGGTGTTTGGATAGAAACAGGACGTGACGTCTCAAGAAAAACAAAGGTTTTGTTGGGTTTGTTTCATCAGAGCTGAACACATACACACATACTCATACTCTCTCTCTCTCTCTCTCTCTCTCTCTCTCACACACACACACACACACACAGCAACCATGCGCTGCAGCCTGAACCACAATAAGCGCTAGTACACTAGTGGGACCACAAGTGAGATGTGCATCTCAATCCTATACAATTCTATGTGCAAATGCTCCAATTAAGCCTTTAACTTTTTGAACTTTGAACTAGAAACAAATCTCATTGCAAGCATCTGGGTTCACTTCTCAGACAATGCTGTTTTTGTTAAGTTGTGGGTGAACATATCAGATGACACAGCGATTCTTCAAACAGCTCTTGTTTATTCACAGGCCAGAACAGAACTGAACTGAAGGGTTTAGCCAGCCTGCTTATATAGAGCTCCACTAGAACACAACAGTTACCATTTTCTGTAACTATCCAATCACTGAATGTCACTTTCGATCCCTTATCTGCATATGTGGACCTGAGTGAAAACTATCTACAGTATCTCCCTGCTGGCCCAGGGTGAGAATTTCAGTAAATAACAGTTGTTTATTATTATTATTATTATTATTATTATTATTATTATTATACCACCCTATACCTGGAGGTCTCCAGGCGGTTCACAGAAAAGATCACAACATACCGTATTTTTCGCTCGATAACACGCACCTGACCATAACACGCACATAGTTTTTAGAGGAGGAAAACAAGAAAAAAAAATTCTGAATGAAACAGTGGATGTATCATTTTTGTGCTTCATGCTGTGGCCACAGACATGTGATTTGACGGTGAGTTTGGGATAGCCCAATGCAAAGATCCTGAGGATCCATGTGGATCCGTGCTTTGTAACCACGTTTTTGCACCATTGCAGCCCTGTTTTTGCATCAGATCATTGCTATGTGATCTGATGGTGAATTTGGGGTGACCCAATGCAAAGATCCTGAGGATCCATGTGGATCCGTGCTTTGTAACCACGTTTTAAGTGGGGAGGGAAGGAAAAACATAGAAGGGACAAGGAGCACCGAGAGGGGTGTGCGGAGAAGCAGCTGGCTAAGAATGCAGGAGAGGGATTTTACCGGAGGGAGGAAAGGAAGGCAAAAGTTCTCCCCCCCACACACCCACCCAAGCCAGCCAGCTCTCTCTCTCCTCCCCACCTGCATGTTGCAGCACCGGAGCACGGAGCGGAATTAGAAGGAAAGACGCTCTGCTTTCCCCTCTGCTTGCCTGGAGGGGAGGGGTTTTCTCTGCTCTTTGTTCCGTTTGAGCAAACACAGTAACAAACAGAAGCGGGTGGGCAGTAAGACCCTGAGGCAGAATGCAGGAAAGCAGCAGCTTCCTCTTTTCAAGGCTTCCCTTCTCCAGAGGATTGATATTTGCCTGAATTTTGCCTTCACTCGCGCCTGTTGGCTCCAGGGACCACACATTCGCTCAATAACACGCACAGACATTTCCCCTTACTTTTTAGGAGAAAAAATCTGCGTGTTATAGAGGGAAAAATACGGTATATAATCAGAATAAAAACAGCAACCCAATAGCACGCTCCAGAAAAGAGCCACATTTTTAAAGGGTATAGGATGCAGACCAGGATATTCATCCATCAACCTCTGAGGGATGATTTAGAGAGGATTGGGTCCAGCATCACTTTCCCTGCATGTGTGTGCCAGAGCTACACTTCAACCTTCCTCGGGGTTGAAGGTACACACAGTAGGCAATATGGGCGCCATAAAGATTCAGTCAAGTGTAGACCTTGACTTGACAGGCATAAAAGCTTATTGGTAGCAAATATGCACAGACATTCACCATTGCTATCCATGGTCAAGGCATGCTTAGAGCCCAACAAGAGTCCAAGACTCTCTCTCTGCTTCTCTCAGCGCAAGGCGCAAGCAAGAGACTCACAACAACTTACAGCAAGTTACCCAGAACCGTTGTTACACACTGCGCATGCCCAAAGAACAGTTCCTGCAGAAAATGTCCTTGCATAGATAAAACAATTTCAGCCTTCTGTTGCTTCTTGAAACTTCTTCTCTGTTTCTAGAAGAAATGATTCCCTTTTACACAGAGAGAATATCCAACATGTACAACTGCACCCAAACTCTACATGTCAGAGGTTTCCAGGCTGGAGAGCAAAAGGAGCCCGTAGAGAAGGGGGAGGAGGGTGGGGTGTCAGTGGACAACAGCCCTCCCCCATCTTTATACTGCAGTGAATTGGAATAGCGAAAGAGGAGGCAGAAGGGCAAAGAACAAAGAAGTAAAAATGCATTGTGGGTAATTCAGGGGTAAATGTGTATTATGTACTGGCTCAATGGGAAAACTCAATTCATTTAGGACCCAGGGAAGTGAGGTTTAAGGGGAGGGGTGAGTGAGCCCACCATAACCAGGACTGCAGGGCCTTCCGAAGAGTGTCAGAGAACCATCTCTATCACAATGCCTACCCACCCCATAGTGGGATCAAGGCCAGACAAGACAAAGGGGTGTATGTGACATGATTCAGGGACCCTTCCTTTGCACTGTGATGAAGTAAGTGTGAAAAACTATATTTGAGTGACAGGGGCATGCCTGGGTCTCAGGTTCTACCTGAGACCACACCTTCTCTGTGACATACCTATGATGTCTTGATGATGTTTCTGGAAATGTATTATGGAAAACTTTGGAAAAATGCGAAATACTGATGTAACCATTGTTTGGAGCCTTTAACTGCTTCTTCTGTGTGGTAGTTTGAAGTCTTGTTGGAACAATAAAGATCAGGCCTACTAGCCGCTGTTTTGCTTCTATCTCTTGACTCCTTCCTGAGGCGCTTAGAAGCCTAAAGAAGAAGCGGATTCCTGGAAGAAAGAAGCAAAGGGAGACTCAGAGCCCCTGCAGGGATTTTCCTTTCAGAGGGGAAGCCCCCTCCCCATCTGTGCTTCTCCCACCCGCAGCTTCCATGGTAGAAGAGGGGTACCTTCCTCCCGAACCCCACCTTGCAAGGAAAGTGGAGTCATGCTTGAAAGAGGATCTTCTTCATAACAGTATAAAAAGCATTCCTTTCCTTTCCTGTCCACCTTTTCTCCCTGCCATCCTCTGGCATTGTAGGATCCCTCCATTTCTCCTGCTTCCCACTCCAACCCCCCAGCCCCATAGAGGAAGGGGCTGTAGCTTAGACAGAGCAACTGCCTGCATGCAGACGGTCTGAGGTAATCAGCAGAGGGTCTGTCTCAATATAATGCAGCCTTGTTTGTTTGGAGCTGGTGTTGAAGAATTTATAACAATTTACTGCCAAACGTTCTCCTCTTCTCAGTTTTGAAGTCTTCCCTCCTTCACCTCCCAGCCACCCCTTCCTTCCTTCCTTCCTTCCTTCCTTCCTTCCTTCCTTCCTTCCTTCCTAAATCTACCCTGCTATGGAGCCTGATCAGAGTCTGTGCCCCGCACCCCCCCCCACATTTAATGTCAATCAACTTTTTTGGGGGGGCGTGGGCCTCTCAAATATTTTATTTGGGCAGGGGGCGATGGGACCTTGGCCTCTAGGAGCTGGCTCCTATGTCTCTTCTCCCCCCCTTCTCCCTAGGGAGTCTCCCCTGAACCCAGAAAAACTTCCAAGGAAGTCTTTTTGGGGTGGGGGTGTGTCTCTTCGTGCTTTTCCTCCCAGTCCCTCCCCCCCTCAATCCCCACGCTGCATTTTTACCTATTTTCTCTTTCTGCCCACCCCTCCCCCTTGCTCACTAATTTGGTTTCCTGCAATGTAAAGATCCGGGGGTGGGTGGGGGCTGTTGTGCACTGACAGTGACACTTTGGGTTCTTTTCCGAATGCAGCGCCAACTCCGGTCGTAGAGCAGCTCAATAAATTGGGGGGGGGGGGCGTTTTAAAAAGCATCAAGAGACCAGCGCCTCTCAGCACTGGAAGCAGAGGACATGAAATGAATGGAAGCCTCGGAAAAGCACGGACTTGAGCAGGGGTCAGCAAACTTTTTCAGCAGGGGGCCGGTCCACAGTCCCTCAGACTTTGTGGGGGGCCGGACTATATTTTGAAGAGAAAAAAAATGACCGAATTCCTTTGCCCCACAAATGACCCAGAGATGCATTTTAAATAAAAGGGCACATTCTACTCATGTAAAAACACACTGATTCCCGGACTGTCCGCGGGCCGGATTTAGAAGGGGATTGGGCCAGATCTGGGCCCCGGGCCTTAGTTTACCTACTCATGGACTTGAGTGTCAGGATTGTAATTGATGAGGGGAGAACTAGCCCCCTTTTGACATAGCCAAGAATGAGGCAGAATGATTTCATAGAATCGCGGTCCCTGCTACCCATGTGTGTTCACACAGTAATAACTGGAACTTCCATGCAAATCCTTGAGGCTTGGCTTTCGCTTCAAGGCTCCCCCGGAAAAATAGAACAATTTGCACAGCTCTACAGTGGGCAATAAAGGGACGCGGGTGGCGCTGTGGGTTAAACCACAGAACCTAGGACTTTCTGATCAGAATGTTGGCGGTTCGAATCCCCGCGACGGGGTGAGCTTCCGTTGCTCGGTCCCTGCTCCTGCCAACCTAGCAGTTCGAAAGCATGTCAAAGTGCAAGTAGATAAATAGGTACCGCTCCGGCGGGAAGGTAAACGGCGTTTCCGTGCACTGCTCTGGTTCGCCAGAAGCGGCTTAGTCATGCTGGCCACATGACCTGGAAGCTGTACGCCAGCTCCCTTGGCCAATAAAGCGAGATGAGCACTGCAACCCCAGAGTCGGTTAGGACTGGACCTAATGGTCAGGGGTACCTTTACCTTTACCTTTACAGTGGGCAATATGACTGTTTAGTCTAGATTACGAATCCTTTCTGGGTACCATCCTGGCTCTACCCTTTTCCAGACTTCCTGGAAGCTTAGAAATGTTGTTTACTTGCAGGAAACCTGTGTCCTTCAATGAAGCATGAAATGCAGACAGAGGTACTATGTGCTTGGCTGAGGATCCAAGCACACAGGTACACTTGCATCTTAGAGGGGAAATGTAGAAGTTATCCTGAAGAGGCTCTCTCTCTGTGTCCTAGCCTTGCAACCTGAGGAGTGATGGGGAGGGAGGCGGGGAGAAAGGAGGAGAAAGGGTTGAGATGTACAGACTCCCTCTCTTTGAAACCCCCAAGAGCCATTGCTGCCAGTCCAGGTAGGCAGCACTAACCCAGGCGGACTGATGGTGTGACTCTGAATAGTGCAGCATCCCACGTTTGGAGCCCCCAGTCTCCCATGCAGAGGCGCTTCAGCTTCTCTTACACATGGGGCAGGGGCCAGGGACAGGAATCCGGCTTCCAGGGAGCAAGGCCCTTTCGACCTGGCCTAGGGGGCAGGGCCCACACTCACCAGCCCTACTGAAGAGGCTCCTCATAAGGCTGGAGGAACATCACCCGGCTATTGTTTTATTGATTTATTGATCTGCAGAGAGGCGGAGGGTTTGGGGCTCTGTTTAACAGCCAACCCTCCTCGGGGATGGGGGCCTTCCCATTTCAACTCCCTCAAAGGCCACCCAAGGGGGTGCAGGGCAGTTGAGCATCGCCTGATCCTCAACGAGAAAGAAACACGTGTGCGTGTGTGATGGCATTTGTTTAGTCGTTTAGTCGTGTCCGACTATTCGTGACCCCATGGACGCTAGGCCCTCCTGTCTTCCACTGCCTCCCGCAGTTTGGTCAAACTCATGCTGGTAGCTTCGAGAACACAGTCCAACCATCTCGTCCTCTGCCGTCCCCTTTTCCTTCTGCCCTCCATCTTCCCCAACATCAGGGTCTTTTCCAGGGAGTCTTCTCTTCTCATGAGGTGGCCAAAGTATTGGAGCCTCAGCTTCAGGATCTGTCCTTCCAGATGGCATAGTTGTCAACTTTTCCCTTTTCTTGCAAGGAGTCCTATTCGGAATAAGGGAATAAGGGAAAAGGGAATAAGGGAAAAGTTGACAGCTATGGTGTGATGGGGCTTCAAAGGAGATGCTGCATTGCAAGCCCTGCAGATGCCGCTGGATTGCATGGAAATGGGCACCTCATGGTGGATCCCAGGAATGGCGCTTATGGGAAGCATGGGGTGACTTTACCCTTTTCTTCCTTGCCCCTCCCCTCCCTCACCCCTCCCCTGCTTTCCATCTCACTGCTGGCATCTGTCATGGCTGCTTTAGTTGAGTTTCCTGCATTGCGGAACTCTATTAGTCTTTGATTCTATGAAGCTGACCAGTGGTCCCTCCACCTCTAAGCTAACATACAGCGGCTCTCCAGGGTCTCCCTGCCTGGATCTGCAATTGGGGATTGACCCCTGGGACCCTCCTGCACCCAAGGCAGTTTCTCTAACCACTGAGCTGGAAGAACATCGCTCACAGGTGTTAAGCGCGCCATTCCCACACTTAAGGCTGACCAGGAGGACAGGGAAGTTGTGGAAGGCATGTTAATACTGTGTTTTAATTTGTTGGAAGCTGCCCAGAGCGGCTGGGGCACATGGGCGGCACAGAAATAATAAATAATTCTTATTCCTATAATCTGATTTTTGCTTTATTTCCTTGTACTCACATGCACACCATAGGTGCCAGCTCCCCCTGGGAGCCTGGGCACCCACAAAATTCCCGATGAAGGGGGTGGGCACCCACAAAATTCAGTGCCAGGGTCATGTGCGCTGCATGGCACCCACGGCCCCAGGCATTCATGGTTGTGGGGTCAAGTTGGCACTCCTGATGCACACAAACACACACGCGGAACTTAGAAGGAGGAACAGAGGAAATGCTTGCATGCGTTTGATAGGCTGCTGCTCGTATCTGTAGGTCTTTATGCAGAACTTGGATTTTAGGACGCTCCATGTGCCACCCTCATGTGCCAGCCATGGTAGCTTTAACGTTTCACATGGCTCCAGAAATAAATAACTTTGAAACTTTGAATTACTGAAAGAGCACTTTCACTACAGTAGTACCTTGGTTCTCAAATGCCTTGGCAATCAAATACCTTGGTTCCCAAATGTCAAAAACTCGGAAGTAAGTGTTCCGGTTTTCGAACGTTTTTCAGAAGCCGAAAGTCTGATGCGGCTGTCGGCTATTGTTTTTGGGGTGCCTGCACCAATCAGAAGCTGTGCCTTGGTTTTTGAACATTTCAGAAGTCAAACGGACTTCCAGAATGGATTAAGTTCGAGAACCCAGGGCCGTCTTTACCTGGGGGTGCAAGGGGTGTGGGGCACCCAGGTTCTGATTCTGGGGGGTGCCAGGCACCTGCCACTGAAGGTGACTAAGCTCTGCTTGGCACGGGCTGTGTTGGCGAAGGTGGCGGGCGAGAGGACAGAGGAGCCGTTTCTCATAAGATGTCTGGATAACTTTGTCCTTGATACTTCTAGAGTTGAAGAGTACCAGGCAGTCACCTGGAAAAAAAATCTTTTCTACATACAGTGATTTAACCCTGAATGCATAGCTTTATCCACTTCAGCTGGTTGCAACAACTCTAACATGGTTGCAAGCGCCTCCCTTATTTTCCCATCTGAAGCGGATATTTTTCTTTTAAAGGGCATCCGTCTGAAATTTATAGTCCTTTCTCTTCAAGAGTCTTACTGGAATCTCTTGTAGGACAGAGGAGCGAGCGGAGGACAAGGTGGCCTTTGGCGTGCCCGAGGTGTCACCACGGTTTTGTGCCATAAATGGTGTCAGAAGTGGGATCTGAGGATGAGTGATATATACGTGTTGAAGGACGAGTAAATAGAGGCACGGGGAGTGAATGCTAAGGGGACGCTCTCAGCCAGGTTTTGTAAAAAGGAGAATATTGCAGCAATCCCTTTTTGATCTGGAGTTATAAAATGGAGTCTCTCCTTCACTAGATACCTCCCATGTGACTAATGTTAGCCAATCACATGAGAACTACTAGAGAACTCTCTAGAATTCAGTTACCAACCAATCAAATTTAAAACACATAGTAATGCATACGAGCATTTCTCGATAGTTTTTGTTGGCTGCATGTTCTATTATTCCACCCATTTTCGTCTCAAATCTTCCTTTATTTAATGTTATCTGCTGCTCATATGTTCATTCTTACTTGTAGGTTATATTGACTATTATACCCTCTAAGATACTCTTCAAAGCACTTCCACTCATCTCTCTTCCGTGATTCATCCTTATTTCTTAGTTTCACAGTCATAGTTACTAATTTTGTGAATTATATCAATTTATTCTGCCAAATTTCTTTCATGGGTATCTCTTTTTTCTTTCCAGTTGTGTATAAAAAGAGACTGAGTGTCTTTTTCGGGATATCATCACTTGTTATCCCTAATAGAAATGCCTCTTTGGGGAAATGGGATCTTAAGAATCTTTTTAAATTCTGTATGAATCATCTCCCAGCATTCTTTAGCATATTTACACAACCACCACATATGGATGAGAGTTCCGTCTACCTCGTGGCACTTTCAGCATAGATTTGAGAGGGGCAAAATTGCACTCAGCTGCCTAATTTGGGTTTGTGGGGACAACTCCTGTTGTTTTGAAGAACTTGAAGTTAGGGTCACCACTCTGAAGGTGTAAGGTTTATCAGAAAGAGATGTCAAATGACAGGCAGCTTCTTCAGCTATCATACAGATTCTAGATATAGAGTTTGCATGCTAGCTAGACAAGAAGAAGAAGAAGAATAGTTTGGATTTGATATCCCGCCTTTCACTCCCTTTAAGGAGTCTCAAAGCGGCTAACATTCTCCTTTCCCTTCCTCCCCCACAACAAACACTCTGTGAGGTGAGTGGGGCTGAGAGAACTTCAGAGAAGTGTGACTGGCCCAAGGTCACCCAGCAGCTGCATGTGGAGGAGCGGAGACACGAACCCGGTTCACCAGATTACAAGTCTACCACTCTTAACCACTACACCACACTGGCTCTCACCACAATAACATAAGACACCAGAATTTGATTAGAAAATGAGGTTTTATTATAAGAATCAGAGTCCTTGATACAGAAAAGAAATCTAAACAGCAACAGATATGATTGAAACAGCAAGACCACAAAGCTGCTTCCAGAAAACTGGACCTCTCCCCAGATTCAGCTATTTCTGAAGAGGAGACAACCTATTTGCCTAAAAACACCTGCTTGTATACTATAAAATTGCCTCTGCCAAGCACACTTTGTGATGTCAACCTGTTAAACATTTCCTTTGGTTAGCGTTGATTCCAGGGCATATTTCCAGAAGGTCCTTAGCATCTGCACCCCAAATTCTGTTGGTGGTGCAAAACCTAAGCCCATTTCCCATTTCTTCATGACCTAGGATTTCAACTGTACACCTAAGGCAAATCTTAGTCTGGTCAGCTGAATCATTAATGATCAGTATTGGGGGGGGGGGGGGAGAATCAACGTTCATTGTGGATGCATCAGTTAGGATTTGGTCAGAGAAAGGAGGCATGGAAGTCATTGGTTGGAATGAATCTACACAAAATGCTAATGGTCATTTTTCAGTCCTACTATGTGTATCCGTTTTCCTTATATAATACCATTATTATTATTATTATTATTATTATTATTATTATTATTTAAAAAGTCATTCCCTTTGGAGCCTTTTGGGAAATAATAAGCCTGGGATCCAGGTTTTTTCTTTTTAAATTCCCAATTATTTAATATCTGTAGTGCTAAGAATTAAATGCAATGTTTAGTCTTTTGTCTTCAGGTGCTCCTTCATGTTCAGATCAGGCCTCAATATAATAATGTAGCACTTGGGAATGAAGATGCAGCCCAGAAGCCCAGCACTGGAGGCCAAGATGGAGAAGACCTGAACGGCCACCATATACTTCCCCTTGGTGCTCAGGTAGGTGGGCACAAAGGACACCCAAACACTGCAGAAGACCAGCATGCTGAAGGTGATCAGCTTGGCTTCATTGAAGGCCCCAGGCAGCTTCCTGGCCAGGAAAGCCACCGTGAAGCAGATGGCAGCCAGGAAGCCCATGTAGCTGAGGGCAGTGTAAAACATAGCAACAGACCCTTCATTGCATTGCAAGGTAATCTCTCCAGGCTGGGAGTGCTTGTCAGAGTCTGGGGATGGGGGAAAGATCCCCAGCCAAGTGGCGCAGATAAGAACTTGTACACTGGAACAGGAAATGACAATGGAGTTGGCTAAACCCTTCCCCAACCATTTCCTCACCCTACTCCCTGGCTTTGTGGCCAGGAAGGCCAGCACCACAGCAATGGTTTTTGCCAAGATGGAGGAGACGGCAACTGAGAAAATGATGCTGAAGGTTGTTTGTCGCAGAAGGCAGGTCATTTTTGTTGGCTGGCCGATGAAGAGGAAGGAGGACCAAAAGGAGAGAAGGAGCGAGATGAGGAGGGTGTAGGAGAGATCCCGGTTGTTAGCTTTGACTATTGGAGTTTCCTTGTATTTAATGAATATTCCAAACACAAGGCCAGTGGTTAAGGATAAGAAGAGGGCAAAGGATGTTAGGAGGCTCCCCAGAGATTCTTCATAGGACAGGAACGTGATTATTTTGGGGACACATTGATCTCGCTCCTTGTTTGGATGCTGATCTTCTGGACATTTGATGCATTCCTTGGCATCTGCATAGAGAAAGAGACTTCAATATCCTTATAGCATTAATACATCTACAGCAGTCTGAATGTTGTCACAATTGTGGGGAATGCTTGCAATATGGGAGAGATCAGGGAAGAACACTGTGTTGTTGGGAAGGAGAGAGTTGCAGTGGTTAAGGATAAGAAAACACCAAAGGATGTCGTGAGGATTCCCAAATGCTCTTTATAGGCTAGGAAGGGAATAACCTTGGAAACACATTGATCTTTGTCATTGTTTAGATGCTGATCTTCGGGACCTTTAGTGCAATGTCCTGCATCTGAGAAGGAGAGCGACTCCAGGGTTATTGACATCAAGCTTACATCCACAACTATCTTTGCTGTATTACATTCGATGGTATTTGTGTCAGAAAACAGGAAGGAGCAGAAGCGATAGCAAGAGGAAGATATCTACTGGTAGAGGATATGCTTTGTACACAGAAGCCTATATCTGACATAAATTTAGACCTACTTGCACCCATTTCAACCGGTGTACCCTGAACATTGCACAATAGGATTCCTTCTACAAATTTGATTTACGTTTTTCATATCTGCCCCAAAGTGCAGCCCCAAAGTGTGGAGGATTCACTGTGCATGATAAAGACTAGAACATGTCTTTAAAGACTGACCTGTTCCCCAACCACATATAGAGCAGAGGTTTAAACCCTTCACAAAAAATGTAAACAAATTCAAAATAAAGCCGGAACAGGCAAGAGCTTTTGTCTTCCCAGGATTCAAACTCAGGTTATTGGCTCTCATCCTGTCCACCACTATCTTAAGGCACCCATCCAGAAGAACCGGAAGAAGAAAACTTCATTCATGACAAGACCCCGGGCCCCACAGTTCCCTTATATGATAAACACACATGGACATAAATAATTTAGGTTAATGGGCTAATCGGATCCTTTTAACAGGATACCCTTATCGAGGAGGGGCAGGCAGAGGCTACAACCTCCCCTCCCATCACAAAGGCCTACCCAATGCCTAACCTTACAAAATTGTGACGATTGCTACAAGGTAGGCGAAAACCAAATGGCTGGTGCCAATTTGCCAAGTGAAACAATTCCTACCCCGCCCCATCAATATGGCAGTCGACATATGTCCATAGCAAGGTCGCTGTCATAGCAACGCATAAAAACAGGGCAGGTGGGCTGGGCGAGATCCGGCGAGGAGGCAAAAAGAGGCCACCCCCTGGCTGCGCGACAGTTTAAACGGCCTACTGCCATGCCCCCAGCCATGGCGATTGGATGGCCAGGGGCGTGACGTGGCTGGGAATCCCCATGATGTGGGCGGCATCCTCCATCCCCAAGCCGGGTCACTGGGGGTCCCGGATGCTGGTCCGCAACACTCCCCCCCCCCCAGGGACGGGGAACGGATATATGAAAACCACAGACAAACAAAGTACAGTACAACAGCATCAACATTCAGCAGACTGGAGAGAAGCATTGATAACAGCATGGCCATCATTAAAACTACCAGTGCATTGTACAAACTGAAATAATAAATTTTTAAATGTAAAAGAATCTCAGAACCAAGCAAAGGGCACCAGCATTCTAGAGAGCAAGTCGTTAAACCAGACAATGCGCTGGACTGGTTGAACAGCTAAAGATTTGTTCGCCTGATGCTGGAATCACATCACAGCTAGTGGCAGCTGAGGCTCCCTGGAAAGGCCATCCCATTCACTGTTGTTACCACTTTGTACTTGCTTTATGAACACAATTTTATGTTCTTCTCTGCCACAGTATTTCCCCCCTCCCCCTTTAACGTCAGGCTTACAGGGTTTTTTGTTCATTTTGTGTTTTGCAAACAAAACAAATGGAATACCTTCCTGAGTCGAGATGGTCCCTTCTGCGCACGGAGTGCAAGCATAGCAACAAACTGGCTTTCCTTCCTGAGTCTCCTTGGCGTATCCAGCGTGGCAGCTTTTGGTGCACCTGGAGCGAGGAACGGTCTGTCCAGAAAGAGATGGAGCGTCACAGGATGAAATATATTCAGAGTCGCAAAGTGATTTCATGCTCTTTATTCAGCTCATAGTGGTGAGGAGGAATGAATGAAAGTCCCCTCACAGTATCTGCTTTATATACATTATTTACACAATGGGCTGCACATGATTGGCTAATTCCGGAATTCTACTGTAAGCCAATCAGGTTGTGGATTCACTTCTACCTGGAGCAGGATTGGGTGGTTCCTGCCAACCAATCATACTGCTGCATTGTTCTAGGACCAATCAGACAGCTGCATTCTGAATCCTGTTGTTCTAGGACTAATCAGACTGCTGCATTTTGGATCCTATTGTTCTAGGACCAATCAGACTGCTGCAGTTTGGATCCTATCCAACTCAGTACATAACACCCCTCCCCTCTAAGTTCCAGTCCTGCCCGGGAGGTCGCATTCATAGTCCTCAAGGTATGCCGGCGGCCTACGTGTGCGTTGCGGCCTGGGAATCCACGACCTGGAGCCCCCAGTCTCCCATGCAGAGGCGCTTCAGCTTCTCTTACACATGGGGCAGGGGCCGGGACAGGAATCCAGCTTCCAGGGAGCAAGGCCCTTTCCACCTGGCCTAGGGGGCAGAGCGTGTGTGATGGGGCTTCAAAGGAGATGGTGCATTGCAAACCCTGCAGGTATGGGCCCCCCACTTTGCCGCTGGATTGCATGGATCTGGAACGGTGCAGAACGGTGCGGAGGCGGTCCTCAAACTCCTCTGGTGTGGGCCCGGCAATCAACACATCATCGAAGAAGGGGGTGATGCCAGGAATCCCTTTAAGGAGAGAGTCCATTAGATTCTGGAATATGCCTGGTGCCACGCTGACACCGAATTGCAGCCGCTTTACCCTGAACGCTCCTCTGTGCGTCACAATCGTCTGTGCCTCTGCTGTGGCCTCATCTACTGGCAGCTGTTGATATGCTTGGGCCAAGTCCAGCTTGCCAAAAATTTCGACCCAGCCAGGGTGGCAAGGACATGGCTGACCACTGGCACTGGGTATGCGTGGGCCGTGAGGGCCTTGTTTATGGTACATTTGTAGTCTGCGCAGATGCGGACCGAACCATTAGGCTTGACGGGTGTGACGATTGGGGTTTCCCAGGGGGCATTAGGCACCGGCTCCAGCACTCCTTGCTCCACGAGTCGGTCCAATTCCTCGTCTATACGGGGTTTCAAGGCAAAAGGGACCCAGCGGGCCTTGAGCCTGACCGGTTGTACTGCGGGGTCAAGCTGTAGCGCAATGGGGGGGCCCGTATACTGTCCCAATTTCCCATCGAAAACCCCTGGAAATTCCTTGCATATGGCGTCCACGTCCACTTGTAAGCTAGTGTGGTTCACCCCGGTGACAGCTAGCCCCAGTGGTCCAAACCATGCCAATCCCAGTAAGCTAATGTAGGGGCCCTCGACGAGCCACCACTGAGGGCTGCGGCGAAAAGTGCCCCTTCAGCTGTTCCATTATTGTTTTGTATTGTTTTGTATGGAACAGTAGCGACGTCAGGCGCAAGGAGAGCCCGGGCGATTTCAAACGTCTCCTCTCCGCAGACGCTGAAGAATATCGCCCTCTTCTTGGCGTCTTCTTCGTCAGTGACCCCTTTGGCTTCTAGGAGGAAGGTGAAACGGGAGGCGTACGCTTCCCAGTCTCCAGATGCTGGGTTGAATGGCGAGAAGCTGCTGTTGGCTGCCATTCTGAGTTCCTTGTGTCCCGGAGCTGAAGCCTGGATACACGGTGCGAGGCAGCGGTGCGGCAGGTGGCGGTGCTGCGGTGCTGTGTGTGGCAGTCAGCTCAGCGGGATCCCACCTTCGTCGCCAGTGAAATATATTCAGAGTCGCAAAGTGATTTCATGCTCTTTATTCAGCTCATAGTGGTGAGGAGGAATGAATGAAAGTCCCCTCACAGTATCTGCTTTATATACATTATTTACACAATGGGCTGCACATGATTGGCTAATTCCGGAATTCTACTGTAAGCCAATCAGGTTGTGGATTCACTTCTATCTGGAGCAGGATTGGGTGGTTCCTGCCAACCAATCATACTGCTGCATTGTTCTAGGACGAATCAGACAGCTGCATTCTGAATCCTATTGTTCTAGGACTAATCAGACTGCTGCATTTTGGATCCTATTGTTCTAGGACCAATCAGACTGCTGCAGTTTGGATCCTATCCAACTCAGTACATAACACAGGAAAAGAATTAGGAGTATTTGCAGTTGGTGGTATACATTCAAAGATTTGTGCTTCAGACACTGTGAAAACCTTGCTGGGCAGCCTCTTTCAAATGTTCTGGGCCAGCCATGGCAGAACCTGCCCTTAATCCCCCCAAACAGGGCAGGTTGGGGGAGCTAAACACTCACTGGCTGCTGCTGATATGGGAAGGTTCCTTTGTACAGTGCAGCCCTGTAGATCAGGGATGGAGAACCTGCGACTATTTAGATCTTGTTGGGCTACAGCTCCCATTATCCCAGGCCATGACTGTGTTAGAATTCCTGATCTCTGATTGCAGTCATGGGATTCTTGTTTTTCACATGACGTGATATGTTTTGACACCACAGAGTGGGAAGTGACAGGATGTTTGTGTTACTGTGTTCCGTGAAGTGGGACTATTGACTTTTGTTCTTTTTCTCTTTGCTGTCTGATGCTAGAGACAGAGGGAGCCATGTTGCAGTGCTCCGTGTGTGTTTATATGTAAATAAAGTAGATTAGACAACATGCTGAGTTGCTGGGGTCTGTCATGTGAAATGCGCAAACTCTGCGGATCCCTAAGTGTGTCGGTGTCGGTTGGCATCAGTCGCTGTGATGTTCGGACTGAAGAAAGCTTATGGAGCTCCCGAACGATTGACCAGGAGGGAGAGAACATGCCAGTCGGGCATGTGTCTCTGCCAGAGTCCTACTCGAGTGTAAGCTGAACTCCTGACAGACTGTACTGGCAGGGGCTGATGAGCGTTTGAGTCCTACAACATCTGGTTCCTCATCCCTGCTGTATGTGTTTACATTGCATCCCAGCATGCTCAAATTACTTGAGCTTGACACATGTCACAGACAATAAAATGATACACATCTCCCCAACCTTCTTAAACCTCTCGCGCCATGAAATAGCATCTGGGTTAATGGTGAACTTCAGGTTTGAGGATGTGCATCCCTCCATACTTCCAATCTTCACTCTGCCACGAGACTTATTGGGAAACTGCACCCAATTGATGATGTCAAAGCTGGCTGGCAGCTCCCGACTCTCATCCAAACATTGCCCCTCGATGGAGGTATTAGTCATCTGGACTTCTCTTAAGAAAGGGTGAAGCTGAAAGGACAGGAGAAAGAGCAACATGTGTGGTAGGTAAGACAAATTCACAGAGAACAATGCTATCGATAGCTACTAGCCATGGTTAGCTAGCTAGCTAGAAACTTTATTTGCATTAGACACTAGCCATAGCAATAAAGTAAAATATACTGGAAATCGAGCTAAATAGTTAGCTTTAGCCATGGATAAAACATATGAGCCAATAGGCTTTATTTAGATTAAAAGAAAAAGGAAAACCTGAGGAATTTTAGAAAGTTAATCACATAATGGATCTTACTCTAATTGCCCCTGCTAAAAATATTATTTTTACAGTTATACTAAAATTAAACGAATACCCAGCCCCGTCTAAACGTTTATTCTACCCCAACAGAGCAAAAACAACAACAAAAACTTAAAATGCCACAGGTTAAAAACCATTTTAAAACATTGAAAAGCATTTTCGACATTTGCCCCAACCCCAGAGTTTGTTTCAGTGAGTCTGGGCTTCTTCAGGACTTGCAGCAGGGCAATATTCCAAAAATATTGTTAGTAGCAGTGACTACATTATTACATGAGCACTGTTCCACAGCATTTGATATTTTCATTTATAGACATTCATTCAAAATAAGATGGGGTATGTACTCTTTTTCATTACTGTTTGTATTATAGTTTATATTTTTTGTAAAGTGATATGTCATGCAAGTCATTGTCTGTAAAATTTACTCGCTTCATTTAAAGATTTGCAGAGACTTTGAGACGAAAGATTTCATTTTGTACTTGTTATGGTTTGAAGGAATTCTATAAAGATTGTCTATTACGTATGTACATGGTCATCATGTTGCCTAGACATTACTGGCGTTCTCTTTGCAACACAGGGGTTTGTTTGTTTGGTTGGTTGGTTACTCCCAGGAGTCTAAAGCAGAGCAGGTGAGCCTAGTCCCCACTCTCTAGGCCAGGTGGAAAAAAGTCTTGTAGGGAGCGGCCTTCAGCACTCACAGCAGGGTGCTTCATATTGGGACCAGCGCACAACTCATCTGGACTCCTACATATTTCTATTAGAAGTAACCCCTCACTGAATTCAATGAGCTTACTCCCATGTAAGTGCATATAGTACTGCAGCCATAGTGGCTGATCATGGTTGCTGCTGTTTTCTGCTGTCACAGCTTAGTAACTTCCTTCTCTTCAGCATTTTAAGGCTGGCTACTCATTATCATTACGGGTGTAAGCTCAGTTCTATGTTCGTTTCATTTTTGAAAGAGAGCATATTCCACTGTTAGGCAAAATGAGATTGGCTACTCAAAGTGATAGATTTGGGGCACTACTGAAGAGAAATACCTGCCAAGGGTGCAGCCTCTGATGTTCCAGCCCACGTCCTCTACCCACCCTCAAGATCTGTCTGGATCTCGATGAATGAGCCATGTTCAAGGCCCGAACCACTGCTTGGACACTGTTGTACGTGCTGTAGCTGTCCTGGGAGAAAACTCTCTCAAACTCCTCCTGCTGCAAACTCTCCAGCTTTTCTCCCTCTGTGCATCTTGTCCAGCCTTTCACAGACAACACACGCTTTGAATATGAACAATGAAATGCTCTTTTCCAAAATCGTTCAAGAACAGGCGAGAACGGATTATAGTAGTCATATTTCATCCTTATGGGGGTCTTCATTACAAAGGACAAGGAACCCCAGAGGTAACGGAAATCAACAAACAAGTACATGTTGATGTCCCAAAAAGTTGTTGTGATCCAGAGCTTTGACCCAGCGTGTATTGTTTCAAGTAGGGTTTGCCAAATTGCAATCAGATCAAATTCGTGTTGAGAGTCTGCATAGTAAACAAGTACGCTAACTTGTCTCCACACGTCACGGGATTCTCTTTTGAGTAACTCGTAATACGGCATCATCCTGAGGACTCTCTTTGAAATGGCAACACAAATTCCATTGTGGGTCAGCAGAGGTTTCAAGGCGCTCATGAACCTCTCTCCATTGTCAGTGTCTGGAGCGACGAGACCAACCCATGTCCACTGGAAGTGCAGGAGCAACTGGACAATCCCCAAGCACTGCGCCTCTTCTTTTGGGACCATCCGGTAGACAAAAGGGAACTGAGTTTTATAATCGAGAAGAAAGCCGTAACTGACCTAGTGAAGAAGGGGAAAAAGATGGATGATACCTTTCCAGGACAATGATCAAATACTTGTTAATCTGGAGTTACTAACATGTATCAGCAACCTCCAAGGGGACTCTGTGGTGTGCTTGTCAGTGAGTGCCAGTCTACTCAAGCCGCTGTGCCCAGCATCCCCAACACAGTGCTTTACTTTCGCCCATAGGACTGAATGGTGATCTTTACTCCAAAGCAAGTGATGAACAGAGATGCTCAGCATCAATACACTTTGGCCAGGGTTGTTTAGCAGCACAGTCTTACATATATATAGGAGAGAGAAAGAGGCAAGTATACCCAATGGGGTGCGCAGGTGTTGAGTTGCACCTAACATTGGGGGGCCCGTCACACATACATGATGTCAGATGCGTGGCTCACAATGTGCATGCCGCCCCTCCCAATCCAGCCAGGCCAACTCAACCCGCCATCCCCCACCCATCGCCCAGCACCCGCTGCCTTACTTTCATTTGCAGCTGCCGCCACAAGGCTGAGACCACCTCCGTGCGTTCACCTCCTGCCCCTCCACGAGGTCCATGGAGGCACCTGAGCACATTTTGAGATCGCCAGCACTCCTTCCTGGAAGGCACCCTGGTGACCCCCAAAGGGACACGCTGGGCCAAGACACCTTGCCCTGCCGTGTCTCTGACAGTGATTGCCAGTGTGAAATCCCCCTCAACATTGTGGGGGCTGGGGACCCTGCCAAAAGATATTGAGGGGACACCTCAGCCCCCTGGAGCTACCACGGCTGCTTGAGAGCAGCTCCTCTATGAAGAAAGGGACCTTTTAGTTTGGAGAAGAGGCAAAGAAAAGGAGACACATATAATTTTTGGAAGATTCAGGACAGATCAAAGAAGGAACTTCTTCACAGAGTGCATACTTTAACTTGGATGGTTTTAAAAGGCAATGTTCTGCCTCCACTGTTCAAGACAGTATGCACTGAATATCAGTTGTGGTGAGTCACGTCTGGAGAGTGTTGTTGCAGTCAAGTTCTGCTTGTGAGCTTCCCATTGGGACAGCAGGTTGGCAACTGTGAAAATAGGATGCTGAATTAGATTGGCCTAATCCAGGCAATTCTTAAATGTTGTTAATTGCAAAATAATGGCAATGTAATAGACAGATTCAGGGGAGTTGTTACAGGTGAAGTTTCCTTCGGAAAAACGGAAGTCTTGCTACAAAAAGGAACATAAACTTCGGCAAAATAAATGTTGCAAGTCACCAAAGGATCTCTAGAATTATACACAGTAGATTTTCTCCCAATCCATCATACCTGTGGGATTTTGTAGATGCCCAACATGGTTGAAATCTGGCTGAAGGTGTCAGAATTAGCATGTTCAAGAACTGCCAACAGGTTGTTCCGTCTTCCACAATTGTAGTTCGGAATATTGATTTCCCCACCAGCCAGCAGGTCTAGCATGACATCGGAAGTGATTCTACTATCACAATAGTTCTCATAGATGTTGTAGCCCAGTGTGATGTTGGGTAAAATCCTAGAATCCTGATTGATTTTCTGAATGGTGAAGAAGAAGGACAACATATGCCAGTACCTTCTGAATTCAAACCTGCAATACAACAAATATTTATAGTTTACCCTGAGATCAAAATGACACTTAATTCAGGCAATATTTCCAATTACAAAACAGCAAATTAAAAAAACAACAGTAAATTTAATTCATGTTGGACTTTGGTATGTGTGTATATATATATATATATATATATATATATATATTTTGCTGCAGAGTGCAGAAATAAGTAGTTTGGCAAGACTGCTGGTTGCAATAAAAAAAGGAACATTATGAGTATATGCTTGCCTGCAGCCATCATCACAAAAGGTCCAAAATGAAGGTCCAACACTGACTGGAGAAGGAAGAAGGAAGAAGGAAGAAGGAAGAAGGAAGAAGGAAGGAGGAAGGAGGAAGGAGGAAGGAGGAAGAAGGAAGTAAAACCTGAGAGAAAGTAATCTGCATGGAGTTACTTAAGAAGGAATTGGAGAGGGAAGAATACCGTATTTTTCGCTCTATAACACGCACCAGACCATAACACGCACGTAGTTTTTAGAGGAGGAAAACAAGAAAAAAATATTCTAAACAAAACAGTGGATGTATGATTTTTGTGGTTCATGCTGTGGCCACAGACATGTGATCTGACGGTGAGTTTGGGGTAGCCCAATGCAAAAATCCTGAGGATCCATGTGGATCCATGCTAAAGTCGCCCTAAAGTCGCAGGGGCGCTGGGGGAGTGAACGGGAAGCAAGAGAAGGAGAACGATGCCTCTCACACACACAGACACACAGAGTATCAATCCTAAAGTCGCGGGGTGCTGGAAGTGGCAGGGGCGCTGGGGGAGTGAACGGGAAGCGAGAGAAGAACGATCCCTCACACACAAACACACACACACACACACACACACAGAGTATCAATCCTAAAGTCGCAGGGGCGCTGGAAGTCAAAGGGGCGCTGGGGGAGTGAACGGGAAGCGAGAGAAGGAGAACGATGCCTCACACACACACACAGACACACAGAGTATCAATCCTAAAGTCGCAGGGGCACTGGGAGAGCGCAGGGGCGCTGGGAGAGCGAACAGGAAGCAGGAGGAGGAGAACGATAGCTCAAGCACACACACACACAGCCCCTACAGTTGCTAATCCAAAATCGGACAGCAAAAAACTGCAGGCAGGGACAGAGAGCACGGGGTTGTTTTAAAGCGGCCAACACCGCTCTGCTTCTCTCCCTCCTCCCTGGTTTGGCTCGCTGACAGGAGCCGCTTACACCCGCTTTGCTGTTTCAAAGCGAGCCACGGACTGCTCACGACTGCAGCAGATTCCCCCTCCATCCATAGGCATTTGCTCCATAACACGCACAGACATTTCCCCTTACTTTCTAGGAGGAAAAAACTGTGTGTTATGGAGCGAAAATTACGGTAGATTGTCTTTCTGCGTACCAACCCCCAATGGTTTAGGTAACTTACTGGATGCATTGCACCTTTGCTCTCAACAATTTTAAAACACAGGTGACAACTACCACAATTGTAAGCTGTAGGATTAACAGTTCTTAAACAGTTCAGATAGAAGAGTTTGGATTTGATATCCCGCTTTATCACTACCCGAAGGAGTCTCAAAGCGGCTAACATTCTCCTTTCCCTTCCCCCCCCACAACAAACACTCCGTGAGGTGAGTGAGGCTGAGATACTTCAGAGAAGTGTGACTAGCCCAAGGTCACCCAGCAGCTGCATGTGGAGCAGCGGAGACGCGAACCCGGTTCACCAGGTTATGAGTCCACCACTCTTAACCACTGCACCACACTGGCTTTCTAATATCCAAGTTGAAGCCTGGCTGTGAAATTAAACCAATGTTGGTGGCTGTGGGACTTCAGAGGACAGGGCTTTTCACAATGCAGAGATAATCATTTGCACAGTGGATTTTGTCCTACTTTCTATAGAAAAGCTGCAACTCAGTGCTCACTCAGGAACATTTGCTCCCATTCTATTAAGAAGCTTTGTGGGAGGAGAAAGAGGGGAGGCTGAACTTTCAGTTAGATGCTAGATAAACCACATCGTCACATAATATGTTATATCAAGCTGTTCAAAATGAGCCCTCTGGCTGGAGAACCCCAACGGGGCGCAGTTGTGTTCATGGGGCCCATCAAAGGGCAAGTCAGAGCCAACGTTGGGAGAATGTTTGACTAGAAGTTTGGGATTGCCAGGTAGCAAGGAACATCAGGTGAAGGAGTGTGAAATCAAGCAGCGTATAGTTTCTTACTCAGAAATCCTCGTTAAGGGGGGGCTGGAGAAAATGTATGGTTTAATTCCAGCACCTTTTGGACATATGACGCCCCCAATGAGGTAGTCTCCTGGCCTGAAATAATTCCATGGGTCACTTTCATCCCTGATCAAATTCAATGGGCATTTTGCCTTCAGCATCCCACAAACTGCCTGGGGCATTGGCAGCAGCAGAAGCAGTAGGAGCAGCAATATCATTCTGAATCTGCCTGCAACAGTTGCCTCCCTTCTGACAGCAATAATTTTAGATATACAAATCGAGTCCTGATATTGAAAGGTACCAATAGTAAACCTCACCCACTTGTCCCTACCTGCTCCAAATATCAGTGGTAAATGATATATTTCTGAAACTGTTCCTCCTTCAGGCTTAGTGCAAGAACTTGCCTCATTGCCCTTAATTATGGTGTTTTCAGCCATTGGGGAAATCCTTGGTAAGAAGAATGGTGTGAATCACTGTAATTTTAATAATTATAAGGAAGAAGAATTGCCCAGCCCTTTGGTCCATCTGCTTGTGTGAAGGAAAATGTTCAGAACTGGAGGAAAACATGTCTTTTGGAACTCACTTGGGCCAGAGAGGGAGGGCAGGTGGCATTGACAAGCTTTCCATGAGAAACACCTTTGAAATTGCTAGGACCAAAATTTCCTCCCTCCCTTCCTATATACAAAGAATGCAAAGCAGTTGTCACACTGCAATTCATGTGGCTGCCAGTAGGTGGCCAGGTGAATAAGAAAGCAGAGCAGGTGCCCAGGCAAGCTGTTTCTTTCCTTTTTAAAATTTTTAAAATTAATTTTCCTTCAATAAAACAAACAACAATAAGCAACAATAGCCTAAATTAGACAACATAAACTAGCCATTAAAATTTTTCAATAATTACAACATCTTATTAATGTCCCTATTATCTACGCATGTTGACCTCCCTCCCTCCCGATTTCGGGCTTCTTGGTAAATCTTCCTTTTTTGCAGTTTCGTGGTTAATACAACACACGTCGTAAGATTTATGTGATACCTGCTGTGGTTTTTAGATTTCTGAAATTTCCTTCAATGTATGTTATAAATTTGTTCCAATCACTAATAAACTTTGTACCTTTTTGGAATCTAATTTTTTGTGTCATTTTTGCTAATTCGACATATTCAAATAGTTTTATTTGCCAATCTTTAACGGTTGGGATGTCTGGGTTCTTCCATTTTTGTGCTATTAATATTCTAGCAGCCACTGTCGCATATTGGAATAGTGTCTGATCTTCTTTTTTAATTTCGTCCCCAATTATTCCCAGTAGGAAGGCTTCCATTTTTTAAGAGAAGGTATATTTGAGTATTTTTTAAAATTCATTATATATGAGTTCCCAAAACTTTTTAATTTCTTCACAAGCCCACCACATGTGGCAGAAATTCCCTTCTTTAATCTTACATTTCCAGCATATTTTATTTCCCATTTTATACATTTTTTCTAATTTCACCGGCAAGCTGTTTCAAGGAGTATGGCAGGTCCTTAATTTACATCAGAGAATCCATACAATATATTTGCCTAGAGTGTGGGAAGAGCATCCATAACCTAATGATGTCACCAGTGCTTTTTTCAAGAAAAATAGGTGCTGGAACTCACCATGAAGTTGTTACAGTAAGTCGCCAGACGACTCCGGGCAGCCATGAACAGATGCTGGTGCATCTGGTTCTGGAGCAAATCAATTAAATGCACCCCACCTCCCTGGTTCTCTTAGATTCAGGCAGATGGTTAGGGCAGCTTGGAAGGGCCCTGTGCACACGCAATGATCGAGGTCTGGCTGGTAAGCTTAAAGCCTACTGCTGCTAAACGGGAGGGAGAGTGAAGAAAAGGAAATATTAATTGATCCCATCCTGTAGCTTGACTACTCATCGCTAGGAGACGCGAGGAACTAGGTGGATTCACAGATATAATAAACGCGTAGGCTCGTGCACTCTGGCCAGCTTCCGTTTTGAGTTTAAATGTTGTTTAGGCTTCTCAGAAGTATGTAAAGGCATGCCCACCTGAAAGGACTGAGGTGACTGGGAGCGGCCACCAAAACAATATAACACGGGTCCTGAAAGACCTACATTGGCTTCCAGTACATTTCCAAGCACAATTCAGAGTGTTGGTGCTGACCTTTAAAACCCTAAATGGCCTCGGCCCAGTATACCTGAAGGAGCATCTCCACCCCCATTGTTCTGCCTGGACACCAAGGTCCAGCTCCGAGGGCCTTCTGGCAGTTCCCTCACTGTGAGGTTACAGGGAACCAGGTATAGGGCCTTCTCAGTGGTGGTGCCCACCCTGTGGAATGCCCTCCCATCAGATGTCAAGGAAATGAACAACTATCTGACTTTTAGAAGACATCTGAAGGCAGCACTGTTTAGGGAAGTTTTTAATGTTTGATGTTTTATTGTGTTTTTAATATTCTGTTGGGAGCTGCCCAGAGTGGCTGGGGAAATGGGTGGGGTATAAATAAATTATTATTACTATTATTATTATACCGGAACTGGGCTCTGCAGCGCTCCGGCTGGATAAAACCCACTGGAAAGAAATCATACAAATGCTCACAGTGTAGAATGTGTTTCAGTCACAGCTCTAGCCTTAGTGAACACCCAAAAGTCCACACAAGAATCAAGCCATATATATTGTTATAAGTTTTGGGTGCCAGATTCTAACGTTTCTAAACGTTAGAAATTAATAAGTGCTTGAGTGCCAGATGTTGGATGTAGCAGTGTAAAAACGCAGGTTAAATCAGTTTTTCCTGACTAGAAAATCCCCTGTGGAGAAGAACCAACATCTAGAACAAAAGAAGGCAATAGGGAATTAACAAGAAAGTTACTCTGTGCCAGACAGCGGAGGAGTGTGAGGCCGCTGATGAGCAGAGTCACAGGCTGGGTTTAGGATTTCAGTCCAGTAATATTCCATATTATTCCATAATGTTCAATATTCAATATTCCATAATATTCAATATTACTGGTGCTAAGAATCAAATATTATGTTTAGCTTATTGTTTTCAAGTGCTCCTTCATGTTCAGATCTGGCCTCAGTAAAATAATGTAGCACTTGGGGATGAAGATGCAGCCCAGAAGCCCAGCACTGGAGGCCAAGATGGAGAAAACCTGAACGGCTACCATGTATTTCCCCTTGGTGCTCAGGTAGGTGGGCACAAAGGACACCCAAACACTGCAGAAGACCAGCATGCTGAAGGTGATCAGCTTGGCTTCATTGAAGGCCCCAGGCAGCTTCCTGGCCAGGAAAGCCACTGTGAAGCAGATGGCAGCCAGGAAGCCCATGTAGCCAAGGGCAGTGTAAAACATAGCAATAGACCCTTCGTTGCATTGCAGGATGATCTGTCCTGGTTGGGAGTAAATGTCAGCTTCTGGAAAGGGTGGAGAAAATCCCAGCCAGATGGCACAAACAGCAACTTGTACACTGGAACAGGAAATGACAATGGAGTTGGACAAACGTTCTCCAAGCCATCCCCTCACCCTGTTCCCTGGCTTGGTGGCCAGGAAGGCCAGCACCACAGTGATGGTTTTTGCCAAGAGTGAAGAGACAGCAACAGAGAAGATGATGCTGAAG